ATTTTGCAAAAGGGTTCAGATTTGCGAAATCTTCATGCCTTGAAATAGTTGGAACACTAAAGTATTCAATTTGCCAAAGTTTTGAGTTTTGATTAAGTTAAGTTTAGTCTGGTTTTAGTAGTAATTGATGAAGTTACAGAGTTGAGAAAGAGAGAGAGAGAGAGAAAGGGGGGGGGGGGAGAGAGAGAGAGAGGGAGAGAGAGAGAGAAAGGGGGAAGGGGAGACAGAGAGAGAGGAAGGGGAGAGAGCCTAAGAATTGTACGCCTTAGAATCATGCATTAGTGTAAATGAAAAGAGAAACCTACAGAAAAGCACTGGACGTTAATTGTGGTGGGAACTAAATATTGGATAAGGGTTGGGGCGGATAGCCAGTGAAAAGAACAAATAAGCCCCGCACCTGAACACCCTTGCGTTAATACCAATCTCATAAGATACAGTGATGGTATACTAGTCTAGGGTTGTGTTACATGCCCCTGCCCCTTAATGCAATTATTTACATTGTACACCTTGATTCGAAGCCTTGTTCACACTTGATGTAGTGAAACACTATAAAAAACGATACTTCGGCGAAGAGAATGTCATAAGTGTATTGTGCGATTCCTATTATGTATCTGAAAGATATAGAAAAAGATTATTATCAATATTGCCTGATTGGCATTTGCCGTTTGCTGCTGTGTTGTTTACTCTCTTTTGCCATTAATTTTGTTTTAACGGTTTATATTTTGTTGCGATGTTCATTAAAAAAAATTTGAATAAATAAAGATAGTTTACAATATCAAGTGTGAATGAGGCTAAAAGCAGGCAAACCCTATGCACTCTCATTATTTGTAAAGTGGTCTACATTGGTGCCAAAAGGGTAATAACCCTGTTCAACCCTTATCTAACCCAAACCTAACCCTAATCACAGGATTTATGAGTTAACGCCCTTTTGGCTCTCTGAAGAGTTACTTCTCGGAAGGTATTAACACTGTATTAAATGACATGAGTTAATGACCCTCTGCCTGTAAGAGTACAATATTACTTCTGTACCTTTTTGTAGCATTGGATGAAAGTTTGTACACCTGGGTGGAAAGAGGTTAATTGACTGTCAACACTGGATGTGGCAAGTCAAATGGCCTGTTCAGATTGTAGGGAATCAATGCAAAATGCGTTTAAAAGAAACGCATAAAGAATCATCGTATAGTAAAGGAGCGTACAGACTAGAGAAGAACATCGTGTACACAAGAAACGTTGTATAAAGAAACTAGTTTTGAAGAGGTCAGTTCATATGACAGCTAGTCAATCATCAGTTACGCGCTCATGATAAAACCCTGCACAATTACGAGATTTTTGTATGATACAGTCAAACCTGTCTATAGTGACCACCCATGGGAAACACAAAAAGTGGTCTTTCAGAGCTGCCAACTAGTACGGATTTTCCGTAATTGGTACGGAAATTAACGACCATTACGGAATGTTGTCTCAAATTACGGATTTAAAAATTTTTTTTTTTTTTTTTTTTTTTTTTTTTTTTTTTTTTTTTTTTTTTTTAATGAATTAAATATGATTTATCGTAGCGAGTGCTGTGAATAGGAGCCATTTTTCATGATAAACTGTGTTGTGATGACCTGAAATTCAATACTTAACATCTTTGTGTGAGTAAAATCACCAAAAATTTCAGATAATCATGCGTCCGCGCAGGGTTGGCGTGTCGTTTTTTTAGATTCATAGCGCCGCATAAGAAATTACTGATTTATACCCCAAATTACTGATTTTGAGCCTTGTGATTACTGATTTTCTGTTCTGGAGGTTGGAAGCTCTGGTCTTTATAGACAGGTTCCTTTTATAGTACATGTTTCAATGAGAAACCATTTTCAAAGGATATTTTAAAAAAATGTGGTCTTTGTAGACAGGTGATCACTATATATAAAGCAGGTTTGACTGTATAACGTTCAAATTGAACGGGCTTCTGATTCGTAAATGAGTTTTCATTTGAAACGTTGCTCAAACAAGTGCTTTGCTGCTATATGATGTTTCATGATGAATATTCTCGCATTCAGTGTTGCCAACTCTCAACTTGTTCACACATCTACTGGCTGCAGTGTTAGAGAGGCAAATACAAATTTTAAAAACATTAAGCAAAAACTCTGGAATTGTGTGCTAAATCACTTTTTTTTTTAAAGTTTTCATTTGCAGGAAGGGTAAAAATTGTCATTAAAATCAAGAATTTGACTTATTGGTCCATTCCAAGCATTAGGCAATAACATTTCCAGAGAATTATCAATTTTTGATAAGGGATATAATAGACACTTATTAAAAATCTACAAATTAATTATGTGATTTACAATTAATATATTCATCCAATTTATGAAATATTGAATTTTATATAGATTTGTTATAGAGTGACATCATACAGTGTAGGTCACTTTTTGGTCATTTTGTAACAAAGATATTGACAATTCAATCTTTTATAATTTTGATGAATGGTTGATGGGGAACTCAACTGTTATGAAAATGCTTCATATTATTTTATATATCATTAATTCATAGATTTTTATTATAATAACTAATATATTTTTTAGATTGGAAAATTCTCTGTCATTTGATAAATTAATGCTTGGAATGAACAGTTATTATATAGTCATGCTCTCATACATTTACATTTATGTATGCATCCATATAAAACATCTAAACAGTTCATCTGCTAAGGAGTGGAAGGTTGTTAATTCTGCATAAAATAATTGGAGTTCACCTCTTTCTAGCTCTCAGTGCACAAGATACCAATGACATGCAATCTTTTAAAAGCTGAAACATTCAAGAATTCTGGGCAGTGTCTCATGAAACTGTCATAAAGTACAAGTTCACTGACATCCCATTTAAATGCGTGTATTAAGTTAAGCACAGGTTTCAATGGGATGTCGGTGAACTTTGTACTTATGATGGTTTGGTGAAACGCTGCCTTTCTCTCTGATGTGTATATGCTTTCTGCTACTTGTTTGTGTGAAATAAAATTATACGAATTAATGCCCTTCTGGCTCCAAACAGATTATTTAGAGAATGAAATCATACCTTTGATTATTAAAAATGTGAATTTGATGTTTTAAAATATGTTGTTACTTCATTACAGGTATTTATCTATTGTTCCATGTGCAACTGTTCATTACGATGATTGCATTAAAACAAAAAATCTTTTCCTTTTGTTAAATGTTAAATATCCTCTCCATTTTAATGATTGTATTATGAAATCTTTCTACCTTGCTAATTGTTTAACATTCTCTCTATTTTGATTATTCATATTTCAAAGTTGTTATCCATGTGGTTTTTATTGCATATTTCTGTTATTTTTCAGTTATTTATTCTGGTCAGTAAGGTTCGTTTTTTTATATATATATATATATATATATCTTTTACAAATGGCAGTTAAATACGAGTCATGTCATCCTTTTATACCCGAGTGGTATTCTGAAAATAATTTTCTCTTTTACGTTAGTAAAACAATGTCAATTGTCATAACAAAGAGAAAAGGAAGACAAGTCATCTAGGTCAATAGCTGCGCAAAGCTGTCTGCGTTCACGTAAGTCAAAAGAGACACCTGCGCAAGTAACCAATGGTTATTGTTGATATTTACCTTCATTGCTTGTTATGACAATAAACATAATTTTCAGTAACCTAAAAGATTACATCCTTTTCAGAATACAGCCCCTGTTATCTGTTACCTCTAATCCCATTACAGTTCTCCTTTTATCCCTGTTTTATTACCTTTTTATTATTATTATTATTTTCCACCCCTTTTTATTTGGCTGTGAAACCGCTTATCAGACGCAAATCGAGTCTGCAAAAGAAACGGTCCCAGAGTCTTGTATTCTCGGGCCCCCAAGTCCGCCTCCGTCAAAAAGAGAGTATGGCAAAAACGCAAGAAGATTATCACTGTTGAATCCATCAACGTTTTCAGAATACACACTCCTTATTTCATCAGTTTTCTTTTTAGCTCTCTTTTATTACTTCCTTATTATTATTTTCCGCCCTTTTAATTATTTTTATTTGGCTCTGAAACTGTTAGTGGGCCTCGCCGTTCAGCAGACGCAAATCGAGTCTGCACAAGAAACGGTCCCAGAGTCTCACGAACCTCGCGGCCCCCAAGTCCCCCTCCGTCAAAAAGAGAGCATGGCATAAACGCAAGAAAAGTATCGATGTTGATTCCATCGACGTAAGTAAACGGAAGAAAACAGAAAAGAACAATTTGTCGTTCTTGTTTTTGCATCGCTCTCAGCTTGCCATTTTGCTGTTCATAAGCTTTCTCTTTGCTTCAAAATTCTTTAAAAAAAGATTTCTTTTTGAAAGTATGGTCGACTTATTGCGTAAATTGCATGATTTTATGCCACTCTCAAATTTGTCGAAATTTGGGTCTCTTTTTTTGATGTCATGCATTCATTTTTTCTTTATGTTTCTTGTTATTTTGATGGAGATTTGTCTGTTTTTGTAAAAAGATTTTGTTCCTGATCATCTGTTTGTTGTATGCATCTTGATGTTTGCATTGGATGTTTGAAAGCTTTTAGAAAATATAAAAGGGAAAGATTTGGCATAAATGAACAAAAGAATACCAAGTTTGATTTGATTCTGGACTTTTGATGGGGGAAAAAAAGGACAAATAAAATTTGAATGTTCTAGACATAAACATCACATGATTTTCTGCAATCTATGCAAAGTCAAAATAAAGCTTTGAATCTGGTTAAGAGAGGGAGCAGAAAAGAATGACAAAAAAAAGCTAACAAAGCCAAATACCGGTAGAAAAAGAAAAAAAAGTAGTGTCTTCTTTCCAAAGACTGCATCTAGAAGCTCTTCATGCCACCAATTGCCTGACTTTCGGTATGTTTCGTGAACTTTTTCTTCATTTTTTTCTACGTGTGTCAATTTTTCACATTCCTTCTTTCTTTCTCTCCTTTTACTTTTGCTTGTTAATTTTCAAATTTTTGCATCCATTTCATATTTTCCCCTTCTCCTGCACTGCTGATCGCCTGCAGCACACAGAAAATGAGTACTCGAATAATCCGTCTGAAAAACTTCTGAAGGACATAAATGGAATTAAAACGAGAATAAGCGTACTAGAGAAGCAGCTGCAGAAGGCTGCAAATAACATGATACAGAACAAGGTAAGTTGTAGATATTAATTAAACTCCTCAAAAATGGTCTGCAATTGATATCTTCTTAGCAACTATATTATCATACTTGACGTTAATATCATTGAAAAGCCCATTTATTCCCCTTTACAATAGAAAAGTCAGTTGTATTTTTATCAAAAAAACTATAAAAAAAAAAAATGGTGATAATAGTCAAAATTTACTGATTGCCATAAAACACTAATCAACAACAACAAATCCCAATTTGTTATTGTCACTGACGATTTCTTCATTCATTTGGAGGATAGATTGTTTTTTTAATGACGCTGAGGTCGTCATTGTTGACAATAACAATGCATTTTGCACAATCATATACATGATTACATAGTCATTACAAATGGGCATCATTGTAAAGAGGAATACACAGGCTTTTCAATCATACCAATATCAAGTAAGATATTAATGCCCAAACTTGAATTGCAGAACATTTTTTTGAGGAGTTTAGTTGGATTAAAAGGCTAAGTCTCTCAATATCGAAACCAGTTGGGAAAACAAATGAAAAAATAGACCTGTGATATGTTTCAATTTGGAACCAAAGTTTGCTGACTTTTGGCTAGTCTTGAGAATTTCTAACTTGTCCCTGCATTGATCAAAGTATTTACATAGTAATTTAAAACTATTTTGCATCACCAAAATTTATTTGTACTTACTAGAGCAAATTAAATTCCCATCTTGGTACATAACTTGAGAGAGAAAACTAAAAAGGATTAGGCATTTAGTGTTGCGTGTATTTTAGAAAGCAGTATTGTGTCCCAGAAAACATTCTGAACCCTGCTGGAATATATCTTATTTAAATTGTAAGCTCTTTCTTAAGCTTCAGATTAGCATAGAGAAAATGGAATATCTTTGATATATAATTTAATCTTTCAAAGCTTAAGTAGTCAGGCGAAATGTCATGTATAAATCTGCTAACACTGTTGAGAATTATATATGCAGGAAAGGAACAAAAATATACATGTGCCGGTAAATCTCGGATAGATTAGAAAGAAAGAAAAAGCTATAAAAAGTTGCAAAATGTATAAAAAAAATATTTTTAGTCGCTCTTTCAAATTTGGTAATCACTTGCTGTAAAATGTACTACATGTATGTTGTAATCTGTATTAAACCTAATAGCTTCGTGTAAATATGTATATCCGCCAATGTAAAAAAAAAAGTTGTTTGCGGTAGCTCTTTTGGGATTTAGTTTAGATAAATGTTAGAGCGATATTCTTAAGGTGATGTTTAATAACTTTTAGCAAGAGTTCTTGAGGAGATTTACAGAGCTAAATATCTAACTGCTCCCATGTATTTAATTAACTGTTGTATCCGGATTATCCAAATAGATAGATAGATTTACGCGTAAGATTTACGCGTATTGGAAGCAAATTTTTCTTGAAAAGAATAGCAATTTTTGTATTGATTTCCCCATTTATTCAGCCAGAATCCCCCCCCCCCCCTTCTTAGTAGAATTTCACTGAGTTTTTTCATCAAAGTATCTCCAGTCATGCTTCATATACTTTTTTCCCCTTAAATCTTCAATCATACTTTGTATAGATAAAAATCATACCAATTCATCCAAACTTTTCATAAATCACCAGTTTAAAGAGATCGTTTTATCATTCAACATAACTTGTTCAATTTGTATTCATTTACTTATTTTTGTGTGTTGCTTTTCATGTTGTTGTAGTGAAGTTATTGTCTATTTTATTTCCTTTAAATTAACAACATTTTCATTAGGTTTCCTTATTCCTTTGTTGTAGTGTAGTTATTTTCTATTTTATTTCCTTTAAATTAACAACATTTTCATTAGGTTTCCTTATTCCTTTGTTCATCGAAAGTGAAATGTTAGCTACTTATTAAAAAGAATAAAGTTATTTCAATACCCCATTGTACATTCCATAGATATGATGTTCAGATTACGTCATTTTTCAATGTCATGATCACACATTTCAATAGATGACACATAAGGCTATTGAAATTACCTTAGGGTTTTATTTTTTATTTTTAAGTAGTTACCATCTTGTTTGTTGTTGCTTTGTTTTTTTTGTTTTTTTGTTGTTGTTGATTTTTCTTAACATTGGGTTACGATTGATGTTGTGTAAAGTTAATTAAATTAAAGAAATTAATGAAATGATTGTTGATTTGTACAAATAACTGCAATGCATCATGTACACAAATCACATTTGGTATATTGATGTTAATATATCAGTAGTTCTTCAGTAGCTTGGGGGGGGGCTATTTAGGATGTGTACAAATTCAAATGACAAGATCGTTGTGAAAATTAACTGTGGTTATACAAAATAATGGTGAAAATTAGAAAGAAAAAAACAACTGTTATTTAGTTCTTGGATAATACCCTTTATGCAATAGACATGAGTGGTTGTCAATGTAATAAATGTAATTAATTGCTAACAGAACTCTGATCAAATTCATTACTTAAATTATAGATTAAAATTACTGTCAGGCAGTACATGTTTATGGGATGCAAGTGTTCCTAGCTCCATAATAGCTGTAATATATGTAGCAGTTAACTTACCCCTATATATAATAGTGATAATAAGAGAAATATGGGATAGAGATGTGCTTGAATGCATGGTTGATCATTTGTGTCTAAATTAGGAGTTTGACTGTAACGGTCCATCTCGTTTAGAGATGATGAGAGAAGGCGTGTCCTCATCAGCTCAAGATTGCCAGATAGCCCGCTATTTCAGTTTTGGGAAATAATCCTGAAGTTACAAATCGCGCCTTCATCAGCTCAAGACTTGACCTCGAAACTTGAAACTCGAGCTCGAGAAATTAGCACAAGATATTTTGCTAAGCATTCGCGTATAGTGTGAGTCCTTGGGCTGGTGAAGACGCACTGGACAAATGGCCGGATATTTTGCAAACTAGCCCAAGATATCTTGGGATCATTAATCTCGACCAAATATCCCCCTAATTGCAACTACGCGCTGATGAAGATGCAAATTAACTGGATAATTTGGGATCGGGATAGTTAAAAAAGCGGGGTATTTGCCAATCTCGAGCTGATGGAGACGGGCCAAGAGGGAGGGGAGGGACAGGTTAGGGATAGCGGGACAAGGCTGGGAGAAAGTGTAATAATAGTAGCCGGTATACAATTAAATGCACTGGAGGCTCATGTAGTGTGACAATGCCTGTATAGTTATTATAATTACAGAGTTTGGCTGGAATGGTTTATCTCATCTCATGTAAGAATGATTGGGGGTGGGAGGGGGGGGGGGGACAGGTTTGGGAGGGGTATAAGGATGATGAAAAGTGTAATAATAGTAGCTTGCGTACAATTAAATGCACTGGGGCTCATGCAGTGTGACAATGTCTGTGTAGCTATTATTTAGATTTAGATTTTGGGTGGAATATCTTATCTCATGTAAAAATGATGATAGAGGTTGTTGGGGTGAAGGGGGAGGGGGGGGGGGGCTGCAGGTTAGGGAGGGGCTTCAGGATGAAGGAAAGTGTAATAATAATAGGTATCATTCAAAATGCACTGGGGCTCAATGTGATAATATCTGTATAGCTGTTATATAAAGTTTGGCTGGAACGTCTCATCTCATGTAAGAATGATTGGGGGAAACATGTAATGATAACTGAGACAAATATGAATAATTCATATTCAGAAATAAACAGAGCCGATGAACAGCCACTTTATTGCAAATTGCAAGAGTTAAAATACAAACATGCCCAAAGTATGACATTTTAGAGCCTGAGAAACATTTCGATCGTCAAACTTTCAAAGGCATTTACGAGCAAGGTGAACTTCACCTGGTAGAAAGTCATGACAATGATAGAAGTCGCATCCTTGTCCTTCATATGTTATGAGTCATGGTAGAGGTATGTCATTTTCCAAATGTCACAAAGTATGGACCCTCCACCCAGTGACTCTTAGCATAGGTCAGGCAAGCTAGTCTCTCACATGCAGACAAACAGATCATTAAAGACAAGATCTCTGTGTAGAACACTGTCTCTTTTTGAGTTCAGGCCCCTATCATATAAGGAGTTGCGATTCATATCAACCGCAACTTGAAACCAATGGCAACTTTTTAAAGTAGATACGAGTTATCTAGTTTGTGATTGATTGGAGGATTTTTTATTTATCTGGATTATCTGCAATTATTTTTAAGACAGGATCTTGGTAGGGAATAGAAATTAAGAGCATACAACTAGACTTAATTGAAAATTAACTAGACATTAAATGAACTTCAGACCAAATGGAGATCCAAAACAAGTTTGATCTGCTAACCAGTTTGGTAGATAAAGTGTAATAGCTGAGAAATAAGCAAAGACAGATTGAGGTATTTGTATATTTTTTATAATACTTTTGTCAAGGACAAAATGAATAGGGTAACCAAAAATGTGTAAACTGTTATAAGCTGAAGCAGAAACAATCTTACCATTTTTTTTTGTTGATGTTTAGTGTGCATTGTAGAACTCCATATTAAGTGTCCCCAACTTACAGAACATGGAAAGTCTGCATGTGTAGACTGGGTGCTGAGAACACTAAACCATGAATTGTCTATCTCCCATGATGCATTACTGCATAGAGAGAGAGGTCATAGTGTCGCCATTATGTAGTCAATTCGAAGAGGTCGTGTGACCTTTTCAGACGCTGTAGTTTGTGTAGAATCATGCAGCGTAGTTGTTTGTACTTCCAGAATTTTCATTGTACATTGCATTCACAGCTTCTAAAATGTCTTGTAGTATGTCTTTAATATTTCTTGTGCATTTGCTTTTATGGTCTTGAGCTTTGTTAGTGAGATTTCTTGTGCTTAATTTAGTTCAAGTCTATGTTTCATAATGCTGAATCTGAAGCACACATGTTATAATGTCAGGCAATTGTTCGACATATATGCTTTGGTGACAATTGCTTGTTGATCAATTACATGAACATAAATGACTTCAACCTTGGACCATCACCATACAGAACCCTATCACTAACTATCAACCTAACCATAACCTTAGCATAACCCTCACCCTAAATCCAAACATAACCCTATACCTAAACTTAAACTTAATTCCTAACTCTACCCCTTCCCCTACCCATAACCCTAACTCTAATCATATCTCTAATTCTAAAGCTAAACATTTTTAGAAGAAAAATGTTACATTTCCTTGACTTGATATCTGTAATATTAAAGAGACATCACTTTGACCCATTATAACAATCAACAAAGTTGGATTAGGAGAAAATGCTTGATAAGCTTACAAATTTCAGTTTTGTAAAAGAATTTTTACCCACTTTTTATAAATATTCTTAAGTCATTGATCAATATGATTTAAAGCGATTTTATCATGAATGTACCCTTGTTGAATGTGTTGAAATGCACTACTACATTTAGGGTTTGGTTCCAAGATCTCTAAGCCCTATCTTGTAAAAAGTTGCAATTGATTTGAATCGATGGCAATTCAAATCAATCGCAACTGTGTAGTTTGTGATTGATTGGAGGACTTGCAATGGATTCAAATCAGTCGCTACTCTCTATAAGAAGTCAGGCCTAGCTTATGTGATGTTTATGAATGTTTGTTTCATATTCCTAGGCTGGTGGAAGCAACAATCAGCAATCGTCCTTACCAGTGCATCCCTCAGGATACAGCGTCCCTGAGGGCCACACCACAGCAGCTTATGATCACACGAATATGAACGAAGAGTTACAAAATATACCAGAAGAGGTAATGTACATTGTAGGGATAATGTGGGGTGGGGGGGGGGGGGGGGGGGGGGGGGTTAAAAACACATCAAAAGTGAAAAATTAAATAGATGAATTATAAATCAAGGGAAAGCTATAATCCTTAGATTACGATAGCATCAATTATATGCTATTTTCGTGTCTGTCAGAGGAGTAACAGCTCCCTGAAAACTCAAAAATCTGAAACTTTGTAAATCGGAAGTTGTTGACCTAAAAACTGGCTATTGACTTGACATTATCTTATGTGGAGTTCACATATTCACAATGACCTAGCATTAATAAGCACTGTTCATCACCTCGACTATTAAGGCAAGCCATTCAGGTTCACATGTAATGTCGCCATCGTAACTGCGGCCACTTTTGACCCCTGTTGACTCGTAATTTGGAGGGGTGCAGAATACGAGGTTTTATTTTGCTTTTGTCCAATACTGAAAGGGGAAATGTTTGTATTCTCCATTCTATCAGCTTTTTATTGATATCAAGTTGTATTTTCATCAGATAGGGTCTTTAATTTAAGAAGGTGACTGATAGGAGAGAGAGAGAGAGATAGAGGGTTATCATATCAGTTATGATATAGTGGTGCTAGCTTTTAGATTCTGATCTATGTTTGAATGTTTGCGAACTTGTAGTTTTTTCTATTTTCTAGATGTTTTTAGAGATTTATAAATATCTGGTGCAAATAACTTGTAGTAATGTGCCTCTGCTGCTTAAATTTAGTTTGTTAGATGTTTGTATTTTTATTTGATTTTAATTTTTTTTTTAATTGTTGTTGTCAACTTTGATTAATTGAAAATTCATTAGAAATTGTGCTTTGTTTTTTAAGGAGGGGAAAATATTGTGCCGCATGTTCACTTTGCATGTTTAGAAATATTGCATGCTCTAGTGGCGCATTCTTTGATTTTTCTCTCTCTCACATTTGAATTTTGGCGTTCATTTCTCATTTCCCGTACAGAGGAGGAATGAAAAAGCTGCTGATGTGAAACGGTCTTGGGTTAGTTCTTGTTATGTCGCTACCTTCTTTTGCCTAGCTCCTTCCTCACGTTGCTGTGAAATTCACTTAACACATCCCACTGCAACACTGCAATTTTTCTCTCTAAAAGGATGGTTTCCAATGTGCATCTTGCAAAGATGGCAGTGATTTTTGAATGAATCATCACTACCATCGAGCATGCGAGGAGAAGGAGTTGTTGCATATGTTTCCACAGCCACGATATTTTATTGCACACCCCTTTTTTTGGGCACAGCCCTTCTAAACTTCCTTGAAAAGAGGTTTTGCACCCTGCAATAAGATACTCTGCTCTATTATATATATTTAGTTTAGAAATGTGTGTAGCAGTGAGGATTAGCCTCGTAGGTTTGCTGTGCTTTATAATTATGATGAATCACGAACTTGTATCTTTCTGCGTGCCTGTCTTTCCTTTTTCTCTTTTTCTTTTTCTTTTTCTGTCTTGCGTGTATGTCTGTTTGGTTCATTCCTTTAGGTTTGGTTTAGTTGTTAGTTTACCTGTCAGCATCTTTTCATATTTCAGCCTCTCCCTTTTCTCTCTTTTCTGCTCTCCCTTTACTCATTGTTTCTGTCTGTCTGTCTGCCTGTTGACTGACTGTCTGTTTCTCTCTGTCTCTACTTTTAACTCTGTTTCTCTTTGTTTTCTGTTGTCTCTATTTCTCTTTGCTTTTGTCCCTCTCTTTTTTTTCCTTTCTGCTTCTGTCTCTCTGTTTCTGTACATCTCTCTCTCTCTCTCTCTCTCTCTGTCTCTCTGTCCCCCTCTATCTTTGTTTCTGGAGGTCTCTCTTTCTAAGTTGTTTCTTGACTCTTTCTTCTCCTTTTCCTTAAAGGTACCACGTCCCTTTTGCAGCCAACCTCAAAATCTGTAGAACTTTGCAGGAATTATGAATATGTCATGTATGTCCTATCTGTGAAATTTAAACGTTAGCAGTGTCCTCATATTCAAATTATGCAAGGAAACTCGTTTACTTGCTAGACTTCACTGTCAGACACTAATCAGTGACTGACTGGCTTGTTTCTCCTTTGGTAATACATGAAAAGAGTTGTAAATGGTACATGAGCATTTGTCTACATCAATAACCCACTTCTTGGGATGGCCAAGATTAAACTGATTGAATCTTTGCGCAGCATAAAACGTATGACCATTCGGTACAATAATTGTCTGAAAATCAAGACTATTACTTTTGGGCTCTATAGCCCTAAAGTGGATTTGACAACTAATAGTCGTTATTTTCAAGCCCCACCTTTTTTAGGGAAGTTCTAAATTAGTATTATCTCTTAAATGCAGTTGGAATTTAACTTTTTCATTTTTTTGGCCTGCAAATAGGACATAGTACCTTTAAGACATCTCCTTTCTTTTGTTTTGTCTGGTTGTCTCTTTCACTGCTTCTCTCTCTCTCTGTATATATATATATATATATATATATATCTCTCTCAATCTCAATTTCTCAATCTCTCTCTTTCACTGGTGTCGGGCAAAACATCAAGTCAAGTCACAAGCTTTGTCGGCTAATGCACTGTTCCCCCAATAAACAGGCAAATGAGATTGAATTTAGGACGAATCACACATTTTCTCCCTACAATCAGACTTCATAGAGAGCCGATCATTTTTTGAGTGATCATCTGATCTGCTTTGCTCAATGAAATTCTCTGCAAATGAAACTGACAAATGACAGTGATTACATATGTCTGCAGATGCAGGTCTGTTTATTTCCATTTTACTCAGTGTTACTCTGTCTTACAGGAACAATGTGTCCATGAAAATGTTGGGTACATGTATTTTGTTAGTGCCTTTGGGGCTTTTAAAGCTTTGAATATTCAATAACGATGAGGTGATTACTTATTAGGGAATATAGGAATCCTAATTTGTTTGATATCAGACTTTATACTGATCAAATACAAAGAGAGTGGAATATTCTATACTGCTATTTTTCATTAGTACCACAGGCAGATAATCATGAATGTCCCCCCCCCCCCCTCCTCCACAAAAAAGGGTGTAAGGGGCTCTTTTTTTGCAGGTGCATTTGAGATAAAATTGTATTTTTCCCTCTTTGGTTGCAGTTTGTTCTCCATTTATGGTCTTTTTTCATTCCTCCTGAGCTTTAGTGCTTAACCATTTTTATGCTGTGGCCAAAACAAAGCAAAACAAACAACAATAACCAACAAAAAAATATATATAAAAACTGCCTCAACCCTCACCATTATCGCTATCTCTGACGACGACAACAACATCGATATTGTGATGATGACAAAAAAAACAACAACGACCTGTCTCCTTAGCTGATATATTCATATTTTCTGTCCCCCTTCTTTTTTCTTCCTTGAATAGATACATTTATCTTCAGCAGTGATACCTGAATTTTGTATATTTACTTCATTTCAAGCCATTGGCTATGAGAACAGGGTGTTCTTTATGTTAAAGGTAAAGACCAGTTATGGTCATGCGATTGCATTGTGAAAGAAACATTGTGGAATCGATCAGAAAAGGTTGATCATCTAGCATCTAGCATCTGCAAGGTTCTGGAATCATCAAAATGATAAGAAATTTGGCCCATTCTTTGTAAAGTTACAAGCACTATACACAGAAAGATGTATATGGGACTACCCTATATCTCTCACAGACCATGAGAGAAACAAATTTACCTAATATATGAATTAGTAGGTGGTTTCCCGGCAAATCTTTTATCATCATGTATTAGTCAAAACATATTCTTTCACATGATTGGTAATGAGAGCTTCCATTTCATTTTTTGAAATTGGGGCGTTTCCAATACTGGTCTTTACCTTTAAACCTAGTGGAATGAGTACATTAAGCAGTCAGTGGGGTAACAAAAATATAATACTCCAAATTTATCCCGTCATTTATTTTTTTATAAATGGAGCATCTGTGCTCTGAGGACAGTCGTTACAATCTGTGAGAGTGTCGAACAAAACTGTCCAAAGTGACACCTTTTAAAATGGGATCTTCTCGCTGCAATTGCCCAACAATAATTGCTCTGCAAATTCAGGTTTCTGAGACAAAAACAAATATAATCCATACCTTTAAACTATCCTTCAAAAAGTGCATGCTGATCTCCTAAAAGAAATGTTAGTTGCTGTATATAGTCTTTCTTTACATGTGAAAACCTAATTTTTTTGAAATATAGGATTTTGCTATTTCTTAAAGACCAAGGATGCTGCTTTCACTTAATTTGATCACCATGATAACAGCAATTTTGTTATTGCCCAAGGATATACATGGACAGTAAATGCTGAAGCTTATGTAACAGATTTTAACAATATATCACAACTTCTGTAACTTATCACCATTAAATGTAATCCTAAGGAGTGCAACCAGACTTTTTCCCAACTTGATGTGTAAAATATCTTTCTCCAAAAAAGAAAAAGAAATAGGTTCATATTGTTCTGCCTTTTTTGCATATTTTCATTAACTTGCCTAACAATTAGCATGCTGTATGTTCTTGTTTTGTGATATCTTGTCTCTTTCAATCTGCATGGGCATATATCCAAACAGGATTAGAAGTTTAAAATTTATTTAACATTCTAATAAATGTGTATACAGTAGGCTTACGGTTGCACCATGTAAGGGGGAGGATTGGGGATTTCTGAAACCATGCAAGCCGATAGTTATAAGCATCATTATAGTATGTTTGGTATATTTGGTATATTTCATATCACAACACACTGCAAAATTATTTAGTGTATTTAGCTTATGTACATACACTTGTGTGATGCACGAAACACGTTCATGTGCATCGATAAATTTGACTGCCTGTCTAGCAATATGCATTACAGTATGATAAAGTATGGATGAAATGATTACTTAATGACAGATAACACATTTTCTGTTGCTTGGTTACATCTCGATTACACGTTGCTAGGCAACTAGTGAAGCATGATTTTTATTAAACGAACAGACATTACACAAAAGCTTCAAATTTCTAACTGATATAAAGTGGCAGCAAGAACGGCAGTGAAACTCACACTTTTTCCTCATCCTTCATTGCAGAATGAAATTTGAGTGTGAAATATATTGAAAGGAGGACGAAAACAAGCCCCGGGTTAAAAGTGGTCAACGCCATTACAAGAATCACAAGCAGCTCCACAATATCACTCTCACAATAACAACAATAACAACAACTACTACAAGGACAGTTACAACAACAAAGCTCTTTTGCTTTCATATAATTATTCAAACCTCTGCAGAGACTGGAAGGAATATTTAGAGGGTTCAGTGACACAAAGACGTAACTCCATATCTTGCCAAAATGAGTATTTGATATCAAAATGTTCAGAAAATTGCGGGCTTTCCAGGAAACACAAAGACTTGACTCCACCCAACACCCCATTGAAGTCAATGGCTAGTGAAACATAGACTTAGCTCCTTAAGGCCCAAGTGGACCTCCAGCTTTAAACCACTTTTTCTCAAAATGGCCAAAATGGAGATGGGTCTATGTGTCACTGCCCTCTCAATATTTTGTCAACCAAAGCAACAGAAAAGCCTATAACAACAATATTTCTTCTCTTTCATGCAAACTTCTTTGCTGCTACAGCTACCACAAGGAATATCCCACCATAGACAGAGGAGTAGCCCTGAGACGTTCACCCGGATCAACAACCAATCCCCTACAGCAGGGGTCAAGAGGAACAACTCGGACGCTCAGGCCAAAGAAGCGGCCAGGCAGAAGGTCAGGGAGGGAAAGGTCAACGTGGTCGAACCCCTGTCCAGGGAGAAGAAACAGAGGAAAGACTTTGAGGCAATAGGAAGGGTAAGAATACAGTACAACTGTAGTGGTGGTTATTTTACCTGACTGCTAAGAGTTAGTAAGCAACTAGAGGACCGACAGCTTAAGGTCCTCTCCGAGAGACCTGGTACTAAGGATTAATGCCTTACCAAAGGGCACTAGCGCATCGCCTTGGTTTCTAATCCGGGTCGTAGAACTACAAGACCACTGCTCTACCAACTGAGCTATTGCGCCTCCTGTCAACAAAGACCACCAAAGGGAAAAACAAAATAACGGCCATTAGTGCCTGGTTTTTTGGAACATTCACTTTCACAGTAATAAACTTGAGAGAACAATTGAGGATTAGGGAGGTTAAAGTCGGTGTGGTTGAACCACTTTCCAGCGGCAAGAAACAAGCTACACAAGTATGCAATATGATGAAAATTTCCAAAGCTCTTTGGAAGCACATAGGGACGTTGTATCACAATGTAGCATGAGCTACGCCAGAATGCAATATTCATTTATTTGTCTTCTTTCTCCTATCAGACCAAGTCATTACCGGGAGAAGCGATGGATCCCGAGTTTGAAGATGGCGAGGCAGCTACCTCTAAGATGCTTGGCATGGAGTCTGTCACCCCTATGGAGGGAGTGGTAGAGGCCAGTATGATAGAATCAGATGTAAGTATAGCGGATTGTTCCATTGGATTGTAGGCGATAGTACAGTGTTTTTATTTGAGTAATGAATGTTAAAGGATGTATTGTAGGGAAGAGTGGAAGTAACTAGACCGAGAGGGAGACCCGGAATCAACTGGGAAGAGAATGTCAAGAACTGGATTGGACTAAAACAGCAAGAGTGCACCAGAATGGCAGAAGATAGAGTGAAATGTAGAGATGTTGCAATCAACCTCCAAACAGGGAGAAGATACTTGGAATGATAGATAGATAGAATGAATGTTAACAAATTGAGGTGCTTCAAATGCTAGCATTTTATCCTCACCATCATTATTGTCATCATCATCGACATTATCATCATATACAGTAGGCTTGTCGTTGCACCATGTGGGAGAGGGGGAGGATTGGGGAGTCCTGCAAAGGACTCTCAGTAATCTCAATCCTCCTTCTCTCTCACATGGTGCATCTGCAAGCCTACTGTATATCTACATCACCATGCAAGCCGATACTTATAAGCAGCATCTTTTATCATCATTATCGGCATCTATTTGACCTTCATCATTATGCCGAATAACTTTTAATTTGGTTTGATCATCTTTTCTCACCAAGCAGGCCAGAGTGACGACCGATTCCGCAGACATGCCTCAGTTCCAGATGGCCACCGTCGAGAGGATCGATTTGTTCAGCGCCCCTGCAGTCTCGGTGGTCGACTCACTTCACGCCCCTGGACCACCCCCTCAGGGTCAGGGCCAGATGAAAATCATGTGTATGGACGAAGACGACTTCCAGTCCGATACCGAACCGGTAAGATATCGTTGATAAATACGTGGTAAACAAAATGGATATTTATATAGCGCCGGTATCCGCCAGGCTCTGACGCTCATGGCGCTGTACATATTTCAATCACGAACATATCACTTTCTTAACTAAAGTAAAGGTAAACTAAAACAGCACAAATTATTATGCCACAATTAAAATTGTCATAATTAAATAGCACTGTTCAGAAAGATAAATATGTGGTAGACAGTACGCTTTGTTGACATGATCCTCACAAATGAAAAGAATTTTTCAGTGAAGTTTAGTTATCACATCCAAGGGATATTATGTCTATGGAAGAAGACAATCCGATATTGGGCAGGTATTAAAGATTACCATGGTTGATTATTAACGCTAGGCTTATACGCATAGTTTTTAACTACAAAAAAGTTGAAGTCGTTGACAGGGTTCTCTCAAATAGTTAGCATTTTTGCGGTCATGTTTGGTTATGTATGAAGAACATCATGTATATGGACAAGGCAAACTTTCGATCCAACAATGAACTGGCTGCCATCCATCCTTCATGTATGTCCTATATCTCCCCCTCTCTCTGTCTCTCTCTTTCTCTCTCTTTCTCTCTCTCTCTTTCTCTCTCTCTAGTCACGTAACCTCCAAATTATTTTTGTGTCTGTTTAAGCTCATGTTCAATCCACGTAGACTATTTGTTGCTCTTCACATTTAAACAAAACATATTTCAGGTCTTTTACTCATTTATTCCCTCCTTTATTCTCATACTTTATTCTTAGTCGTTTATGTGGTTGTTTGAGCTTTGCACTTTTTATGTTTCATCTCAAAAATCGTAGGTGCCTCCCGTGGCTCCGGAAGTAAGTCGAAATGCATCATTTATCCTAAAAGACAATTCTGCATTTTGCTCCAAGATTGATAGACAATTTCATGCTTCTGTCCTTGTTAAGAGCTTGATATGTGTGTTTGTGTTGTATTCATTATCTGTTGGTTTTGCTAAGAGTTCAAACCGTCCAATCACTTGAGGTATTGTGGGTCATGTGACTTGGTGATATTCAGTATCTTAGGCTGGGAGACAATTTCAAGTCAAAGATAATTTTAAGATAATTTTGAACCTTAATTTAAAGTGTTCCACTAGTAAGTAGAATGTAAAGGTTTATTTGGATATTTTCATCAGTACTAAAGAGATTTGTTATAAAGAAATATATTTTTACATTTTAATATTCTTATGATACATGGTAATATATATTCTATTACACTGATATAGGGAGACTTCAAATTCTCCAAAAGAAATATCCAAAATGAGACCACTAAAACATTACACTTTCGTTTTCTGGTGTGCAGTTCTTTTATTACAGTGGCTTTCAGATTACCTCATCCAAAATCAGGGGAATTCCCCATCTTTGCATGAGCGCAGATGTACTTTAATGATAAAGAAAAAAAAAAAATGAAAAAAAAATGAGAAGGACCACTATATGAAATACTGACCAAGCTTTTGATCAAAGCTTTGTATAAGAATCTAGCCATCCATGCACTGATATAAAAAATAAGTTACTTCAAGGACTTGACATTATCTCAAGAGGTTGTAGGTTTAGAATTATTTAAGATACCACCAACACAAGACCTTATCAGCAGAAAGGGCATTCATTCAAGACCGTCGCTCCATACACAGGAGTAGATGTAGGAGCCGGTAGGATGAGAGCATACAGTATTACATTGGAATGCTACAGAGAAAGAAGGATCCTTGCATTTGTATACTGTAGCTAATAACTTTGATAATATGATTTTAGAAAAGCATTCTAATCCCTATCAACACATTCAGGAGTCAGAAAACTTTCCATCTTATGCTAATTAAGAGAGACAAATGACGCGAAAATCTATGAAAGATTATTTAATTTAGCCTTGAGGTCTTTTTTCTTAACATAGGGGCTGGGTGTGCAGGGAAGGAGTATAGAAAAACAGTTAATAGATCTCTTCTACATTCTCATAAGGAATATTGTACCTTGTAGAAATAATCCTGATGGCAGCTATCATACAGCTAAACTGGGTTGTATATTGAAAGTGCAAGAATAAAATTTGTCTTTCAGCATAAATACACTTATACTTTGGGGTGAGGTTTCCTTTAACCCTTTTTTCCTTCAAAATTGGGTTAAATGAAAGAAGCTAGCCTGAGGTTTTTTCCTTTGTTAAATTTGATCTTAGACCTAGCATCAGGGTTAACTGAATAAGTAGAAAATGGAGCACAATATGCATAGCTATGGCCTTCTGGCTTTCGAAAGAGGATGTAGATGTTACCCTATACTGCTGATAAGGTCTTATGTCACTCTCTTGTATCATGTATAAGCTACACGTACATACGTCAGCATCACTACATCAAGAGGCACTGCTATACATTCTAAAAAAAGTCCACCAAATTTTATTCATTAAAGTGAAATAAACATCTGCCAAAATCATAGCTGACAAAGAAAAGGTCATATCCTGTTCTATTCTATGGCGGACAAGGTTTCAAAATCAACCTAGATATTACTTTTAAAACAACCTTGCATCATGTAGATGGGTCGATATACTGACATGATAGCAATCTACCCTTTAGCTGCAATGCTGCAATCTGTTTTTATTATACATTGTATTCCTGAAAGAATCATTAAATCTATACTTCTACATCTAAAATTCTGTGTAGATGCATTAAGGCTTATTGATTACATGTAGTATAAATCTGCAATATTACTTACCATGGCAATAAGCCTATGCTGTCGATGCGATGCGATATCAATTATTCATAAACAATCTTCACAGGGCTCAACACTAATGTGGGTTTTGCACAAGCAGTGTCCTTTATGAAGATCAAAATGATACATCTTTATTTCTTCCAAACCCTCCATAAATCATTAATAAATAGAAGAGATGAAAAGTGATACCCCATACCCTGAAATTTTTATCCCCGGAGACTACTACATGAAGTAGAGGTGTCACGGTCTAGTGGGAACGTCACTGGACTGTGAATCACATGGTTCGCGATTTGGTCTCGCTGTGGCACTGATATCCTTTGGCAAGATATTAATCTGCATTTGCCACTCTCCATCCAGGTGTAGTAAATGGGTACCCTGTAGGAAGAATTTCAATGAATGCTTGAGCGCCTACTCATGGTAGCTTGGCTAAAGGTGGGGTAATAATATGATTGCAGGACCCTATGGGAGAATAGTATCAATACTGATGAGGCTGCCCTGGGTAAACAAGACATGTTTGATATTATTATATATATTACCAGATGTATCTGGTTCCGGGGTCTGTGGTCACTGGTGAAGGCTCTTAACTCTCATATACGAGAGGTCCTGGGTTCAAATCTTGCTTGGTGCTTACACCCTAGGACAAGGTGTTTTACTCATATTTGTCCCTCTCGACTGAGGTGTATTAACATGATAAAACTGGGATAGTCACAATTGCAGGGCCCGTAGGAAGAACAGTATGAATACCAACGTGGCTATCCCGAGTTTAAAAAAAAACAATCAAATGAAATTATTGAATGAAACAGAGGCCTTAGTAATGGACCTCTGATACTTTGCTCCACGACATGAAAGAAAAAAAACTGGTTAACAATACAAGACGCTGCCCTTTAAATTTCATTTACAGCAAGCAAGACTTCTAAGAAGGGTATTTTCAATTTGACAAAATAAATGATAAATCCTGTTGTCAGATATAAACTAAGCTTATACATGTTCATGATATGATTGTATCCATTTGTTATTGTTTTCAATGTTAAGTTTGTTGCCTGTGTGTGTTGCGTTATGCAGCCTTCTCACTATTTATGTTGTATTCATCTTTTCCACTTTTCCTGAGCAAAATTCTATTAATTGACTTATTTTGAGTAGTGCCCCAAGGGTGAAGGTACTTTGGAGAAAAAAAGAAATTAGTTATATATTGATAGTGTGACAAATAGGAGAGTTATCCCTCACTATGTCACAATCCACTGAAAAAATTGCCAATTTGAGATTTGCATAGATGTAGTGATCTCATATTTCAAACATTCATAACTTTCTTATTATATAATGGTCCCTTTTATATCAAAATTCTGCAATTCTGTCTCTCTGATTTTTCTGCTTTCATTCAAATGAAATTATTACAAAGGTTGGATTGCTCTTTAAGAACACTGTAGACAATTTAACATACATTTAAAATAAAATTCTTAATATATATATGCAATTTAATTCATTTAATTGTACATTTTGTTAAAATGTAAGCTTAGCATAGATGTACATGTATATGCAATTAAATGGATGTGGTGAAAAGGGTAATCCTAATCTTATAATAATTTTAACATTCATGAGTAGCCAGGGGATTTCCATTTGTTTTTACTTGTACATTTAAGAAAATAGTGTGTACTGAGATGGGATTGAATATAATTTTTACATTTTTAGAATATTGCAGTTATCTTTAATTTGTGGACAATTTTTTTAAAAACTTTAAATATGAGGAACATGAGTTTATTTCTTTGAATTGAACTGTTTCAGAATGTAGAATGTGTATCTAGTAATTGTTAGGCACAAAGTAACAACTTAGTATCTAAAGGGCACTACTTTTTATTTTTATAATTTAATTGCCTTGTACTAACACATTCTTTTGTTTTGGTTACATTATTCAGACGTGTTACTTTTTATATATTTAGCACAGAATTAGGAGTTGAGTTTTTCCATTTGTTTTGCATCGTGGAGATTTTGTCAAATTCTAACCCTGGATTGTTTTGTAATTTTTTAAAAGTTTGACTGCTTCATTTCATGGAAGCATGCAATAAGTTTAATAGAATCCATGATTTTATTCTTGATAGCAATTGGAATTAATATTGTGCTATCTGTTGTAATATCTAAGTTTGATAGTTTTAGGTATTTTTAATTCTGAGGTTTCTTATAAAGATAATTTGGCATATTATTTTCAATCCAGACACCCCAATTTGGTACTGGCTCTAAAAGTTAGAGTGCTACAATGTACTTGTAAGACATGTGAATCTGATATCATTTGACGTTTCATGACGTGAAGCTGTGTTCATCCATTAAAAACTTTATGTACAGGGTGTATTTATGCTAAACCTTTATTTCTGGGGCAAAATCTATGCAATTTCTACTTCATATTGAGTTGTCCACACTTATTTTGTAGGGCCTTCTCGCAAAAGCTCAAACTATATACCGGTAGGCAACCATTTATATTGCAGCACATAGAATATTAACTTTCATTAAAAATTAATTACTTTCCATCTGTTATTGCTTTCTTGGCAATGATATCTGACTATTTAAAGCAAATCACTTTTTTTTCTGATAGCTATAAATTTTAGCTGGAAAAAATAGGATTTAAGATTAGACAATATCTATCGAGCATCACAAACTTTCTATATAACCATTTCTAAACTTAGCACAGTGTTTGATCAAATTAGAAGAAAATTTGATTGGTCTTTAGACTCTTTTAAAGCTAACATTTTTTGATGGTTTTAAAATTGTCTTGGTATAGAGGGGAATAAAAAGATGCTTAACAGCTAATGAAATACATGTATATTTCTTCACAAGTCTCAAAAGTTATGCTGCTAAAAGGGTACTAAATCAATCATTACAATCTTGAAAATGAGTGGAAACTGGGAAGCAAACTTCAGGTAAATTATCTGTTTATCCCTATTAATGCAGAGGCGGTGATGTACAAACAAGCAAATTTAACTTCTCTGAAATAGTATTTTTATTGCGTAATATATCCACTCTCCTTTTTATCGTTAGCATACGCACCAATGTGCAAAGGCTATCATACATGTATCTTGTGCAGGGTTCTCTTCTACGGGGGTTATCTGAAATAAATACGTATACTCTGCTATCAACTGCTCCGGTCTTTATTTTGTTAAAGATATAGGGTTAACATTTGGGATCGAAGCATCGTCTGAGGCAAGGGTTAGGCTTAGAGTGAGGGTGAGGGTGAGGGTGAAGGGTAGGGGTAGGGTGAGGGTTAGGGCTAGTAATTACGCTTGGTCCAGGGTTGAAGTTAGGAATTCGCATAATGTAGTGGATTTGATTGCTGAGCAATTGTCAACTTACCTCTTGTCACCTAAACTGAACGGTGATTCAATATTTGCTTCGGCTACAATTCCTCCAGGCTTCATTTCGTCTAAAGTATAGGGTTAGGGTTAGTGTTCGGGTTGCATTTGGGATTAGGTTAGATTTAGGGTAATGGCTAGGAAAACTATAGGAATTTGGTTAATGTAGGAAGTTATCACTGAGCAATTTTCGCAGGAGCAAGTGTCGTACAAGTGTACTTCACACAAAGGTCTGGCTCTCTTATATGGATATTGTGTAATAAAAATATATATTTGTTGTTTGTTTTTGTTTGTTCTTATGTTCTTAGCTTCCCCTGGTGCTTTCTGTGGGAAAGGCCCAAGGGTCGTACGAATTCAACGTTCCCTTTTTCCCCCTCCTTCCAGGCAACTTCAGGAAGGGCAACATGGGAATTTGAATCATTTTTTCTTATTCTGCATTTCATATCTTCATTGTAGTGTATCTTTGGAATGCTAAATAGAGAATAATAATTATTGTTATTTGTTGAATTCTTTTCCAGCCTGAAGACCATGGGCCATTCAATGAACTTGATCAGCTGCAGAAGAAGTCGGCACACATGGCAGTATTCATACACTATCTCATATCCAACAGCGACCCCTCAAGTCTGGTAAGTTGAAAAGCCATCCTCGGGCTAAACCCTCAGTCAGACCTCACCAATACTATAATGATGACTGTGATAATACATGTAAATCCCTCCCAAATACGCCATTTTTAATGTAACCAAATTCAACGTGTATGTCTTTGTGAAGTGCCTTGAAACAAACATGTTTCATTCACCTGTTACAAATAATTGTTTCTTTGATACTTAGAATGCTAATTGCATACATAACCTGTTATGTCAAGCCATCATGTTTGTCCAACCTAGCAACAAGTAATGTTGCAATTCGCATTCTGATTATTGAAATATAAGGATATACACAGTGCCTCCAAGAAAAAACCAAACCGAGAATTATTGATGTTTTATCATAGCTTAATCACAATTATAATTAATAAATGACACATATTTGTAAAGCTTAGATCCTCTTTCATTAGATTCAACTCATATGATGCATATTTCACGCATGAGTGATTAAAAACAATTTAAAGAGAGGAAACCAAAAAGTCATTTGGCGGGCTGTATCTGATTTCTGATTTTCAAAGAGAAAATCACATTTCTAGAAAGTTCGTTTTCTGCGCTTTCATATGACACCTCGATCAGGAAAAATGAGCCAGGAATAACTAAGTTCTGTTTGTTTAAAGTAATGTTTGCATTTCCATAATTTGATTAAACAAATTCGTTTTTACTGGCTGCCTGCCGTAGCAACAAACAGAGTTGACAAAAGACTTAAATCCGTTTCGTTGACGATCAGCCATGCTGAAAGAACATGAAGAAGGAGAAGAGAAAGAGAAAGAGAGGAGGAGGAGGAGGAGGAGGAGGAGGGGGACGGGGGATAGAAGATGGAGGAGGGGAAGAGAAAGAGAAGGACAAGAAAATGAAAGAAATTTCAGAACAGCAATTTTCTTGATTCGCATTTGATTAATCAACATGTATAAAAGTGTATCTTTCTTTTCTTCCCTTGTATTTTTTCACATTACAGTTTTTCTACCTAGTAACAGATTCATATGCCAGCGGTAACTTGAGGGATATGAAGAAATGGGTCTACGATATCTTTTCAACTTTCTTGGGAAGTGGAGGGGTAAGTAGGGGACATTCCTAAATTCATACTAGCCAATTAGAAGGGTTGAGTAAATCAAGTAAAAGGAAAGTGACAGAAATATCATGATGAGTGTATTACTGTTTTTTACCAAGAGATCGAACTACTGTGCAGTTAAAGGCATTGTTTAACGATGTTAAATCTGAGATGCACGGCCCTGCGTGTTATCAGTGTCTGTGATATGGTGTAATATTGAAGCCCTAAAATAATCGCGCTTTAAAATGATCAAGAAGTGCCTCAAAAAAGTAAAAATCTTTGAGTGACCGGTTTTACCATACTCGTTTTTCCCAATAGACTGTAGTGTTATGAAAACCGTTCAGCGAGCGGTTTTCAAAATTTGTAATTCCAATCATTAATATCTTGATAATCAGACAGACAATTGGATTGTAAAAGTCATGGAGTTCCTGACTGACCTTAAGGTTTATAATTATCATTGCAGCATGAGCTAAATCAAGGATTATTTCTAAAGGATCTGAGACAAAGTTACCGGATCCCTTTCAGCAATATTTATCAGTGATTGACAAGTCAGTTACAAAATGAAACCAAAAGAACTCATTAATTGTACTATTAAATTCCCCCATAGAAGTCTATTGAAAATATGTGTCTTTCAATACTATTCTAATGGTTGAGGAAGTATTTAACAATATATAAATACTACTGTACTCTCATACCAAGGAAATAGACTTCTCTGCTTCAAAAGAACTTGGATTTCTTCATATATACATTTTATACCTGAGAGATATATTATAACCACTGCCACTATTACAATTACAAAACTGTATTACTACAACAAAAACAATGACTATTACTACTAATAATTCTTCTCCTTCCACACATGCTTCTTTATTCTATTTCTTGGTAATACTTGGATCTGATGCGAATAGACATATGCTCTAATATATATGGACCGTTTTCCAATGTAAAGTTTCTTCCACGTTAAAAACTTTTAAAAGTTCTAAGTAAGAGGGAACTAGTGATATAGTTGGGTAGCATGCCTATTTACACAATCCTACAATGTTTACAAATGATCTTCAACCATTTCTGTGCCAAACCCATTTTAAAAATCCTGCATCCATTAGAATCTTCAGCCAGCTTTTTGTCAATTTCTGATATCAATCCGGCTTCAAATGTCAAATCTAATATTTCCGTCACTTTTCAAGGTTTCTTACCCGGAAAAATGAAACGGATATTGTATTATCTACATTATATTGCTACATCAATCAAATATATTGCTACATTAATCAATCCAGGATTTTTTTCAGAATCCCTTTAACTTTAGTAAAACCACCCTTCTGGTTTGCCTCTTGATAATGCTTCATTCATTTTCATTTTTTTAGTCATGTAGACGTTGATATATTCTTTAAATGTATGTCATTCCTCACAGTATATTTCTAAATTAATTGCTTTCATTGTTCCGATGACCATTTCAAATCACTGATAATACATCTTGTGCACCTTTCTCTCTCTCGTTTTCAATTTTGAATACATCCAGCCTCTAAGAATACAGATGGATGAGAGTCTAGTGAACAATATAGGTAAGTTGAGAAAATATCAACATGGAATTGTAAGTAGAAATGAAAATGAGTTTGGGAAGTGTAAATTGAAATGGCAATGGAAATAGACATGGGATTGGAATTGTATATGGAAATTGAAATGGAACTAGAATAGAGTTGGTAATAGAAATGGAAATGGAAATGGGATTGGAATTGGAAATGGAACTGGAATGGAGTTGATAATAGAAATGGAATAGTAAGTGGAAATGGAGTTGGTAATAGAAATGGAATAGTAAGTGGAAATGGAGTTGGTAATAGAAATGGAAATGGAAATGGGATTGGAATTGGAAATGGAACTGGAATGGAGTTGATAATAGAAATGGAATAGTAAGTGGAAATGGAGTTGATAATAGAAATGGAATAGTAAGTGGAAATGGAGTTGGTAATAGAAATGGAAATGGAATTTTAAATGGAAATTGAAATAGAAATGGAATTGTAAATGAAACTAAAAATGGGACAGGAATTGTAAATGAAAATGGAAATGAAGTTGGTTATAGAAATAGATATGGAAATGGAAATGGGATTGGAAGAGTAAATGGATATTGAAATGAAATGGAACCCAGGTTGGTAATAGAAATGGAAATAGAAATGGAATTGTTAATGTAAATGGAAATAGAGTTAGAAAGGAGATTGGACTTGGAATGAACATTGTCACTTATCAAGCTCTATCTACCCCTCTCTTTCTTCAGAGCATACCATCAACACACAGCAGAACAATGAAGAGGCAATGAGGAACGTCTTCATCGCCGCTCGCAACGTTGCCAGGGAGGAGGTGGACGACCTCCTGGCCGACTTCCGTCACACGAGGGCGCGCGGTCTGGGTTCCATCTTCGGAGACCAGTACCTGACCAACGAGGACATGCCAAAGAGCCAGGAGCTGAAGATTGTGGAGTCGACGCTACTACCCCATCTTGACAGGCTTACTTCGTGAGTTATCAATGCTGCTATGTTCTCTTCACAATGAAGAAGAAATCGGTTAAACCCTGCTATAGCTACAACCTTTATAGATATACATGTACCACCTTTCTGTAGAGACTGTTTTTATGCCTCCGCAACGAAGTAGCCACAGGCATTATGTTTTCGGGGTTGTCCGTCGGTATGTCTGTACGTTCCTTTTTCGTGATCGCGTTATCTCAAGAAACGATCGATGGATTCCTGCCAAACTTGGGTCGTGTATGTATCTTGCAGAGCCAATGAAGTGTTTAGATTTGGGGGTCATCAGGTCAAAGGGCTCATTTTGTATGCAAAATAGCTTGTAATCACGATATTCTGAGAACCTGTTAATGGATTACAATCGAATTTAAATTTAAAAATTGCTTGGTTTTGGTTTGTAAAATCGCTCTATGGGGAGGCATCATTTTTTACTCTGCGCAGTCCAAGATCCATCTAGTTTTCTTCTTTTTCCCATGTTATTATATTTCTCATGGAAACTTGGCTATTAAAGATCAACTGTTTTAAAGGCCACTTTTCAGGTCTCCCCTCAGAGTTCTTTCTATACAGGTTAATTTGTAATTGCAACAAAGATAAACTAGAGCCAGTTTTCTACTGAAAACAGTTTTAAGCTGTCTGATCCCTTCTTTTGAATAATATTCTCTCTCATTCTATCTCCACTTCCTTCTCTTTCTCTCTCCTCATTCTCTTACCCAACCCCCACCCCTCGCCTCTCATTCTCCTGTTCCCTCTCTACAGATCTGAAGTAGAGAAGGAGCCCAAGAACCAGGCCCTTGCTGCATCACTCAACACCTTCATGAAGCAAGCTGGTGTGAAGAACACGACCGGTAGTGCCCTAGAGAGGGCCCCTAGCTTCATGAACAAGGACAGAAGAGGGCCCCTCAAGTTCCCCCGCTCCACCAAAAAGGTTAGCTCAGCTCAAACGTTGATTGTACCTTTCTTCGGTGGAATAATACAATTTAATAACTATATTTCATTTTTTATTTTCAAGTAGATCAACAACAAAAAATCATCTGTACGGAAAGCGAACTTCCATTTTAAGATTGCATGTGGCGTTGTTTTTGCAGAAATGCACTAGATTTCTTTTTAACCTTACAATATTATGAATACTAAGTAAGAAATCATCTCGTGATATACTAAGGCAGTAATTGTTCAGCTATCAAATTCTTACATTAGATTTCTGATAGTTAATGAAGATCATGTGTACGCTGTATTGCTTTGCATAAAATGATAATTATACACACTGTTATCTGTCATGTTTTCAAGAAAACAAGTATTTGAACTCTGCTTCACAACTGTAGTGGTTTTAAGACTCTCAATTGATGAATTCTTGCTATAAATTTTGTTTTGCCTTCAAAATATAGAATTTTTTAGCATGCTTTTCTTCACAAACTGAACCTTTGTCATTCTTTTCTCTCTCTGTTACAGCAGTCGGTGAAAGGTCACGTATTTCAAGAGAACCAGTATTTAAACACCACTTTCTGCAACCAGTGTAATGGTTTACTATGGGGCATTGGCTACCAAGGCCTTCAGTGTACTCGTAAGTTTTGCCACATTTAATATCGTAGTTTTTTTTCCTGAAAGAATGGTATCATACCTGCCAACCCTTACGAATAATCCAGAATATTCTGTTTTTCTGGATTTTTAGGACCCCAAAATCCAGAATATTCAGATTTGTCAAAATTTCAATTTTTTTTTATTTTTTATTTTATTTTTTAAAGCCAAATTAAGCTTGTTTTATCATGTGCCACGATGTGAGAGTTCACGTATTGCGTGCATTGAATGGCTGCATGATTGAGCAGCGAATTTGTATTCACTTTTGTGTACAGATTTACCGCGTATTGCCAGTTACACTGCCGCTTCATGCGCGAACGCCTGTTATGGGTACAGATTTCTTATTTTCGAAGGCATACCGTGCTAAAGATTCCTAATTCTTATTTTCAAATGTTGGCAGGTATACAGTATGCTTACATTCTCAAATGTTAAGCATCCATTTTAAAGAAAGGTTGTTCTTGACCCCCTGAAAGCTTGTCTGAGACTTGCCCGACATAGCAACACGTTATTTATGCATACTGGATTCCAAATATTGTAGTCCATTCATTAACAACAGGTTAAAGGGAATAACTCATCACTCGGTCCCCAGTAAAGAAAATCCTTGAATTTGAATATTTTAGCTAACCGGTCTTTTGGGGGTGGGGAAATGGATATTCCAAGGAAATGGAATGGTCCCCAGGAAAGAAACATCCATGAATTTGAATATGTTAGTAAACGAGTCTAGTCTATCCTAATATAACCTTTCTGTCTTTGTCTGTGTTATTCATTGTTTCTTTCTATTCCTTTTTTAAACCAAATTGAAGGGGGGGGGGGAGAGAAAGCACAAGTGTAAATTTTCTTTAACAGAGTTAATTTAAATATGTAGTTTAAATATGTCAAATGATTAATTAATTTAGTCCTCCTAGACAACCCATTTGGCAAATTTCACTCAATATGGACCAAGAGTAGGCTAACTTCTGCTGAATACCCTGTTTAAATATTGGTGTTAATTTCATAAAAGATCCACAGATAGTATGAATTTGATGGAGTGTATTGTCTTTCACAAATAATCAGTTCAATGTACTTATCTCAAGTGAGCCAGCTCCATGTTTGGTAAAAAATTACTACAACACTAGATAATCTGAATTACATGGAATGTATGGAATAGACTGCTTATCAGATTGTGAGTTGTATTTACAAGTCCGGTCCATTCCCTAAGCAGATTTCAACCTTGAATATACCTTGAATATACCTTGAAGGCCACACCTCGCCATCGTGGTGATGAAGATCCCATAGAATTTATAGTTCTTGAAAGAACCCAAGATAATCTGATTTCTTGAATGGAATGTATTTCTTTTCAGATTGTGAATTTAATGTACACAAGCAAGGCCCCTGTCTGGAGCAAATTACCTCGGAATGCCCGGGCAAGAAGAAAAAGAGGGACAAGGAACACAGAAAAACAAAAAGTAATTTCCCTGCTAACATTACCATCGGCCAAGGTAAGCATTTGTTTTCCTGTTTTTACATCTGTTAACATTTTATTGTAGTATCAAAATATCCAATGTCTGTGTTTATTTATTTATATTTTACACTGTTCTATACTTATTAACATAATTATATAGTATTATCATATCCATTATCTGTAGTTTTCTTGTACACAAATGTAAACTAAACAATTTTTTTTATTAGAACAAATTACAATAACTGTTACGTGTATGAGCTACTGAAATCATGGCATTTGATTGGCTCAGAGCAAACTTGTCATAGAAATTTTACATTTGTTATTGATAACCAGTTTTATGAAATAGGGCCCAGAACACATTCTTTCATTACTTTAATGGCTGAAATCAAAAACAAAATGAAGAAATAGAGAAGAATGAAAAGGGAAGAGGGAGGAGGGAGGAGGAGAAGAAGGAAAAAAAGGCCAAACATGATGTCCATGTGCATGGATTGAAATCTAATTTTGTTGATTGAACTTTATCTTTAATACCAGGTAAAGATGATTCCAAGGCGATTCCGACCCCTCTCAGTCCGGCCATTACTAATGTCATTCACATGAAAGGGGACAATGATGAACTAGGTATGTGATATTTTGTTTATATGATTTTCTAAGTATACTTTGTTCAAGATATATTGTAAAACAGCATCTGAGGAACTAACACTTCAACAAGCTCTGCTTCTAGTTAGTTCCTCTTTTCTCCTGTTATTTCTATGATATTTGTTGATTCATTGTATATTTTTGTAATATACTTATCTATTGTATTATGTTTTGCATGAGAAATAAAATCATTTGAACATTAAGTAGACTTCATTCTTCATATTCACGAGACTCTGTTTAATCTTCATGCATGGAAGAGAAGTAATCTTTTTTGCAAGACATGGAAAAAATAGATAAGGAAAGCTATTCTTTGCTGATGAAAGATGATGATGTCCCATCAAATATTTTCCGGTTTTGTGCTTGGTGTTATATTGCATTCTTCCCCTTCTTCTTCTCTCCTTTTCTTCTTCTTCTTCTGCATTTTCTTCTGCTTCTTCTTCTTCATTTTCTCTCTTTTCTCCTCCTTCCTATTTTTCTCCTCCTTCTTCTTGTTTTTCCCCTTTCCTCTCTCTCCCCTCCTCTTTTTACTCCTCCTTCTTCCTCTTCCTCTCATCCTCTTCTTCCATTAGTCTTCTGTGCATTACATCATTGCACAAAGTCACTGGTATCTTATGTGCATTGATGAGGTCAACCAATGATTAGTTTACATCATCATTGCATAAAGTCTTTATTATTTTATATGTCTCGCCAAGGTAACTAATCTGCATTCAATATTTAATTACTTTATATCGAAAGGTCATTAATGACAATGATACTGGTCCTGGCATATTATGACCAGTATCGTTGTTGTAACGTATGGATAGTTTGTATATTTGCTGTAATTACACTCGAAATCCAACCATGAGGTAAATGATATATATCTTTCTTGGTCACACCGAAATACAGTGTTCATTGTTGAACTATGTTTCTTTAGTAAACTCAATCATACAGAAAACCAGTGTTAGTTGTTGCATTTCTGTTACTGTAGTAAAAGGTGAATTACTCCTATGTTAACTCATAGATATTGTTTATACATTGTATCTGCTGTAATGATACTCACAGCCCACCCCTTCGAAAACTCTGTTTTTTGTCACAGTGACATGACTGATTCAGACATTTTGAAGTTTCTGCAGCTAGAAAGACACTTATCAATGACATTCGATATCATTGAACTAGAGTCGACCTCTACGATGACCTTGTCCTGTTTCAAGTTTTTCCCTACTGTAACATTAGGCCTGTCCTCATCAGCTCGAGATTGCCAAATATCCTGCTATTTCAACTATCCTGCTATTTCAACTATCCCGATCGCAAATTATCCAGTTAGTTTGCGTCTTCATCAGCCCGAAGTTGCAATTAGCGGGATATTTGGTCGGAATAATCATCCCAAGATATCTTGGGATAGTTTGCAAAATATCCCACTATTTGGCAAAATATCCTGCCATTTGTCCAGTGCGTCCTCACCAGCCCAAAGACTCGTACTATGCGCGAACGCTTAGCAAAATATCTCGAGCTAATTTCCCAAGGTCGAGTTTCAAGTTTCGAGGTCGAATCTCGAGCTGATGAGGACGCGAGTTGTAACTTCGGGATTATTTCCCAAATCAGTAATAGCGGGCTATTTGGCAATCTCGAGCTGATGAAAACACGCCTTATTTAAACAGAATCCAAAATGTCATGAGAGACGCCTTCATTAGTGATTAGCGAGGCAGGATGTAATTTGTAATAGGATACAGCATTTATATACTGTTTGAAGCTTCTGTACTTTTGTCACCAGAAGTTCATATGTGTGTACAGATAGTGCATATTCTAAAAGGAAATTACAGTCTGTATTTTCTGAAGGTTTGTCAACATATGACGCGGTAAACTGTTTTTTTGTTTTGGGGTTTTTCTTTTTAAATGAGGTATTAAAGCATAATACACTTCACATTTCGGTATCATCTAAAACATGGATAAGGACTAAATTTATTTATTTATTTATTTATTTGTTTAAAAATATTTATACAAGATAACAATATCGACCAAGGCTGTTTATGATCTTGTGTGAGGCTACCTTTATTTCATCCACACCTGATATTCACTACATATTTACATCCTCTAAAGGCTCGTTCAGATATTACATAATAACCCCTCCCCCCAAAAAAACTTTTTTTTTTAAACATGTAAATGAATAGCAACTGTGTGCAACAAAGTATCCTCTGTGTTATAAGATACAGAAAGGTGAAGCATATTACACTTGAACGTCATACAAAAATTATTTTAAAAAACAAACTTGTTTTACCGCTGCATACTGAACTAGGCTTAACATGTTTTATGTGAACATGCCTCTAGTCCTACAGATAGCGTGCAGTAAAATTGTATTTTGAGAAGGATGTGATGTCTTTATTGTCTCATTTATGGCAAAAGCTACTTGCATGATTGATATAGCTATTCATAATACAATATCAGTTTCATTTTTCCACGTAAGAAACCTTGAAAAGTGACGGAAATATTAGATTTGACATTTTTAGCCGGATAGATATCAGAAATTGACAAAAAGCTGGCTAAAGATTCTTATGGATGCAGGATTTTTAAAATGAGTTCGGAACAGAAATGGTTGATTATCATTTATAAACATTGTAGGATTGTGTAAATAGGCATGCTACCCAACTATATCACCAGTTCCCTCTTACTTAGAACTTTTAAAAGTCTTTAACGTGGAAGAAACTTTACATTGGAAAATGGTCCATATATATATTAGAATAAAGAAGCATGTGTGGAAGGAGAAGAATTATTAGTAGTAACAGTCATTGTTTTTGTTGTAGTAGTACAGGTTTGTAGTACCGGCAGTGGTTATAATATATCTCTCAGGTATAAAATGTATATATGAAGAAATCCAAGTTCTTTTGAAGCAGAGAAGTCTTATTTCCTCGGTATGAGAGTACAGTAGTATTTATATATTGTTAAATACTTCCTCAACCATTAGAATAGTATTGAAAGACACACATTTTTAAAAGACTTCTATGGAGGAAGTTAATTGTATAATTAATGAGTTCTTTCGGTTTCATTTTAAAACTGACTTGTCAATCATCACTGATAAATATTGCTTTAAGTAATACATTCTGAAACTGAATTTGTCTTGCATAGATGGCATTGTAATTGTATTATTTTTTAAGTGATGTCATTGAAGTGGTGGTATTTAATGAGTCCGGTAGTACTCATCGAACATTGTTATTAAAGTTGATGTTCATTGATTTTAAAAACTAACTTAATTTCATTATTGCAAAGTTGAAACTGTGATTCGACAAGGTTATCAAACTTCAATGCTTGGAAACATTCGAGGTGATTATTATTATAAATTATAAAACGCTTAAATACAGCCCCGGCATAGCACCTGAAGAGCTCTCCGAACGCTCCTGAGATGTGTGAGATCACTGTATGGACACGATTTGCACAAGCAGACGATGTCCCATGACATCACACACATTTTCAGTGCCTGTGTTTACATCTTCTCTTGAGTTCTTTCTCTTACTTCACTACCGTCAGGCTAAAATTATAATCTATTGCCTCACTCTAAACCCCGCACACGGTTTTATTTTGATGACAAATGCAGCGATACAAAAATAAAGGAATTTGTCGCTTGTAAACAAAATAAGACGGTATTGAATATTCAGCTGCACACAGCGCGGTATGTTCGGCGTTTCAAGAGGGAACAAATGCCGTCCTGATATCATTCCGGGGGGTTTTCAATTTGAAAGTCTGGTTTCTTTGATCGTTAATTAACACATATCCTGTGTATTTACAAGCAAACGATTTTAGTTATCGGAATCGGGTCATATCCCCCTTTGAATGGTTTGACATGCCATTACATTTATATACACTAAACTCATTATAATTTGAGAAATAATAGCTTTGCAATTATGTTCATTCTCTATGGGATGTCGTCTGCTTGGGCAGTGTTGGTCCATATAGTGACGTCATTAAAAACATCGTTATTTTTCCGGCGAATCTCTCGCATATCTCAGCTGCTACTGGAGGTGGTTGTATTTGTATTTTTATAAATCACCCGATATGTAGTTGACCTAAAACTTGTACGATGGCTATCTGTTAGCTTACCAGTTTCTAGTGATACATTAGTTGACATATTTGTGATTTTCTTTGAAGTTCACCTTTAATAGGTTGGTAGGAAATAAATGACTGAAAGTCATAGATTTTTTTTTCTACAACTTTTAGAAGGGTAACTATTGTTCTATATTTTTTTAATCTGTCACTTTTTATGATTCACTCCGTAGTCTTCAAGGAATATTGTAATGAATAAGTTTTTTGAATTTTTTATTTTTTATAGTAATCCAATTCGCTTTCTTCCTTTTATTTTGTTAGTCACTCTGTAGTATTCATCAAACATTATTTAATATAAATAGGGTAGTAATAAGATGACAGAAAGTACAGAACTTTGAAGCCTCTTGAATTGTTTCTTCTTTTCTTAGACTACTTGATCACTTTATGAGTTACACTATTAATGAAACATTGTCGAATAGAGTAATAATGAATTATAAGAAAGTTCAGAACTTATAGCCATAGCTTTGCTTCCGCAATGTACACAGTATGTATTGGTACATGCAATGTAATCCCCTTTCTGACCATTATTTTATGTGTCACCCTATATGATTCATGGAACATTGTTATTAATAGGGTAGTAACAGGATCGCAGAAAGTAAAGAACCAAAGCCTGTTGGATTGATAGCATCGATACTACCATCAACAATCCCATACATCCTAGTGTTACATGAGATCCACACAGTTCCATGCAGTTCAAACAGTATTAGCGTGGGGGTCGATGAGTGTGTAACAAGTACTAGAACGAAGCGTAGTTCTTTTTCTTATGTCAATCAAGGACATTCATTTATATTTGACGTGCCACGGAAGTCATAGACTCCTATGGGTCTCTCTTAGTACTTTTTGAACCGCGCTGGTTTATAACTCCTTCATTTTTTGTGAATGTTGTTCTCAAGTTGTATTTGATGGAGTAGAATAAGGATATTCCTGTGCAGATTGGATTATCTTTGTAGTGTGAATGAGGTCATTCCTTTTCTGTATAGATAAGAGGAATTTGAATGTATAGAAAAGGAAGCGTTCACACAAGAATCTTTGCCTGGATCCGGTCACGATGCAGTGTCAGCTCCTTGCATGTTGACAGATTGTCTTCAGAAGATTATTCTGATAAACCTGATGTTACGGCTGATTATTTGTGACATTTAACCATCGACTTTGGGTTACTATAGGCTTCATGTACAAGTACAACCTTAGTTTTCATTTGTTCCAATACGTGTACATGTATGAACATGACTTTGAGTTTGCGTTTTTCAGTGAAGGTGAATGTGACGATGTTTATATTTAACCGGAGAGCAGCGGCGTAAGAAGAAATCTCTTTGGCCAACTGGATAAGCTACACACTGTATTGCAATCATCTTGGAAATAAACTTGGAAATTTACCTTGAAATTTACGTGGAAATTAACAATGCTAACTACAATATCTTCAGGAATGCTGCAGTAAAAACTTCACTGTTTTTACACAGAGGAATAGTTGGAATATTGCTGTTAATGTACTCCTTACTAATCAATTATGTATCGCTTTTCTCCTCGATTGCTTCGTCATGCCATTATCCATACAGCGCAATTGAAACAAGATTCGCAAAATGGTAGGAATTCAACAGTCTTCAATCCCTTTTTTAGATTTATATTTTTTGCAAATGCAGCATGAAATGTTTTCTTTTGAATTGCAGGAAATTTATATGCATGTTTTACAGCTTTTTTTTTATTATTTGCAATTTGCAATTTACCATTTTAGTTTGAGTTTTTTTTTAAATTGCATCTTGAACAATTCAGTCAACTATATAGTTTTTATGTATTGAATTTTTGTAGCAATGCATAATAGACTTAGGATAACATTGATGCCTGTTTAGATATTGATGTGCTTAAACAAACAGATTTTCATCTGGGTATTCTTTATTTACTTGACGTTTCATTTTTAGTTTATGTTCTAATACTGTGAATAGTGAATGATACATGTAGACAGTTCATTTCCCAGATACGCATGATTTTACCCATGTTTGATACATGTAGTAGTACAAGTACTGTAGATGAAACTCCAGAATGAATTTTGACTGAAGGTAACCCTGTCCAGATGCAGCATGCCAGGGAGTGTTTGGTTATTCAATTTATTTACAAGCATTTTGGGAATCACATTTACATTGCTGATTAACCCTTTGGCTCCTGGGGCGGTATTCTGAACCCTGTGTTATCTCTAATATTGTTGTATCTTTAAAGATAAGATAAAGTTGGTATTCTGAACATTGTTGTAACTTTTGTGTTATCTTTTGTTGTATCTTTTCTCTCATCTTATTGGCCGCGCCTGCGCTCATACTTTGGTGCGCTTGTAATTGTGCGTATTATTAATAAAGTGGCATTTAATTCTCATTTGCATATGCGCACGGGAGATAATATGTCGAGATAATTGGTATTCTGAAAGTTGTTGTATCTTTTATCTTATCTTATCTTGCATGGTATTTACAAAAATATTTACAACAGGTAGGGGGTTGTTGTATCTTTCGTGGTGATATAATGGCGGCAATATTTTTTGCCCAGAACCAACTTCGTGCCAATAGACGAGTTAGAAGAAGATTGTGTGTTGACGGGAAACATCACAGATGAGAACTTTCTAAGATATTACATGCTAGGATAGGACTATTTTAATGCTCTCATCTTAACCAATATAGTGAAAGCGTGATTTGTCTTCATGATCCACATTCAACAGCGCATAATGATGACGCGCGTAATAAGTGCTCAAATAACTAATTACGCCCAAGATTAGTATGCGCTAGGCGCATCTTCAGATATGGCATAAAGTATTCCTATTGGTTGATCTACTTATCATGCTTATATAAAATAGATTTTGATTGGTAGGGTCCATAAAAATGGGCGTGTCATCAATGGTCAAAGATAAGATAGAGGCGGTCCTTCAAGAGATAACACAGGGATAAAACAATGTTCAGAATACCAACTTACAACAATATTAGCGCTGTGTTATCTCTGGAAGATACAACAAAAGATAACACAAAACTTACAACAATGTTCAGAATACCACCCCTGGGACCAGGTTGCTCCTGTATTAAGTCCATTGGAATTAAACAATTCAGTAGTCAATACATTAAATTCTTAGTACTGTGCCTCCCAGCTTGCACGAATGTATAATACATGTTTCCAGCACAATAGCAGATATTGAAAAAAAAGTGCTGAAATATTTTATTGCATTGGACTAGACTGTACTATATAGGTGATCATGTAGGTGATAACCTGTATAAAATGCTTGCAACACAAATAAGATTTTTAATTTATGGTGAAGCTTTGGTTTATTTGCATGATTGGTGATTTCTTTTACTTTGATTTGGGGGTCATAATACGAGAGGTATCATTATTACTTGCTACATATGTTTTATTATTAATTTGATCATTATTTAATCAATGGTACAGTGTAATTTGAATTATAGATGCTGGCTTCAAAATCAGCTTTTCTTTTGATCATTTTGAATGCAAAACAGATTACAGATATTATCAACTCATATTAGTACATGGTGTAATTGATCGATTCTTTGTATCAATGAAAAGCCTCTGTTTGAAACTACTGTGAAATTGGTAGAGAAGGTGGAGGTGTTGCGGTATAGTGGTTCATTTCCTTGACTCTCTGTCCAAGTTTTGAGGGTTTGAATCCCAGCCCTGCACTGACTCCCTTTGGCAAGACATTTATCCTCATTTGCCGCACACCACCCAGGGGGGGGGGGGGTGTTTCACAAAGATCCTATAAAGTTGAACTTATTTCTAAGTTGGACTTTACAATTAAGGAAAGCTGTTAGCATCTTTGAAAATATTTTGTAAAAGTTATTATAAAAGGCTTTAAATGTTGATTCAAATCATTCACATTATCTATTATCAAGGAGATTTCATGTTCTTGATATGGAATTTATGAAAAATCTAAAATACTTGAATTTTTGCTTTTGAATATACTTTATTTAAGGCTACAAATGGCTCTCCATAATGTTTAAGTCCAACTTAGGATCTTTATGAAATACCTCCCTGGTGTATAAAAATGGGTACCTGGCAATGCTAGGGTAATAATAACTGCAGGGCCAGCAGGAAGAGCTGTTCCCGAGATACTTTGTTGCTACAGATCCCATCTATCAAAACAAAAATAATGCTAGGTGATCGAGCATTTGCTTGTGCAGCCCCAAAACTCTGGAATAACTTGCCATTTGAAGTCAGGAAATCACCATCTGTAAACGTCTTTAAGTCAAAACTGAAAACACTTCTTTTTAATTAACTGTACCGTAAATCTAAGCATATCAGGAGCTCTTGTAGCGCAGTAGAATATATACCTAATGTTGGATAGTTTCTGCGCTTTATAAATGTACTATTATTATTATTATTATTATTATTAAGATGTTGACTATGGGAACCGAGTGGATCCTACATTAAGTCAATGGGACTGAGAGAATTCAGTAGTCGGTGGGTTAATACTGATGTGGTTCCCCGAAGTAAGACCCAATTATTACTGTATATATATATATATATATATATATATATATATATATATAAAAGTCCTTTTAGACAAGTCATTCGTTTAGTTATTTAATACTGTCACAGCTCAAATTCATAATTTTGTCAGGTTAATCCAATTGCCGCTTTGAACTGGATGATATCCATACTAAGCCTATTGGGAATAAAAGAATTCAGTGGTTAACATTTTGTTCTTTATTTCTCTCGCAGTTCAAGTCGCCAAGAACATTGACGTCTCCAACATGGTGGACCAGTTTGAGAAGAAGGACAACCTGCCCAACTCGACACCGGACAGCGCGGTATTGTCGCCCTCAGGTCCGGACAGCCAGTCCCAGGGCGATGACCACAGGGAGGTAAGCAAACAGCCCAAACAGAAGAGGAACATCATCAAAAGATCGGCTAGTCTCAAGTCTAAGGTTGGTCCCGCTTTCTGCATGCCATTTTTTGGTTACATGTCCTCTGTTAATCTAGTCTGTTGTCCCGCTAGTGATCGCAAACATTTTTCACAAGAGATCAGCCAGTATTAATCCCAAGGTTGGTCCCGTTGTCTGCATGCCATTTTTTGGTTACATGTCCTCTGTTAGTTAAGTCTGTTGTCCCGTTACTGATCACAAACATTCATTTTTCACAAGAACTCGGCCAGTCTCAATTCTAAGGTCGGTCCCGCTTTCTGCATGCCATTTTTTGGTTACACGTCCTCTGTTAATCTAGTTTGTTGTCCCGTTAGTGATTGCAAACATTCAGTTTTTACAAGAGATTGGCAAGTGCCAATTCTACATTTTGTCCCGCCGACTGCATGCCATTCTTGGTTCATGTTTTATCTTGCCGCTTTTTATTTCTTAGTTATTGTATTTGATGAATGGAAATTGACTGGTCCACAGCAGAAATATCGATCAGTAGTTATTCTTGTTTAAGGCTGTTTATTGACATTTAGTGTATTGGCTTGTTGCCCAATTGTGTTTTCTGTTGCCATTTTGACTGTTCGGGTTATTGTTCCATTGGAACACCAGCTTTTCTTGTTGGATGTTTTAAATTATCAATTTTTGATGCTTAGTTTATTATCCAATTGATGATCAGAAATGGCCAATCTCTTGTAACAGGCTCTCACAGTTTCAAATCTGAGGTTCATCCTGCTGACTGCACATCATTTTTGTTCCATGTCATTTTTTTGTCGTTTGTTTCTTATGTTTCTTGCCCTGTTTCGGATTGGAAATGGCCAATCTCTTGTGAAAGTTGTTAAAGAGATATCGGCCACTCTCAGTTTCAGGGTTGGTCCCTCTGACTGCATAACCATAGTTGTTCCTTGCCGTCTTTTGTCCTTCAAATACGTTAATTTGGTTTGACGTCCCATTGCAGAGCAGAAATAGTCAATTTTCATCAGGCCCACATGTACAGTCTCTTGTTAAATGTTTTAATAGTTTGAACCAAACATACTCCAGTGACAATTGCTCTGCAGTCAGTATCTAGCTACCCCAACGGAATCTGTAGTTGAAAAAAAAAGTCAGATTTTTTTTTTAAACCTGCCATCTACTGCTTGCTGGGCAGGGACTCTACCACCAGGCCATCACTGGTCCACGGCACTTGGTGCAATCGCCCAAAACTTATTCAAAACAATTGAAACTACTCCTAGGATGCCTTATATTCAAAGAATCTATTACTTCATCTCTGTTCCAAACACATACATAATGGTCCTAACCCAGACCCTTGCTCTTTAACCTAACCACAACATAATTGCAACCCTAACATTATATCTATGACCAAATTAATCCTGGAGCCATTGTCCCTGGAGCATATATGTCGGAGCACTGATTTATCTTGCCCTCGTAATTTATTTTCATCTGTTGTTGACCAGTACATTTTGACTTTAAAGTCCTGAATGGCTTTTGTAGTAGCATCTGTCTGCAGTTCATTCGTGTTTCAAGTTGTCTACCGTATTATCATTTGTTACTTTGTTATCCTGTCGCTGATTGGAACTTGACAGTCCTTTTTGGAACCATTTCTTTGTTGTTGATGATTTACCTCAGTGTATTGGCCTTTTCCCCATAGTTTTGTTAGATATTTTTTATCTTTTCTTGTTTGTTAATTTCATCGACTTGCTGTTTAACTAAAAATTTATCAGTCGTTACGTTGAAGGAAGCACCAATGTTCATGTGCACTCTATTATTTTGGGACGTTATGTTCTCCTTAATACCATTTGTTTGATTTCTTCAGTCTTTTGTTACTTTGATAGTAACATCAATCAGTAGTTGTTTGTTTTCCTGGTACATGTTTCATTGTTTTATTTCTTATGTCATTCACCGATTGCCAATTGAAAATTTCTCAGTTCTGAACGTAGACATTGGTCTGCAATTTTTATTTTTGGTTAACACCTTCCATTGTCAGTTAGTGTTGGCCTATTTGTGATTACTAAGATTCATCAGTCCTCGTAAAAAATTGTACATGAGTCTGTTGTTCATTCTTGTTTGATGTTTTCAGTCATTGTTTTGTTTATTGCTATGTTTCTGATTTGGAAGAACCCAGGCTGCAGTCTACTTGATTTTTATAGACCATTCATCTTGTTGAATATTTTAAAAAGTCATTTTGATTTATTTTCCTATCACTGTCTACAAAATTGGTCAATTTTCAACAAATTTAATGAAATATGAGTTTCCTCTGTCAACGTTGTATTGTTGCTTATTTGTTTCATTGTTGTGATATGAAATAGGGATGAAAAGCTTCCTTTGTTATTGTTTTGTATATGGATTTTTATTTTGGTCTTTTTGTTTTGTTTTATTTTGGCGAAACCTTGCTTATGAATTTTTTTATTTGAAATATTTCATGATTTTCTTTGTTAGGTGTGTTGGTGTGTTCGGGCAGAAGTAGAAATTCTGATGGTGTACATGATGGTGGTATGCTAGTGTTAGGGCTTTTTGTGGTGATGTTGCATATAAAGAAAATGATGATGATGATGATGATGATGGTTCTGAGTAGCTGAAGAATGTTGGAATGAATACATGTGTGGGAAGTTTTGTTTTTCTTGTTGATGTTATTCCTTTTTCATCAAGTTTGTAAGAATTAAAAACAATAGTTTGAAATATCTTTTGCATTTCCCACTTGGCTTCCATATGAGCACTTTAACTTTCTGTTGCTCTTATTACATATCATCAATGTAATATTTTGTTTCACATCCATCATACATAAATATATACTTTCTGCTATTATCAGCCGGTGTTTTATGGTTCAGTAGCATGGTTATTATTTTGTTTGTATTCATAGTTACACTGTTGCTGTTTGAATGAGAGATAATTAAATGTGGAGTGTTTAATCATGAAAGAGGAGCGTGATAAGCCATAGGGTACAGGGTGCATCATGGGAGTTAGGGATGTTATAAGCTACTATTCATGGGGTGTATGGGGGATGTGATAAGCTATGATGTATGGGGTATGTATTAAAGTTGTGCGGTGAAGTTGAGGGATGTTATAAGCTATAATACAGTGGTGTATCATAAGGGATTAAAAAAAAAAACCTGTAGGATAGGGTGTCCATAGGAGCAAAGGTGTGTGATAAGCTACTATTCATGGGGTGTATGGGGAGGATGAGGGATGTTATAAGCTATGATGTTTAGGGTATGTGTTAAAGTTGTACGGTGAAGTTAAGGGATGTTATAAGCTATAATACAGTGGTGTATCAATAGGGATATAAAAAGCTGTTGGATGGAGGGTGACCATAGGAGCAAAGGGGTGTGAAAAGCTACTATTCATGGGGTGTAAGCGGAGGATGAGGGATGTTAAAACCTACCATATAGGGTGTATGGAGGGTGTTATAAGCTACCATACAGGGGTGCATGATAGGGGTTGAGGGGTGTGCTAGTGGAAGAGAGACATGTGTATTCCATCCCTTTTACAGAAATCCACATCCAGCAGTCTGGAAATTGAACATCACAAGAAGAAGATGAATTTTATCAAACGATCATCAAGTCTGAAATTAAAGGTTAGTTAGAGATAGATCATCAATAGGTCTGTTTGTGTTTTAAAAAAATGATGGTGTTTTCAATAGTTGTTCTTTTTTCAAATAAAATAATAATGATACTAATTTGGTCACACATCATTTTTAGCCAGGTTAACAAAACTTGCGGAAAACTTACGGGAAGGGCTCGACACTTACAGATCCCACATCTAAGTATGGATCCCCCTCCTCCGGAATTTTCAAAATTTTAACAAAGGACTTTCAGGTCCAGTCCTTAAATAAGTTGTACTCCTGACCCCCGAGGATAAAAGTTAGTGTGGAGCCATCTTCAATAGACCTACACTTGTCAATCATAATGTTAACATTTTCATTTTGATGTAGTGGATACTAACTCATTGACTAGTGTGCGGTGACATTGATTTTTGATTAATGCTGTCGTGATGATGGTGATAGTGGTGGCGATTATGAAGAGGAGGATGATGATCCTGCTGCTTATGATTATGGTAGTGAAAGTGATGATGAGGATTATTATTATGATGATAAGTATTATGATGATTATGATGGTGATTTTTAGTGAAGTTTATGTACCCCCTTGAATATCTTGACCACAACCTCCCCAGTCTTGATCCTTGCTTCCCTTGTCTGACCTTTCTTCACCCTCATTGCGCCTCTTTCCTTACCCCCTTCCTTACCCCCTTCCTTACCCCCTTCCTTACCCCCTTATTATAACCCTCTACTCCTAGCACCCAACCCCATAAGAGCTACATCATAACTCCTTTAGACCTCTTTACCTCTTAAACTTGCCCCTGTATTTACCCCTTTAACTCACCAGGCTTCCCCTACCTCTAACTCTTTTTGACCTTTCTTCACCCCATCCCCGCCATTTTCGCACCCCATTCTGTACCCCCCTACCTCCAGTACCCAACCCCAGAAGAGCTACATCGTTACCCCTCTATACATCTTTACCTTTCAACCTTGCCCCTCGATTTACCCCTCTAACTCACCAGCCTTCCCCTACCTCTTCCCCTGTCTGACCTTTCTTCACCCCTATCCCACCGCCTTCCGTACTGCTTCCTAACCCTCACCCTGCACCCCTTTACTACCGGCGCCCAACCCCTCAAGAGCTACGTCATTATTACCCCTATCAAAGTCATTACCCCTCTCAAACCAAGGGACCCATCAGAACATACTTTGAATAGTGCAAGTCTTAAATGTCATTATCAGTGTGCCTGCCAGGAAGGCCGTGACCAGTGTTCGTTGCTTGCTAGAATATGTGGACTATGTTGTAGTGATGGGTTGTAAGTACATGCACTTTAGTTTATCTGTGTCTTAACGTCTTTGAATTGATTAAAGAAGCTTACAATGATATTCTGATGACCACAATGTCTTCCAAGTTCCATTTGCCATTTGGTCTTTGAATTGAAGTGCCTTCTTAAGGCCTAGCAAAATTAAGCAATATGTTGTTTTATGGGAAAGGTATAAATGATGATGGTAATGCTGATGGTAATGATGATGATGATGAGAAGGGGAAGGAGGAGGAGGAGGAGGATGTGGATAATGAGGATGATTAGGAAAAAGAGCATGATAAAAAATGATAGTAATGATCACAATGGTGTTGATAATGATGTTGTTGTTGATGATGATGATACTGATTTTCATTATGAGGGTCAGTGATAAGTACTTTTTAAATAAAATTGATGCTTTCCAATTGAACTTGAATATGATAGCTGTCAACCTTTTCCATTGTCAAACTTTTCCATTGTGGACTTGTCTCCCTATTGTTACATTTTTAATGTCATAGATTTAAATCCATCACCATATCTAGAACTTTACAAACGGAGAGGCGGCCATCCATTCCTTAGAACTCCATAGTGGAACCATCTGTGTTGTACACGAGTCATATATATATTCCTTTAGTATATTCCCATCCGACATCGCAGTATTTTTGTGCATCATGGAACATGTCGTTAGAGAAATACATATGTACTTTTGTGTGAATTGTTGGGAAGTACTTCCTGTTAATACCATCTCTTTGTTATCACATTTGATTTTTATCAATAATTACAATGTATGTAATAATAGTTTGTGGTATTTATTTATGTGTTTTTTATTCCTGTAATCTTTTTAATATGAAACATATCCTGTTAGAGTTGTTGGATGGAAAGAAACCAGAGGAAAAAATGAATACATTTTTTTTTCCTGAGAAATTTTGTTTGGCAAATGAAATTTGTTTTGGAATTTCCAAACATGCTTTTGATGTCTACATTTGAGTAATTCATTTGATTCATTGTTCATTAGAAGTCTTATGCAATTTTTGAAACAAGAATATGTATCAATTTGAGACTGATGTAAATTCCTTTTAAAAACACATCAAAATAGCATATCTATAGATGAATAGATATTGGGTAGATAAGTAGATAAATAGTTTATTGATTAAAGAAACAAAATCATGAATTGCAGTGATTTACATTGAGTGCAAAAAAAAGAAGATAATTAGCATTGAAATAATATCTCCTTTGTTTGTAATGCTTTGAAAGCCTGTTTCTTAGAGAATTCATGTCAATGATAGTGCTATTTGATACCAAAACAAATTTTCCATATTTATGAATTTTAGCATTATTATGTGACCTTTGACCTCTAATTTCATTGATGTATCATTTCTAGGGAGAAGAGAAGAAAGAAGGAAGGAGAATTAGTGAAAACAAGAGATCAAGAAGGTGAGTTACTCTTTTAATTATTTTTTTACTTTTCAGATCCTTTTAATTCATTTCATTTATAGATTTGCTAGTTTTCCATTGGATGTAGTAATTGATAGATATAAAGTAATGGTTCAGAATGTACATGAATTGTATTAATAACGATTCATATTTGTATAGAGTAATATTTGTTTATGACAAGCGAGTAACGATAGATGCATTTCCATTCCATTTCATTCAGCCTCTGTTTTTTCAAGCCACATGTTTGCATTTTAGTAATCATGATGATATTTTCATTATGATTAGAATTGTAGTAATGATTATCATTATTACAAGGGTTATTATGTGAGATTTTGTTTGAGAATCCTGAACATGACGATAATATTTTACTCCAAACATTGATTTGCTGCAGCATTGTAACTAAAGTACCATCTGTTGAGTGGCAGAAGGGCTTTAACTCCTAATGGGCCTGTTTTCATCAGACCAAAGTTACAAAATAACCTGATGTTTTCCCGCAGCTTAAAATTGCGTCTTCACCAGATCAATACGTTCGTCACAAACTAGCTCGGACAGGCGCAAATTAGCTATTTGGGAAATAGCGGGTTATTTTTGGAAACGAGACCAAATTTCTCGGGATATTTTCTCGACCAAATAGCCCGCTAATTACAACTTCGGGCTGATTAAGACGCAAATTAGCCGGCTAATTTGAGATCAGGCTAGTTAAAACAGTGGGCTAGTTGAAACAGCAGGTTATTTTTGCAACTTCGGTCTGAGGAAGACAGGCCTAATGAGTTAACGCTCTCAGCAGGAGACACCGATTAGAGTTTGGTTGCATGGATTTACTTTCATGTTGGTTGTGAATGAGTTAACTAATGAACGCACCTTGTGTCTCTCTGTGAACAAGCACCCTTAACCGAGGAGTATGCATAACATTGTGTCAGGGGGGGATAAACTGGGGCTCGGGGTGAATTAGCCCCCAAAATGCCAAAAAGAGCCCCAAAAAATGTGCGTAGAGTTCAATGCAAAACAAATTAAAGAGTGTTATTTTCATGCAAGCAAGGTTGAAAAGGAACCCCAGAATTTAAAAAATATTCTTTCCCCTGCATTGTGTACTACATTGACAAAAACTTTGATAGCCAGAGGGGCAATTGATTTATTGAATTTCGATTGATAGAATCTAGCATTAATCATATACTTTGTGCAATTTCAACTACAAAATCGAAGTAAAGCAACGAATAGAGATGTAAAAAAGCTTTTCATCTCGACTCATCAGAGTAAATTGCAAGAATGAACAGATTTTTGTGTTTCTGTTCATTCTTGCGATATATTCTGATAAGTGCAAGGCAAAAGCTACAGTATGTCTGTATTTGTTACACTTTCCCCCTAGCATTTTTCAAACTTTTGAACCTGTTATGTGCTGCGAAATCCAATTAGCATGTTTTGTGACTTGCTTCATTCGCCAATTAGCACAATCATGTAAATAAAATGGGATAGTGGATGAGTATTTCTAATCCCTTTGAATCCTGATACTAGTACAAAACACTTCTTGGGAATTCCCCCACATATTGCAAACATACACGGGCCACTTCCCATGTAGATTTAATGCAGGAATTTGAGTAGAAAGTGTACAATGAGTATTAAAAAAGGTATGATTGGTTAATGACAGATAATGTAAATAGTCTGTTTGGAGCCAGAAGGTTATTAACTCATGTACATTGATGCAGAGTAAATGCCCTGAACAAACTGAAGGTCTGTGCTAGTAAAAAAACAGGTCAGATTGATGACAGTGAATATTTCATTGAAATAAACATAACATGTTATGAGAATAATAGGTTTAACGGGTGTGTAGAATGCTGTAGGGTACCAGCAAATATTACATTCATGGGTACTTCAAAACAAACAAACAAGCTATTTTATTCACACACCACGCATGTCGAACCTACATGCTTTTAAAGGTACAAGAGAGAGAGAGAGAGAGCGCCTGATTATTTTATTGATTTGAAACAATTGCCCACATTTTTCCATCCTTTTTTTGTTCGGTTCAAAGGGTTTCAAACTTTGCTCAGAATTTAGTCTGGTCCTTTGATCCTTTACATAGGACTGCATGGTGGATGTTTAATCTTTACATCTGGTATTCACAAAAGCAAATTTTGACCTGGCTCTACCCATTCATTGAAATCGAAGTGTTGGCCACTTCAGGTTTCTTTGGTTATGTAATGAGATGAATACCTAGAGATGAATATAGAAAATTGGTCAGTTTTGACATGAAAAGGAAAACTCAATCACATGCTAATAGTGTGGATTTGGAGCCGGATGGGTTTTTGATGTTTAAACAGCCAATTGGCTTCAAATGTATGGTATATGAATTTAATTTATTCATTTTCCGATATAACTGGAGTAATTAGCATAGAATCCAGAGGTTGACACTTCTACTGTATAGTTTAGTGGACTAACTTTCCCTCTTAATCCGGGCCTTTGATCCGGCTTATAGTTTGCTTTCAAGAATGCATCCTTTTTGTCAGAGCCAGAAGGGTCTTAACTTCTTTACATGGAGGCTGTTCACACCGCAATGAGATAGCGCGGTCTCTCGTAGCACCCCCTTTTTTCTAGCGCGCGCTAGACCGCGCTATCTCTCGTGGACCACCCCCAAGAGGTGCTCCAGTGGCACGCCGTTTTGGCTCGCCGTGGCTCGCTGTTGGGCGGACCGAAACGACGTTGTACCTTCCAAACCGCAGAGATAGCGCGGTCTAGCGCGCGCGTGCTATCTCTGCCGGTGTGAACAGCCTCTTTGATACAGAGTTAAAACCCTTCTGGCTCTGAACAGACCAGGGACCTGTTTCACAAAGCCTTTTTTCAATGACAAATGACTAAAATCAGTGACAAATCTGCTGATAACCAATAAGAAGCAAGGATTTCAGCAGCTTATAACAAAAGTTGTCATTTGTCACTGATGATAAGTTTTGTGAAACGCTCCCCTTCCTTCAAGTGTCTGTTTGACACCCATGTAAAACCGCACTCTCCAAACACATGTTATCTCGGTTTGGTTGCACCCAAATTAAAAACAAAAACCTTGTCTTGTTTTACTCACCTTCTCTTTTGTTAATGCAAGGCTATCAAAAAGGTAATACAACAATAGAAGATATCATCTGTTTTGGAGCTAGAAGGGTGTTAACTCATATTTAACACCGAGTTAACACCCTGCCAGCACTGGACAGAAGTTATACAGTATATGTATACATATTTATATATGTGTATTGGTGTAATATTGTCTTGTGGCGTCATGTTATGCTTGTTCTGTACATTGGCTGTATATACGTGGCACTAATTTTACATCCTTGATGGAAGATTGGTATTATCTTTGTCAAATATTATTTTGTTATAAGATATTAGGGGGTCATTTGAGGGAAGGGAACTGGTAGGAGTTTGAGTAGTAGGCATTTTCATATTTCATCTAATTTGGATGAATATATGAAGCGTATGGTCCTATAGATATTCATGCAACAGGCCTTCCCTAATGCCCATCAAACGGAAACCCTTGTATACCTACAGAGCACAAGTACTTTATTTAAACGTGCACTCAGCCCTATAGGTGGTGATAACTAGAAAATAGATTTTATTTTTTGAAGTGAATGTTCATGTGTAAAACAGAATTGAAAAGATAATAAATGGAGTATACTATTTACCTATATGAAGGCTCTATGAAGTGAGTTCAATGACATAATCTATCTTTGCTAGGGACTTTGAATTTCTGCATCATTATGGATGATCAGTGGTTTGTTATCAGTGGGTAGGAGACGAGCAAGAACAAGGACAATTTGAGACCAAGTTTCTGTAACCCCCCCCCCCCATAGAGCCCCTCTTCCCTTATTCTTTGAATGAAGAATAATGCTTCATGTCATGCCCATGTAGCTTACCTCTTATCTAGGGTTTTAAACACGTATATTCCCTTCTATTCCTGATTTGTTCGATCCCAAATACACAATGATTTCTGCATGTTGTTTTGTTCATATATGCTTTTTGTCATTATTTATGTTATGATTTTGTTATGATTTTGTTATGCATCGTTATATTCTACTTTGTGGAAATTTGTCTGCATGGTTTATAACAGTTAATGTTATGATTGTGAAATTTCAGTTGTTGCCCATTCTAAAGGCATGTTATTTTACTAATTTTTATGAAATTAGGAATTTCCAACTGTCAATTTAACTATCAATTTGAAGCATTCTTTCCCCTTCGAATAATTTTTTAGAAGTTGAATTGAATTGAATTAGATTTGAATAAAAGATATAAGCTTTTTTTTTTAATCCAAGTACTGTACATACATTTGATATTCATTGTTTTTATGTTTAGTAATTTTTTTTCCATCCCTATTGAATGCCCATCGTTTATTCATATTATTTGCTTGTTCACCATTGCCTGCACTGTTACATGTTTATGATTTCAATTCAACCCAACATTGCTCATTTTATATGATTTTTGCCTGTTTCTCTTTTCTCTTCATTTGCCCCGCCCCCTTTTTTTGTTTTGGTGTTTTCTTTTTGTTTCTCATCCATCAACTGCACCAAACCAATCCCCCGTTCTGTCCATCCATCCATCCTCTCTTCTCCGACGTCTCCTCCCTTTGCTTGTGATTGGGGAAACTGTCTTGCAATTCTCTCATCCTGCGTCATTCTTATTTCATGTGCACAGCATTGAGCCTGGCAGCCATACCAAATCTATTGAGTAAGTCTGCACCATAGCATATATAGAGAGATAGTTGTGCCACTTGCACTGTTAAGTGCTCAAAGGTCAATTCATGTGGCTCAGCTATGGGGGAATCTATTGCAGTGCTCCATGAATTTGTCCTATGAACTTTTGGTGACATAACTATCTCTACTCTGCTAGCTATGGTCCACATATTGATGATAGAGTAGAATATTAGTGTTGTTGTGTCGTTTCATTGCCAGGAAATTGTCTTAGGAATTATCTTTGTATCATATCGTAGCTTTCCCATTATTTATAAAGTGTTTGTGATGAATTGCAAATCTGTAGTTTTTGACAAAGTAGGAACTAGGTTTTCATTATTGTCATAAAAAAACAAAAAACGGTATCGATTGTTTGTGCCACAAGATACAAATATGCAACATGCATGATTTGTGTGTTCTAATATCTTATCAAAACATTTTCGCACAAGATTGATATTCGCGCTACTACGTTTGAAGCCCCTTGTATTTTTGATTCCTCCCATTGTTGATTAGAACAAACTGATCCCCGAAGACATCAGTAGCAATTTTTTCATAATCCAGAGGGTATTTATGCGGTTGCATAACTTTTTGGCAGAACCGAGCAATTTACGAAAGAGATACATGGCAATATTTGACAATCCCCAAGAAAACCTTGGCTTGCATGGCTTGGTGGCAGCTATATATTTCTCATAGATCATCTCCTTCTTACACATGCTCTCGTTGGTCCATGCTTATTCCTAGGGTGCGTTCAAGTGATTTTTTGAAACTAGAATCCCAAACATGAATCACAAATCAAAACGCCGTTAAACAACATGGTTACTGCGGTAGAGCTTTCAAGCGATTTTTCATCAACACTGATTCTCGCTCATTTCAAGCCCAGCCACTGCCCATCACACTGTTTGACCCAGGAAGTATAGGTCAACTTCACCGCACGCTTTCTGTCTGTGTTTACTGTCGACTGTCGGTCAAACCAGAACAGGCCACGATAATGACGTCATAGAATCATGATTGAGATCTCCGTTCGTTCAAGCAAATTTTAGCGACCTTGATTCTGCAGAATCATGATACAAAACGCATTTTTTTTTTAGCGTTTCATGTTTGTGTATTTAAACACGTTTATTTTTACGACAGACAAAAAGTCGCTTGAACGCAACCGTGTTTTAAACTAAACGTCTTTGAAAACCATGATTCTAGGGTGAAAAAGTGTCAATTGAACGCACCCTAGACACTGAAAATTCATTGACCATCAATAACCCCCCTATCCAATCATACATAAACAAGCCCCCTTTCCTCCCAGCCCCCATGGGAGCATCTCCAATCGGACATGACCCCAAGAAGTGACCGAGTTTCGTTACTTCTTTGACGTAATACCTGGTGCACAGGTGAAACCATGCACCCTAGTCTCTATCTCTACAGACCCCTTAAAATTTGACAAGTTTGATAGTGTCGCTTTCCAGGATTTCTCTTTCACTGCAAAACAAATTGATACAAGTACAAAACAGTGAAAGCATGAATAAGTCGTATTTGATCGTATTCATGGTATCCCATCATATTAATATCATAACAATCTTTATTTCACAGTAAGGAAAGGTAATATGAATTGATAAACAGTGAAATCTGCTTAAATTCTGCCCTAGGAAAACAAGAAAGTTAGCTTCATAGGCAGGTAGTCTTTAGAAGCACAATCACCTGATGGGATCAGTGTACCATATTAAATGTTGATAAGGTCTGAAGTAAGAGACTAGTTACCTATCACCTGTATGTGTAGGATGGTTCGCTCTATGACGTAGATGACGTTCAAGTCATACATAGTTCAGTGAGTCAAATTGGAAGGTCAAGTGACCCAAAGTTTTTAACTAAAAGATGCAGGCTGGGTTTGGAAATTGGATTGTCTTTTCTTTACATTAGCTACAATAAAATGTGCCTCTCGCTGTCAGGCAATATAGAGGGAAAAGAATGGGAGGGAAAAATACTGGAATGGATAACAAGAAAAATGAATTTAATCACATGGAGTAACATTGAGGAGTGTCGGTGTGTTGCCAATTTAAAGATTTTAATGATTATTAATTTCTATGAGGTAGATGAAGGAATAGTCATAGATAAATCAAGAGTAGCACAGAAATTCAAGTGATCTTTAGTTTTTAACCCATCAAGGGTGTAGATCTTTAATATTTTTAAAGGGATTTTTTTCTTCAAGTTGGCAACAATGAAATCTGCCTCTTGCTGCCAGGCAATACATATTAAAAGAGAGAAAGAAAAAAAAAAGATGATGGCAAGTTCTGAAATGGATAACTTAAAAATAAGCTAGAAAATGAACAAGAATTTGAATTATGAATGTAATAAAATGACCGGCTTATCAAAGATCTCGGCATGTTGCCAATTTAATGCTTTATATGCTTGTAAAAAGATATGAACACAAGTCATTGATAACTAAGTTCACTAACTGATCAAGGTTAAAGCGTGGTCAGGGAAAGTCAAGTGCCTTAAAGTTTACTAACCTATCAAGGATGCAGATATTAAAAATGTCTTTAAAGGGCTGATTAAATTTGTTTCCTTTAAATTGGCAACAATGAAATTTGCCTTTCACTGCCAGGCAATCAAAACGAGAATGAAACACTTTTATATGGATAATTTGCTTTAAAAAAATATTTGAAATGAAAGGTGAAATCTGCGAAACTATTTGGAAAAATTGAAACCAATGTCAAAGGAAACTTGCGTTTAAAGATCATCCGTCTTATTTCCATCTGCAGCGATACTGGCTGTAGCTTGCTGCTAAGATAGACAGAAAGTCTGCAATAAAGTGTTATCATTTTGGAATTGACACTATGAATGCGTATTGGCCTAAACAATGACTGTAGGTTCCCGTACAGGAGAGGAAGTAGTTACAAGGATTTTCTTCTTATTCACAAGAAGATCTTGACCAGTCGTTGAGATATGCTGGTAGCCGGGCAGAAAAAATGCCATAAAGGAGAAAGCGGAACTCTGAGCTAATTTATGTTATATTTTATGTAAACTGTGTTTGGTGATACAGGAAAATCTGTAACAAGACTGCCCCAAGGGGATGCTAAAATATGAAAAAGAAGGAAAAGGGAAAGGAAAAGTAAAAAGAAAAGGAAAAGATATATAAAAGAAGAATAGTTGCAAAATATGGACTAGTGTACATCTTTGATAAAATTGGGTTGATTATTTTGAAATGAAACGGTAGGAAGTTAATGTCCCACAAAATATATAGTTCTTGTGTGTATGTAATATTATAATCTGCTCAGATTCAAAAGGGCACTTACTCTTTGTTAAACTATATGTATATGAGTCATTGCTGTTCTGGCTCCAACGAACAATGTGGTAAAAACAAAAAGACCTATGTCATTTCGTAACGAGCCTAGATAGATTCAATATTTCATAAACTTTATGAATGGTTGATATGAAAGCCAAAGGTTATGAAAGTGCCTGATATTAGTTAAAATATCATATCATTAATCTCTAAATACACTATATTTATTCAAATATCTATGATATTCTTTATTCAAAACAGAAGATTCTCTAGGTCTGTCATTCCATAACACTAGGTATTGACCATATGTATGTTCATGAAAGACAAAATAATACAAATAGGTAACTGAGAAAAAAACAGTTAAAAATGTGAAAGTAAATAATGAAAAACAGCTTTATAGACCTAGGTTAAATTCTGTAAGTAATATGACAGCTACCATCTTAAAAGTTGTAACCGGGTCAGAGGTGCTGGTAGGATTGGAGGCGCTTGTTTACGCTTTCTCTGACATCATTCTCCTCAGAGTCTGACGTTAGTCGCATTGGTCTCCCACTTCCTCATTAAAGGCTCGTTTAGATGTGAGGTGGTCAACCGCAGCCCTATAAAATTTTTATAAATTAATTAATTAAACTGGTTTTCAATTTTGTTACCTTTGTTTGATATCATTTATTTCCCTTGGCATCTTGTTTGATTCTTTCAATTTGTTTTCTTATTTTTGTTCCATATTCTTTTGTTTTTGATTTCAAATAGAATAAGGTAATTACAATTTTGGTACTATTTATTAATATAGAATAGTATTTATGCTATCTTAGTCGAGGCTGGAGTAGAGATCTATTCTTAATTTTCAATGCTATATAATCTTTTTAGTGCTATTTTTTCCTCAAAACAATATATTCACTTTGTATACTGGGAATACTAACATGAAATAATTGTAGATAATATATCTAGAAATATAGTTTGTCACTTAATTTTTTCATTTATTTTTGCATTAGTAATGACTTCTTGCCTCTGTCAAGACCGTTTTAGTACTTTCAACTTTTTTTCAAGAAAATATTCTTATTGCGTGATAAAGTAGAAAGTACTACATTCTTTTTTCTGCTTTGTCTTTTTTTTCTCTCTAATTGTTTTTTTTTTTTAATTGAATTTCTTGTTAATCAATAGTGAGCATGAAAAAGACGTTTGTGACGTTCTGCATTAGAGAAATTAATAACAATCAATTGGTAGTGATGAAATTATTTTTTAGTCTTGCAACCCCGTAAATGTGTAGCCTGTTTAAATGTAGTAAAAAGTTTTTGATTCGTTAATCATTCTTTTTATTTCCTGCACATTTTATGAATATATACCAAACCTATTTATTAAAACCTTGATAAAAATGTTGGTTTTCTTGTATATTGGCAGAGAGTATGAAAAATTATTTTGTAATGTACTTCTTTTATAGAGAAAATGAAAATCTATTGGTAGTGATAAGATTATTTGAAAACAATTTTTTTTATGAATATACATGTATGCCAAAGTACTTTATTAAAAACCTGAATGAGTATGTAGCTGTTACTGAACTTTTTTCAAACAGTGAAAGTGAAAAACTTGCAACAAATTACTTTAAAAAGGATGTTTTTACATCTAAAAACTGTATATATCATTTTACTGCTTTTTAGCTGATTTGATGCTATGCTTGGTGATGGAGCATCTTTAACAAAATTCCCTTCATGATATTTTTCATAGTTTCTTTAGCCTTGAGATATACATGCTTTCTCGCCTTACATAGATTATTAAGTAGTGATCTCTTTTGCATGATAGATTAGTGAATGGTACGCAGTACATTTATATTAAACAACAATATATTATAAGGGTATCTTGGAAACTAATTACTAAAATACTTTGTAGATATCCTTCATTGCCTTCCTTTAAGAAAAATATTTTCTTAAATGTGATTGAAATACTTTTTATATGTGATTATGTGTGTATAATTGCTCATACAAAAAATGGAATTAAGTATGAAAAGTTGAAAACTGCTCTAATTTCAAATCCATATCGGATTAGGTATGTCATTGATAGGTCTTCTGTCTTTGTAAATACATGCAGCATGATATAGTAATCTGCTAAGAGCCAGGAGGGCATTGAATCATATCCTCTTTATCCAGAGTTAATGTCTTTTTACCCTCGGCAGACGATTTTCTGTCCAATTCATAGATATCCTTCAATACATATTATGAATGTATTCTTACCATTTGTGTGAAAGAGATATATCATCATGTTAGGAGCCGGAAGGACGTTTTTTCTGTGTTAACAAATATATGTTAACACCTTTCGGGCTCATTCGACCACAGTATTTTCACTAAAATTCCAGTGCTATTTGCAAAAGTAGAGTAATGAATCTAATGACCTGTTTACTGGCAGTATAGATTATGAGGGGTCCTATTAAAAGGGACAAACATTAATGCACCAAATCTATCTAACATTGTCACCTCTACTTTTTCTTAGACATTTCTGGTGAATGTGGGATAATAACACTCTCATGTTAAGTCTCTCTACAGTGTCACTGCCTCCCCCCCCTATCTTTTTCCTCATCTCTCTCCTCATCTCTCTCTCTCTCTCTCTCCCTCTCTCTCTTTCTGTGACTCTTTCTCTCATTCTTTAATTCTTATCTCTCCCTTTTTTTTTGTCTCTCCCCCTTCTCTCTCTCTCTCTCTCTCTCTCTCTCTCTCTATATATATATATATATTCTTTCCTATTTTTCTTATTCTGTCATTCCCATCTCTTCCTATCTCTCTTTCATCTCTTACATCATATGAATCTTTTCTCCATACACCATTCCCCCCAATGTACACCATTCCTCTTACTGTAAGCCCTTTTCCCATTACATAATATCTCTCCTCTCTAATTTACATTCGTCATTTCTCTAATAGTGGGCATGCAATATAAGTAGTGCTGTATAACATGTTGTTTGATATTTGTTGCATGTATTGGTATAACTGTAATTGTGTGTAAATCTAACTAGCAAAATGAATTTTAACTTAATTTGAATATTTTGTTAACGTTTTTTGAGGGGGGGGGGGGGGGGGGGGGTGTTTTAACTACATTTAGCCAGTATACCTCCTTTACCATTGAAACGATAAAAAGGTACAAAAGATCAATATTGTAAAGGAGGATTACAAATCTTTGCAGTCCAAGATATACAGACATATGCATCAATGTTTAGAATTATTGATGCTCAATGTTGAGATAAACCTGGTAAAAGAGAAAGAAAATTACATTCTGCTCTTTTTTGCCAATGAAGATTGATATTAAAATTCAATGGTATGTTTAGCCTCCTGTATATCTAGACACCATGCAAGCTGATACATTACAAGCAGCATCTAATGGTATGTTTATCTTGTGGATAGCCTGGAACAAAAACGAAGGGGGGAAATAGAGATATATTTAAAAGAGCATTTGACCATTAATAAGTGTTGAATTTCAGGGTCCCTTTAAATTATAAAGGGGAGGGGACCCGTGAAAATGTAATTATTCTTATCCTACATTAGGTTAAGGCTTAGGTTTCTGAGGGGAGCCTGAATTGTGAAGGATTTTGAAGTTTCATCAAGATGATAATTTATCTCTTTCTCTCTCTAGTGATGTTGATATGGATGGACAGTCCGTGGCTGCTGTACTATCACCGTCCCAAACTAGTTCATCGTCAAGTCTATCAACAAAGTAAGTAACCTGTATCTTATCTCAAATTCTAGTAAGAAAATCTAAATTCACGAAAGAATCTGTAACTTTAAAGAGAAGGTTGAGTTCTGGGGAGAGTTGAAAAATAATTTTTGAAGAAAAAAAAATGTTCACTGAAAAGCATGGCTCTTCAAATGCCTTTATATTCTAATTTCTAAATATGACAAGTGACAGCTTTAAAATGGGTTTGAACCAAGACGGATCTTAAAGCTATTATACATTTTTTTAAATCCAAATCCTTAGGCAGATATGAACTGAACTGTTAGCAAGCTTGATCAAGAAGTGAAAGTTAGTTTTGATCCTGTGAGATTAATTTCAGGATCCAATTCTCAATCAAAGTCAAAGTTCCCCAAAGACATCACAAGAACATCTATTAAAGCCCCACTGCACTACTTATAGCTACTTGTACCCTCTATATAGCAAACAATGCCTAAGCGGTGACCGTGGTTCCCTTTTTCTTATGTTAATTGAGAGCTGCTTAAATGAGATATCCACCTGTCAGTGACCATGCAGGGAGGTCTAATCCCTCCAGGCCAAACTACTGCAGATAGGCTTTAAGCTGTAGGAGGGGTGGGGTGGGGGGGGGGGGGGATTCAAACATGAAGGCTTATGCAATCTGCTAAACCAATGGGAAGGATTATATTTTCAGTACACACATATTTACCATGCATTTATCTAGGGTCATCTCACACTTTGAATAGTAATGACCAGGTTGATAACTTTAAGAATGCTTGCTTTCTAATACTCAGCCGAAGTCAAGACTCCCCAAGAACATCGCAAGAGCAGCTATCCAGAGCTGTGGAGGAGGACGACTCCGACATGGAAGCTGAGATGAACACTCCCAACTGGCAGAAGAAGATCGACAAAGACGTCATCAAGAAACTCAAACCAAAGGAGGTCAAACGGCAAGAGGTCATCAATGGTGAGTCTAGAGGGCGCTGTCACTATTTAATCTAGAATCCTATACCTGTGAATCATGGCGTTATTGTTGCGGATCAAGTCGTCTTTGTAAAGAGCCAGAAGGGTGTTAACTTTGTGTAAAATGATGAGTTAACGCCCTTCTGGCTCCAAACAGATAAAATGTCAGATTACCACACAGAGAAGATCCACATTGAGGAGTCTCAAGGTCCAACTTCAAGTCTGTAACTTGATTAAAAAAGATTTATTCTTTGGTAGAGAGAGAAATGTTTGTTAATTTAACTGACGGTGATTCAGTGCATGAATACATTTATTTCTAATTCTTATGGCAGAGCTGCCTCACACAGAAAAGATTAAAGATCAAGGTCCTATCTAAAGTTGTCTACTTCTTCAATAAAAAGAAGTTTTAATCGTGTATAAAGAGTATTATTCATTTCCAGTTACAGTGATTTAAAGGGAGTGTAGACTAAGACTAAGAGTCTTTCCTGTGGCCTCACTCGGGGCCCAATCAGGTATAATATGACTACGGACGACGCAACCGCAGCAATCACGTGCGTGCAACATATGCTTTAGGAGAACTTCGGTCTTTCGCAGACGCTGACCATGTAAAGATTAAGTCGCTGACTACCGTTAATCAAGTCCAGTCATATACGTGCAGTTGTCCAAAATAAGACGTAGGTGGGGCTAACCAGTATTTGCCAAGCTACATTCCCTTTAATGTATACATATCTTCTTGTTCTCATGTTCTCAGAGCTGTTCCACACAGAAAAGACCCACGTCCGAAGTCTCAAGGTCCTACGTAAAGTCTTCTTCCTACCCATGTTAGAACAGGAGATTGTCGGCCTGACTAGTGCGACTATATACTACATCTTCCCAAACATCGATGAGATGATTGATATCCACGGGTCCCTCAACAACGCCATGAAAAGGGAAAAGAGAACGTCACATATAGTTCAGGAAGTCAGCCAAATGCTTTTAGAAAGGGTAAGGATTATCAGTATAATTATAATTATTACATTGATTATAATTAGTAGTATAATTTTAGTTTTAGTTTCAAGTTTCAAGTTTAATGTTCCACATTTTACAGAAAATATAAACATACATATATAATAACACATTATATGTTACAATTGTAGTGTAAATGAGCACATGTCAATGATTCTCAATTCATATAATAGATAATGTAGAATGTGAGGAACCTATTAAAAAGTGGGGCTTGTATAATATAGGTTCCTGGAAGAAAAAAGTAATGTAGATAACAAAACAGTAGCAGTAGAGAAACACGTAATTTAGAGGGGAGAATTTAAAACACAATGAAATAAGGACATTTTTATACAAAATAATGCATTGGCACCAATACCCAGAGTCACCCGGTTAAAAGCGTAGTCAAAATGCGTAGTCAAAATGCGCAGTCACCCGTAGTAGTAGTAGTAGTAATTGTAGCAGAAGCAGTAGCAGTAGATCTAGATCTTCCCAAACAGTGATTGGATGATTGAAATCCATGGTTCCCTCAATAACGCCATGAAAAGAGAAAAGAAAATGTCACATATTGTTCAGGAAGTCGGCCAGATGCTATTAGAAAGAGTAAGGATTATTAGAAGAAACCACCAATGCTCAATAGAGATCCCTTTTGCCAAAAAGGATGTGTACAAATCCTCCTTTTTCCCAGAGGACTGGAAGAGCGTGGAACGCTCTCGACCAGCAGTCTGTCTTAGCCCCATCTGTTGAGCACTTTTGTTGAGAACACGCTTTAGCATGTTCCACCTGCCATACACGTTAGTGACATGCGGAATACCGCCCTGCTCACTTCAATTTCAGAAGATTATTAGTAAGATTTTAGTTGTAGTAGTAGTTGTAGCAGAAGTGTGTAATATCTGCTGTTTTCAATTTGCAGGTGTTGGTAAGGTCCTTTATGTTGGTTCCTGGAAGACCAATAATTATTGGCTAAAAAAATGATAGCTAATGGCCATTAAAATCATTTCTTTTTCTTCCAGATATAATCCTTTACATTTTTGATAAGGGAAGGCAACTTTATTATCACTCGCGTTCGTCCGGGTTCAGGACGATCGCGTCCCCTCCTTTGTTAGCAGAACGCGACTGTCCTTAACGCGTAAGGTATGGGGGATTAAAACCTTCTCCATTCATCGCGTACCCTCCTTTGTTTAGAGAACGCGAGCGTCCCAAACGGGTCCCCAATGAAAGGGGCAAGAATGGGGGGATTATCTTACATAATATTACATAATTCTTGAGAGGAATAGGGTTTCTATTTGTCGCGCTAAGAGGGGCAAGAACTCGTTTAATCACCTTGCCAGTAAAATTCCTTCCTTCCAGCGATCGGAAGGCTTTCCCCATTTTAAATGAAATGTAAATGAAATGAAAACTGTGTGAATCGCAATCAATGCAGAGGTCCGTTGTTTGAGGTTGAGAGAGAGAGAGGTAGAGGGACGTAGACATGCATGTTTTGTTCTTTGAAATATTTACTCTACGAGACTGTTATGTATTTTTTTATATGTCATCTATTTTGGAGGTTTGGTCTTATGAAAACTGATTTTGAATGAGTGATACAAGGCCGCGGCCGCCTTGTAGTTGTAGCGACCAGCAGCGCTAGAACAATTTATAATTTGCATACCCTGTGCCGCCCATTGAACCCTGGGAAGGGTAATAGACATTCTGACATTTCTATCGATCTTTTCGTGGGTACAATGAATAGGCACAAATGAAGTACTAGAAAGTTGGATTGATAACCGTATCTTGGAAATGTTGTAATCAACACCCAAGTTCAGACAGACCGCGATATTTACGATTGTCAGCCTACGCCTTTGTTCTGAGAGCGCCGACTTGTGGCGGGAATGTCATAATAAATCTGTCATTATTTGTATGTCGTTGTTGCGACTGGACAATGGTGAGGAGAATTTTTTTTATGATAACAAAAACAGATCCAACAATACCCCTTTTTAATTCGGGTAATACACCTTGAAACTCTCTCTGTCTCTCGATAGTAGTAAATCCATCTGTATCTCAAATCAACACAATTTCCTTTCTTATCTGTTATCTTTCTCTCCAGGCCCTCTCTACGCCCCTTTTTTTTGGTTAGCCCTCTTACTCTCTCTCTCTCATCCAGTCACCTTTCTAATCTCTCTCTACCACTATCTCTCTACCACGTACTATCTCTCTTTCTTTAATCAACACTTTCTTTAGCTAGTGCGTCCCATGAGAAAACGAAACGGAGAATTATCGATGTTTTATGATAACTTGATCAAAATTATAATGAATAAATGACACATATTTGTACAGGAATAACAAAGTTCCGTTTGTTTAAAGTAATGCTTGCATTTCCATTATTTCCATAACTCTGTTTGTTGCTACGGCAGGCAGCCAGTGAAAACGAATTGTTTAATCAAATTATGGAAGTGCTAGCATTACTTTAAACAAACAGAAATTTGTTATTCCTGGCTCATTTTTTCTGATTGAGCCGAGGTTTAATTTATGAAAGGGCAGAAAGTGAATTTTCTAGAAATTCAGATACCGTTCGCCAAATGACTTTTTGATACCCTGTGGTGGTGGTTATTTTACCTGACTGCTAAGAAAGCATAAATGCTTGTTAGAAAGCAACCAGACGTCCGACGGCTTTAGGTTCTCTCCGAGGGACCTGGTAATGAGGATTAATGCCTTACCAAAGGACCCTGCATGTCTTCAAATTGTTTTTTAATCGCTCATTCGTGAAATATGCATAAGAGTTGCATCACTGAAGAGGATCTAAGCTTTACCAATATGTGTCATTTATTAATTATAACTATGATTAAGTTATGATAAAACATCGACAATTCTCGGCTTCGTGTTTTCTGAGGCGCACTGTATAGGTCGATTGCTTATCTGAAATGAGGCGAGTCATGTCAATCAACACCAAAGTTCCAAAACATCGCGTATATTAAACATCGTTACGCGCCTTCGTAATGCACACCCTCCCCAATTTAAATGCAATTCCGAGAAAAAAATATATGATAAAATTAAGTTTGTATTTTAATAATTGAAGAAAAAAAGAAGAAAAAAAAAATTATTTTAAAGAGGTGGAATTACAAAATTAGAGGGGGCAGATAAAGTAGGTGAAGAAAAAAAAAATTAAGTTTCAAGATAAAGAAATCGGGAGATGTATTGAAGAATGAATTCGCAGTTTTGAACACAATTCAAATTTCTAATTTCAATGAAAGTCTGAAAAAACGATATAATAACGTTATCATATTAATCATTGAAAACAAAATCTAAGAGATGGAATTGCAAAATTAGATGAAGTGATGAACAGGGGCGTACGCAGGATTTTTTCGCGGGGGGGGGGGGGTTAAATTGCGCCGAAAAGTTAGCAATGACAGGCGGGGGGGGGGGGGGGTAAGAGCACATTTTTCTTTTTGTGTCCAGGATTTGATGTTTTTTTGGTCACCCATAAGCACACACAAAAAACAAATGAGGGGGGGGGGGGGTTCCCCCTCCCCTCACTGCCTACGCGCCTGGTGATGAAGATATAAATAAAGAAATATTAGAGTTCAAGAAGAAAGAAAGGATCGGGAGACGGAAAGATGGCAGCCGCAGGTAAAAAGGGCGACTAAATAAATACGAAAATGCATTGAAAAGGGAAAAGTAAAACCAACAGGAAGGCAAAGATAGATCCACAACTTCACTTCACTCATTCTGGACATTTCATCACTATCTGTTATTTATTTGAGAAACCAACTACAACTACCAACTACGAGTGAGCCATCACTCATCACGTGGCCTTGGTCGATGATACATAATGCGGACATAATCCAATCTTATCAAAATGCTAATGTCTCCCCCTTGTTCAGCTCCGATCCCTTCTTGGCGGCCAAGCCCTTTCATGTTTGCGCGCTCTCCATCAGACATTCCCCTCTCTTTCTCTCTCTCTCTATTGCGCTGTCTGTTTCTTGAAGTTATCCCCCCCCCCCTGAAAAAATAAGCGTGGGAAAACCTCTCTCTCGCTCTCTTCTCTTGAGGTCATTCACTCGGCCCATAAATGGCTTTGTTTTTGTTTACATTAGCTCAGAGGCGGCTTCATAAGTCATGAATGAACTGACTAGTATGTCTGGTTACTAAGCAACTATGCAGTCAATCAAAATTTTCAAATTCATTTGTGGCTGCATTTTCATATCGGGCAATAAAAAAAACTCAAAATTATGATATTTAACAATCATTTTTAACATAAGTATGAAATAGTGAGATCCTACTCAAACTCGTGAATTTCTCATTTTTAAAGAACAATTTCCAGCAAACTACAAATATGAACTGGCCATGTTAATGACACGGGCGTACAAACACGTCGACAGCTCTTCAGACTTTCTATCAATTGCTTTGGTGTCTCGAAGTCATGTCATTTTGAGACAGAGAATTTATTTTACTCCAATATAAAGTAAAAGACGAACAAATTTGAGTACTGCAATTTTTGTGAAAATAAGAAAATGCAATATTGTTTTTAATATAAGGAAAATAATTACAGCTTTAAATACATGACTTGGTCTAGCTCGATAAAAATCCAAACAACTATGATGGGGTCTATTCGCTATTCATAAGGACCGCTATTCATAAGGTCCGCTATTCATAAGGACCGTTATTCATAACGTGTAAATTCCCGTACTTCCTGGTCCGCTATTCATAATGGCAAAAGAGGGTCGCTATTCATAAAGAAATAAGGTTCGTTAATCATAAGGACCGCTATTCATAACGTGAGATGAGGGTCGCTATTCATAATTCATATTAAGGGTCATTAATCATAAGGACCGCTATTCATAATATGAAATCAGGGTCACTATTCATAATACGACGAGAGGGTCGCTATTCATAATACGAAATAAGGTTCATTACTTATAAGGGTCGCTATTCATAACACGGGAAGAGGGTCGCTATTCATAATACGAAATGAGGGTCGCTATTCATAATAAGAAATGAGGGTCGCTATTCATAATAGGAGAAGAGGGTCGCTATTCATAATAGGAGAAGAGGGTCGCTATTCATAATAGGAGAAGAGGGTCGCTATTCATAATACGAAATGAGGGTCGCTATTCATAATACGAAATGAGGGTCGCTATTCATAATAGGAGAAGAGGGTCGCTATTCATAATAGGAGAAGAGGGTCGCTATTCATAATAGGAGGAGAGGGTCGCTATTCATAACAGGAGAAGAGGGTCGCTATTCATAATAGGAGAAGAGGGTCGCTATTCATAATAGGAGAAGAGGGTCGCTATTCATAATAGGAGAAGAGGGTCGCTATTCATAATACGAAATGAGGGTCGCTATTCATAATACGAAATGAGGGTCGCTATTCATAATAGGAGAAGAGTGTCGCTATTCATAATAGGAGGAGAGGGTCGCTATTCATAACAGGAGAAGAGGGTCGCTATTCATAATAGGAGAAGAGGGTCGCTATTCATAATAGGAGGAGAGGGTCGCTATTCATAACAGGAGAAGAGGGTCGCTATTCATAATAGGAGAAGAGGGTCGCTATTCATAATAGGAGAAGAGGGTCGCTATTCATAATAGGAGAAGAGGGTCGCTATTCATAACAGGAGAAGAGGGTTGCTATTCATAATAGGAGAAGAGGGTCGCTATTCATAATAGGAGAAGAGGGTCGCTATTCATAAAAAGAAATGAGGGTCGCTATTCATAATACGAAATGAGGGTAGCTATTCATAATAAGAAATGAGGGTCGCTATTCATTATAGGAGGAGAGGGTCGCTATTCATAATAGGAGAAGAGGGTCGCTATTCATAATACGAAATGAAGGTCGATATTCATAAAAAGAAATGAGGTTCGCTATTCACAATAGAAGTATAGTGTCCTCTATCCAGTATGTCGCTTTCTTATTAACATTTAGTTTATTGCTTATGTCATTTTGACTTTTTCGGTATTATGAATAGCGACCCTCACGTCGTATTATGAATAGAGACCTTTCCCATTATGAATAGCGATCCCCTACTCCTATTATGAATAGCGACCCTCTTCTCCTATTATGAATAGCGACCCTAATTTCGTATTATGAATAGCGACCCTCTTATCCTATTATGAATAGCGACCCTCACGTCGTATTATGAATAGCGACCCTCATTTCCTATTATGAATAGCGACCCTCTTCTCCTATTATAAATAGCGACCCTCATGTCCTATTATGAATAGCAACCCTCTTCTCCTTTTATGAATAGCAACCCTCTTCTCTTATTATGAATAGCGACCCTCACGTCGTATTATGAATAGCGACCCCCTTCTCCTTTTATGAATAGCGACCCTCTTCTCGTATTATGAATAGCGACCCTCTTCTCGTATTATGAATAGCGACCCTCTTCTCCTATTATGAATAGCGACCCTAACGTCGTATTATGAATAGCGACCCTTTTCTCCTATTATGAATAGCGACCCTCTTCTCCTATTATGAATAGCGACCCTCATGTCGTATTATGAATAGCGACCCTCTTCTCCTATTATGAATAGCGACCCTTTTCATTGATTATGAATAATGACCCTTATGAATAATGACCCTTATGAATAATGACCCTTATGAATAGCGACCCTCATTTTCCATTATGAATAGCGACCCTCATTTCGTATTATGAATAGCGACCCTCATTTCGTATTATGAATAGCGACCCTCTTTCTGTGTTATGAATACCGACCCTTTTGTAATATTATGAATAGGGACCCTTATGAATAGCGACCCTCACGTCGTATTATGAATAGCGACCCTCTTCTCCTATTATGAATACCGACCCTCTTCTTTGATTATGAATAGCGGTCCTTCTGAATAATGACCCTTATGAATAATGACCCTTTTCTCCAATTATGAAAAGCGGACCTTATGAATAGCGGTCCTTATGAATAGTGGACCTTATGAATAGCGGACCTTATGAATAGCGGTCCTTATGAATAGCGACATTGACCCACTATGATCATATACATTTTTTTTTCTTCGTAACATTGGATAACAAATTTCACAAATTCCAACATACTATAAATATTGATTATTTAGTGCAAGGGTAAATATGACAATGACTCGGAACATAATACAGGGATCACAATTAATCAAATTACTCTTAATACTTGTTTTTTTTTTAATTATTTTTTATAATTTTTTTTTCTTCAGGGGGGCGGGGTCAAATTTTCCCTCGTGTCGCGCCACGCCTTTTTAATTCTTGGCGAGAGGCCTGATTATGCATAGAATAAAAAAAATCAACAAAAGGGAAAAGTAAAACAACAGGGGGGCAAAGTTACATATCTACATCTTCACTTGTAAGGTAGACTACATGCATGCAATGTAAATCCTTATTTTTATTTCTATATTTATTTTGTAAAAACACTGAATTTTCTGCTGTGACTTTAGATAAAACTCAGACTTCACAGAGCTGCCAAGCAGAACGTTTTTAACATATTTATACGTGTTTTTTTAAGGGAAAATACGTATTTGTTTTGCTGTGCTAAAATTGTAAGTTCTGAGTATGGCTATGCGAACGTGGCTACAGGTTGGCTGTGAGAACGAGCGTATAGTATGCATACACACAACACAGGGGATGTACACCACTCAAAGACGTGCACATTACCCCAGGCCATGCATACACACATGCATCCGATCGTGATATCAAACCAGCATCCACAACACACGCAAATTACATATCAGTGCACTGCACTACACACAGCGTCACTCACTAGTACAAGGAAATCCCGATGTCACTTCCAAAAATCCACCCCAAAAGCCAAATTTTGCTGTCACAAGTGCGGAATCGGAGCCATATTTCCAAAGCACGCGGTGGCTTAGCCAAGTTTTAAAAAACGGCTTCGCCAAAAAAACGCTTAAAATAAAAAAATCAGAGATTTTGTAACGAGTTTTTTCGTTTATCGCAAGCGCCCTTCGAGGCAGGCCTGCTTCGAGGGCCTTCGAGTGTGGTGGTATCTTTACCAGCGCTGTAGGGTTTAGATCACGTGACCGCTATCCACATGTTGTGATTTGCGCGAATTGCTGATACACGCAATGCAGTACTGATTAATAGGTTGGGGGAATACAGACACTACTAAATATGATTTATATATTTGCAGTGTCGCACAAGAAGCTTTTATTCATATGCGGCTGTATGTAGAAAGACTTGAGGCGTTGCTGGTTAGGTTTATTATTTTAGCGCGCGACACATTTTTTAGACAAATTATTATCAATCAACACGGGAGGATTGCAGCTCTAGCTCTGCTTTCAAGACTGAAAATTCATCTATGAAAATTTACTATCTTGTATTTTAAACACGAGCTAGACGGGTGCAACTTTATTGTCAGGGAACACCAGATTAACGCGTTCTAGACGGGTCAGCTATTGTCAGGGGACGCCAGATTAGTAAGGATTAGAGAGGGGCTGGATAGCGGTGAGGTTGATTGACAGCGGTCCTAGCGGACGGGATGGCTTCTTTTCTGGCTGCCTGCTCTATTGTCCAACAGACAACAATAGACGCGAGCAAGGGACGCCAAGGGACCGCCAGCGTACAATACGCGTCCGGGAACGGGGGGATTAAGAGATAAGTAGGCGTCCCGAACCCGGACGAACGCGAGTGATAATAAAGTTGCCTTCCCTAACAACAACTCTCTTTCTTTGTGAATCATTTCAAGAAGTTTATTTTCAACCGTCTTATCCTCATTTGTCCTTATCTATCCTGACCTTGCTGTATAGTTTGATGGGGAATCCGGAGAGACGATGAAGAGAGTGTGTGCATCGTTCTGTCAGAACCAGAGTATAGCCATGGAGCATCTCAAGAAACTTGTTAGGAAGGAGAAAGAGAAGGAGAAAGACAAGAAGGAAGGATCTGTATCAAGATTCATGGATGTGAGTTCAGAATCGCTTGCTTTCCTTTTAATGATAATAATAATAATATTCCGCTTTCATATAGCGCCCAATACATCTATGCAACGATGTGTCTAAGCGCTTTACAGATATATTATTACCCGGTCATCAGATTCAGGCTTACCCGCACACAATGTATGCACATTCTCCACTCCCTGATAAAATTTGGATTGAATACCGCTGGCAATCTCTATTTCCTGTGATTGTAGCAATTTGCAGCGAAGAAAAATTGGTAGGAGTGGTTTTCAGTCAAAGTGCTGGAAAGACCTCTAGTAACTTTGGTTGAAACAATCGAACAAAAATGGAAGGTTATTTCCATTTTCCTCCATGGTCTATCTGTACTGGATTGAGTACAGTAGAACCTGTATATGAAGACTGCTCAATAGACATGAATTTATAGGCAGACGGTCTTTATGTACAGGTTCCTTCAGTACAGGTTGCAATGAAAAAACCATATTCAAGGGAAACAAAAAGAGTGGTCTTTCTATACAGGTAGTCACTAAAGCAGTTTTGACTGTAATTGCTTTGGAGCGAAAGAAGCAACCTTTCATACTACTGGCAGATGAAGTATGTAAGACATGGGTCGAGTCTAAATGAAAATTGTAGGTAGTCTATTTCATAAGCTACAAGGATGCCATGAAATCTGCCTTACCTACATGCACAACCAGGTTTAACAACATTAAGAGGGAGAGAGAGAGGTAGAGAGAGAGGGGGGGGGGGGGGGGGGGGGGGGGGGAGGGGAGGAATGAAAGTGAAAGAGAGAGAGAGAGAGAGAGATCGGCCAATAGGTTAATACATTATAAATATAATATATAATCAGCACCGTAAATAACGTTGTATAAACCGCCCTCGTGTATTAACCGCACCCCTCTTTTTCGCCCTTGCCGAGATTTTTTTTTTTTTTGTGTGTAAGATCATTACGGTACTGTAAATTAAAAAACAGTAGGGACCTAGGATAGAACCTTGTGGTACACCATGTAATAGAAGAAAAATTGGAGGAATTATTATTATAAACTACATATTGAGATCTATCAGAAAGATTACTTTCAAACCAAGATGACAGACAAATTTGAGTGTTGTTCTAGTTTCCGAGTGGTGAGTCAACACACCGATTACCGAGCTGGGAGACATTGCCAGGCATAGCGCCAGGTGGAGGGGCATAAATTGAAACTTTTATTTATTTTTTTTTATTTTTTTATTTTTTTTGGTGTATAAACCGCACCCCCGACTTTGAAATTTTTTCGGCGGCAAAAAAAGTGCGGTTTATACACCGTTATATACGGTATGTTATTATTTTGTTCTCATGTTTCTTAATATTTTTTTGGTTTTGGTTGTAGGAAGCTGAAGGGAACCCACTATGTAGAAGACTACCACTGCCAGGCATTGTAGCAACCGGATACCAAAGATTGACCAAATACCCTCTACTCATTGAGAATCTACTCAAGTACACACCTGGTAAGTACCTAGGCTCGCTAAATGATAACTCCATTAATAATGATGATAATATTTGGACGTGCTTTGGAGAAGAGCAGGGGGATCCTATCCTACATGTATTTCTGACCTTTAATGAATTTCAACAGTAGATTCATGGAACTATGTAATTACAACCAATTGTTCTGTGTGTCCCAAAGTCGTGAGTATGAGTACTTTGGACGTGACTGGGAGAAGAGCAGGGAGATTCTGTCTTATTTGTTATATTTCAATGAAATAAAACAGTAAACAAATACCCATGAAATGTCTCTTAATTGCACCACTCGAGGAGGCGCGATAGCTCAGTTGGTAGAGCAGAGGTCTTGTAATCCGGTGATCCAGTTTCGAAACTAAGTCGATGCGCTAGTGCCCTTTGGTAAGGCCTTAATCCTCATTACCAGGTCCCTCAGAGAGGACCTAAAGCCATCGGTCTTCTGGTTTCTTTCTAACAAGCATTTATGCTTTCTTAGCAGTCAGGTAAAACAACAAAAATTACCACCAAAAATAATTTCTCCTTCTTTCCAAAGCCAAAAGTCCTGAGTACGAGCGACTGGGACGTGCCTTGGAGAAGAGCAAGGAGATCCTATCCTACGTCAACCAAGCGGTCAAGGAATGCGAGAACCGTTGGCGTCTTATCGACTACGACACCAGGATGGACAGAACGCCACTGGACAAGTCCAATAACCCTCTCGTCACAGATTACAAGAACATCAACCTGACACAACATAAGATGATCCATGATGGCGTACTGACGTGGAAAGTCAATAGGAATAAAAGTATAGGTACGTAGTAAGTGATTTTTTTAAAAGCACGTCTGCACTAGTTTGGCCATGAGGGATTAGACCTCCCTGCATGGTCACTGACAGGTGGTTATCTCATCAAATCAGCTCTCAATTAATATAAGAAAAAGGCGATCATGGGGGACCCAACAGGTACCACTTAGGCATTGTTTGCTATATAGAAGGCTCAAGTAGCTACAAGTAGTGCAGTCCCACTTTAAAGGTTTCTATGATGTCAGGAATAATGACGGTAATATAAACTTTATCTTTACTTTATCTTTGCACTTGCAGTTACCACAATCCATGAAAATATGTTTGATTTCAAGATCATTTAGATTTTTTAAGGCCATTGATTTTTCCCCTACTCTCTGTAAGAAATACATAAGGGAAGAAAATGTTAGTTTCATAACCATAATAATAATATTAATAGGCATTTCTATAGCGCCGTCTATCTAGAAATTCTATTCCGAGGCGCATTTATTATTACCCTGGCTTTAGCCTAGCTCCATCATTTCAAGGAATGAATTCCTGCCAGGTACCCATTTACCATTTAGTCTGAAAAGTTTTGTCTCTCCCTTTATTTAAGCTAGGAATCCTTCAGGAGTTTTTGCAAGAAGTGGGAGTGCTCACATTTAAATCTTTGCATTGGTTTCTTTCTTTCCTTTCACACAGAGGTCCAAGTGCTATTACTAGAGGAGCTGATTGTTCTGCTATCAAAGCAAGATGATAAGTTGGTATTAAAGCTCCATTCTACGACAAACCAAGCAAGGGAAGAACTGAAGACCCACAGTCCTATTATCAAGCTCAGCACTGTCCTGTGCAGGCCGGTTGCAACAAGTGAGTATCTTTAGATATCTTGTCCTGTCCCTATCTTTTTTGTATCTATCTATCCTTCTATCTATCTATCAATCTATGTATATTTATGTCTATCTATCAATCTACCTGTCTATCTATCTATCTGTCTATCTATCTTTCTGTCTATCTATCTTTCTATCTATCTGTATCTATCTATCTGTCTATCTATCTATCTTTGTATCTATCTATCTTTGTATCTATCTAACTATCTATCTTTCTGTCTATCTATCTTTCTGTCTATCTATCTTTCTGTCTATCTATCTTTCTATCTATCTGTCTATCTATCTATCTTTGTATCTATCTATCTTTGTATCTATCTAACTATCTATCTATCTTTCTGTCTATCTATCTTTGTATCTATCTATCTTTCTGTCTATCTGTCTATTCATATATCAATCTATCTTTCTGTCTACCCATCAATCTATCTATCTACCTGTATAATCTATCTTTCTATCTATCTGTCTATCTGTTTTTCTATATATCTGTCTATCTACCTATTTACCTATGTCCCATAGCTTTGAGTATATTGGGGTGACAATGAAATGGACCATAAGACATAGGTCCTCTCTTCTATCTGTGCCCTGCCTTAACTTGTAATGCAATTTGACCTCTCTATCTCACTTTCCAGATAAGAAAGCCTTCTTCCTTGTCAGTACCTCATCAGCGGCTGGTCCTCAGATCTACGAGCTCTGCACCAATTCGTCTCAGGAGAGACAGTCCTGGATGGATGTCATCCTATCCACGCAGGATGTGGAGCGGAAGCAGGCTAAGGGAGGACGCCGTAACGCCAAGACAGCGGCCAACCCCAGACCTCTACCGCAAGAACTCTTACCTGTCTATGAGGAGAGCTCAAAAGCGTGAGTAATAATAATACTAATTATTCCGCTTTCATATAGTGCTTAATACATCTGTGATGTCTGTAAGCATTTTACAGATATACTATTACCCCAGGTCATTGGATTCAATACTTGCCCACACACACTGTGTGCACAATCTCCACTCCCTGGGGAGCATTCCAGCCAGGCATTACTCGACACTCAAAACTGTTTGACCAACAATGACGGTCGCATCTTAGCGGGTACCCATTTAACACCTCGGTGGAGAGTAGCAAGTGCAGGTTAATATCCATACTGTGGCCTTCTTGAAGACTGGAGACAAATAAGTGATGATATCACTTATTTGTCTCCAGTCTGCAAGCAGGCCACTTCTGCAATTGACAATACGAAGCAGTTACAGCCCTCTTGTAGTCCGCCAATGTATTATGATCTATTGATTTTAATTCATTGATGACTGCATTGTGTTCCAATAGCCAGGTTCCAATAGCCAAAGGGTTAACAAGGAGATGTGATATCAGGGCCCCGTCTTATAAAGAGTTACGACTGATCCAAACCAATCCTAAGTCCTCCAATCAATCGCAAGTTTGCAGTCTTCTATCTCTTATGGACATAGTTGTGATTGATATCATCCGTAAATAAGTTGCGATTGATATCAACTCTTTATAAGACAGGACCCTGATGATATAATGGTTGTCTTTTTGTTTTACAGTGATGAGAAGCCAGAGATCAACGGCCCACCTGAGGTGGTCAACAATGTGGCCCTCGCTCCCCAAGCAGAAGTGGTCAGTCTGACCAACAGCTCAGGTCAGTAGCTCCAAGTTTTTTGATGAAGCATATATTTATACAGTCAAACCTGCTTTAGTGACCACCTGTCTACAAAGACCAAATTTTTGTTTCCCTTAAAAATGGTTTCTCATTGAAACATGTACTAAAGGAACCTATCTACAAAGACCACTTTTTATGTTCCCCTTGGGCAGTTGCTATAGACAGGTTTGACTGTATATGTTTTTATAAAGTCATCTTCTTGGGATTAAAGCTTTCAGTTATGATTATGATAATATTCTAAGGTATTACTTATTTATATCTGGCACTCTTGAAATTCATCACATATGGTGGAATTGCTTGTGAAATCTTGTGATCAGAAGTGTGATACAGCCAAAAAAAGGGGGAGGGGAAGAGGAGGAGGAGGAGGGGGGGGGGGGGGTTGAGATGGGAGGGTGTAGGAGGGGGAGATGTTCAGTCTATGTGTTATTTTGTTGCTCATAACAAGTTGCATTCAATATCACAAAGTCCATTTTGATGTTTAATAGTGCAATATTATAGTTCCGTTTTACTCTTTCCTCAACAGATGCCAAGTCTGAGACAGACTCAACAGAAGATATCAAGGCAGCTTTAGAAAACTCATTAAAACAGGTGAGAAGCTTAAAGCCCCACTGCACTACTTATAGCCACTTGCGCCCTCTATATAGCAAACAATGCCTAATCGGTGACCGTTGATCCCCCATGATCCCCTATTTCTTGTTTTAATTGAGAGCCTATTTGATGAGAAACCACCTGTCAGTGACCTTGCAGGGAGGTCTAATCCCTATTGGCTAAACTAGTGCAGATAGGCTTTAAAAGAGTAGCTTAAAAGGGTAGCTTTAAAAGATAATCCGTCTTTTGACTCTAAGTAAAGTCCCAGATATTAAGTTGTCACATGTACTTTTAAACTGAAAACATAGATGTTACTTGGTACTTGGAGGTGGAGTTTGTTAACAAAAATTACAGTTTTAGTTTATTCTCTTGATAAACATCAAGGTTATACCTGTGCTGCAGCCTGATATACCTGTAAACGATTTGATCATTTTTAATTTTTTGCTAATATACTATGGAAAATGAGATTTTAATTGACAAATACCTTTGCATGACTCATTTCTGTTGTACATTTCATAGTGTTTCTTCCAAGTGACTATTGCCCTCAATGCACCGATTACTATTAATCCACTGTGCAAATACCAGCTACAGTTTGTAATCCCTTGTTTTCCATATGCTCAATATTCCCATTGACAAGCCTTCATCACAGAGCATTTTTTCAAACATACATGTTACCTCTCCACACTGTAGTCTTTGGGAAGTGACATCACTCTCCAACCAGGGGAGTATTTCACAAAAACTCTTAAGTCAAACATATCTCTAAGTTGGACTTTAAAGAATTTGGAAAGCCATTAGCATCATTGAAAATATTTTGTATAAGTTATTTAAAAGACAATAAATTTTGATTCAAAACACTCATATTTTCTTTTATCAAGGAGATTTCATGTTCTTGATGTGGAATTTATAAAAAGTCTGAAATACTTGAATTTCTGCTTTTGAATATAGCTCATTTCAAGGCTACAAAGGGCTCTCCATAATGTTTAAGTCAAACTTAGAGTTAAGTTTGACTTAGGATCTTTGTGAAACACTCCCCTGGTGTAAATGGGAATCCGTTGGAGCGCCATGAGTGCCACGGCATGACAGCTTCGTGCCCTAGATCAAAAGCTACCATTATGATGGTTAAAACTTACCAAACTTTTCCCACTGTTTTCATATGTCCAGGTTCCTGGTGAAGAAGCAACATTTTCAGAGAGACTTCAGAGCTCACTACACATTGTTCATAGAACCATACCAGTACTAGGTAAGTTTTGGAAAATGGGGTAAACATAACTTGTTTAAGGGTCCCCAAACGGTCCTAGACTGATCCCCAACCGATACCGAACATGCCTCCAGCTAATTCTCGCTATCGCCAATACTTCTGAATGCTCGGATGTAGACTTCGACGTAATTTCGATCCACCTCCGGGACTAATATATTTTCGGTCTACGGCACCGTCAAATACAAAAATAATATTAGACCTCTATCTTCCAGTAGATCAGTACCTACATTCTGTTGTGTCTATACTGTATTTTCTCCCCAAAATTAACTTTTTGAATGTGTCTTTCTCATTTTTAAAATTTTCTTATAGATGAAGCAATTGGCGAATCATCAGAGAACACTATCCTATTAAAGGCCTTTAACAGCCTAGCAAAGCAACTCTCAGATCTCAAAGTAAGTATTGACTAGTGGATACCCCTACCAGAGTTGCCAACCATTACGTTTTTCCCAGAATTATTCTGTTTTTCCTCCAAATTACGGTAGTATGTTTTTTCTTCATAAAATGTATTTTTTATAATTTTTATATATAATTTGTTTTTTTTACATACCGCACGTCAGACAACCGCCCTAAAATGTCGATTTGATCACAAATTGAATAGAAAACTGAGGTTAAAACATACTTGAAGAGAAAAATATTCTCCAAAAGAATGAAACGTCGATAATACCAAAATAACAACAAAAAATACATGTACCTACTTGTAAATTAACTATAGTTCCTAATATGGAAAAAAAAACAGCATGAGGAATGGACATATCTGCATTAGAAGTGTGTCCTACGTGGTCGTAAGTTCCTTTTTTTTGCCATCATGGTTCCCTTTTTTTGGTCGCACAAGGTTGGCAGCTTTGCCCTTTATGTTGGTTTTAAGAAACATATTGATAAGAATAAAGATATATTCTGTTCTTGTATAGCCATAGCTCTGGAAACCGTTATCAATGCACAGTGCATTTTAATCTCTTTGTAATACCAGATAAAGGAAAGAACATGTGTATAGTTTGTTTGCAATGTGTTAAGAAAGATATGGAGGATAAATAAAACGAGTCGAGGGTGATCCTGAAGTTTTATCAGTTCTCCTTTGAGGACAAAAAGAGGGTAGATTGCTTGGGAGGTAAACATGCGACTTCTAATTTGTTATACTGCTATCATTTACATGTGTTAGACATAAGGCATTTGCTGGGGTGTAATTGATAGGTCTGAATAGATACATGTACATGTTTATACTTCTCTATACTAGATGTGTAGCCTTTTTCATTTTTTTTTAATCCACCGTACTTATACCCATTAACACTTTAGAACCTTTCTTTGCTTCTTTGCACAGTCCCTCGTTTGGCACACTTGCAATTTTGTGTACAAAAAACAGTTGACAGCAGGATCGTTTTTTGTAGCACAAGAATTTACCCATATCTGGTCTTGATAAGCTCCATGACAACCTTTTTAACACTGGTATAGATTGATCTTGCTCTGGAAACAGTTAACTACTGTCAAAGCATTTGATATATCTGTCCCATAATGAGTAGACTGTGGCACATGGAGATTATTTGTTTGGCATATAAAGAGTTGTAGAAAGTGTTCTTTTGAGATTAGATGTGCACAAATATTACAATTATTTCATTTATGCTTCTGATATAGTTTTCTGCTCGTATCAAATATTTTCCAGTACTCTCCATGTCTTACATTTTCGTTACGACAGGAGCAGCATCATTTGGAACAACTTGAAATGAAGGTGATGAAGGAGGAGAATAATAGTCTTCAGTCTGACTACGACGAGCTGAAAGCAGAACGGAGACAGTTGAAAGGAGAACTGACAGTCGCGAAACATGAACTTGGAAACCTTCAACCCCACCATCTCCAGAACAACCCCGGGTCCGTAGACTCCATCCCTAATACCGTTGACGAGGACCGACTCATGACGGACAAGCAACGCAACCGCCAATCCTACTCCGGAGATTCGAGCGCTACCGAATCAGAGGATTCCAAAACGGTGGAGTCGTCGGAACCCGAGGAATCTACGGTTGTTGTGGATGATGAGAATAAGAGCTCGAACGAGCAGGATTCCGATGTTCCGGTGACTCCAAGCGAACTGATGCAACCGGAGATCTTCCAAACGGACACTCAGGTAGTGAAACCGGTAGTGAACGAACAGCTCCTGGAGTTGCAGTCGGCCGCTGGATTACCCAGCGAAAGAACTGAGGATGAGTCAGGGGTGTGTGTTCAGGAGGCCTTAGTCGCTGAGGATATCGCTAATGGACTAGAAGAACTGAAGATCAGTGAATCGAGCCAAGATTATGAGAATGGGAACGAGAAGTTGGATGTGGAGGTTCAGGAGAAAGTTGAAGACACGGAAGAGCTGGATGTGATGAGAGATCAAGCAAATTCTGAAGTGCAAAAATCAAACTCTGCAGTAGACGTTAACAGTAATCCTAACCTAAGTACTGATTCAGTCAGCCTGGATGATACGATAAGTGTAGAAGGCGAGACTGACACTGAAAAAGCTCCTGTAACCGTTCATCCCAACACTATGGATATGTCATTAGATGATGCTAACCTTACAACTCAAGAACCTGATGTATCCGCTGAACCTCCAACCCTTGAGGATGACGGGTTACAATCTTCCACCAAAGAGGAGTCAGACTCCCAGCCATGCCTGATTGAAGTCGTTGACAAGGATATCCCCAACGCCGAAGACATCATATCAAGCGTAGAGGAGAAGACGGAGGAGAGCGTTGAACTCGCTCCGGAGGAGAAGTCGTTGACCACCAAATCGGACGTGATCCCGACGACGGACTTGACCGTCTCGGAGCAGACGCAACTGGACAGCCAGGAGGGTGGCAGTAGACCTGCGAGTCTCATATTGGACGACTCTGCATCCTCAGATGTCCTCATCAACGCATCAATGGAGGAGATGGAAGAGACTGATGCAGGGAGACCCGGAGACAGGAATTCACAAGGTATGTACAGCTATTGTTCTGGGGAACTTCTTTGAATCTTGCATGTTTAGATGGCTATTAACTGTGGCTCGTGGGTTCATGTTTCCAATCGTTATCTTTGTATATGTCTTCTGAGCAGATAATCTCTTCAGCATGTCCATGGGGTAGCTTGATATTTTAGATATTGGTTTTGAATTTGCAAATTTCCCATTTTTCCCATCATGAACTAGAGATGGTTAGATAGGACCTGATTCTGAAACATCAGAGAAAACCTGAGGGTTCAACAAAACTACAAAGTTTAGCGGTATCCTTAGTGTAAATGAGATTATATCAGTGAGCTGTATTCTTTAAAGTTTTAAAAAAACTTGATCAGAATGCATTTCTTCCCTTTTGAAAATGCTTGTCATATGTGGGGGTGTGTAATTGGGTTTTTACAGACGTGTATCAATCAGATATGATTATTTACGTCTGGGGACTGACTTTTAACGTCACCATCCGAAAAACGTGACTCAGTTTCAAACCTGCGTCGTTGGCTGAATCACCTTGCTTGTCATAACAAAATGAAACTCTGCGCCATTTGCACTGTGACAGACAATTTGAGGGAAAGCAATTGAGAAACATGAAATGCGGTGAAGGCTTTCTCCCCACGAACAGCGAGTTTGGACACCACTCTCCTAATCAGCGAGCCTGTATATTTACAACACTTTTCAGATGGTGCCTCTAACGAGAAGAATTGTAGGTTGTCCTAAATGATGCCGTGAGTTATTGATTCATCCAAATTGATCAACTTTTTCTTCTGGGTTTCTAAAAAGGTTTCTAAAAGGATTCTAGTTGGCAAAGGTGCTATTAAAGGTGGCAGAGGAATGATACTTTTATCTAGACATACCCCTGAACAATGGGACCCTCCTTTCACACTTACCCTTTCTTCAAGTATGTATCTTGGAAACTAAACTTATCCACGTCCACAAAGCAAGAAGGCTCTATTGTAGGGCCATTGACGGTAAGAAAGGTTGTTGGTGTGACCTGTAGAATTATGATTTACAACATGACAATGAAAAAAGAGCAGAGGGCTCATGGTATCTCTTTAAAGTTGCAAATACATTTCATCAAACTCGCACCAAAGTAAAGGCTCGTACCGATATGACCCAGCAATATTGTTTACTTTTTTTAGTGACGACATAAAGTGTAAACACGCTTCATATTTCTGTATCCTATAACACATAGCTCAGTGGATACATGCAAGCCCTTCGTTGCACTTTTTGCCATTCATTTATATTACACATGAAAAAACGGAGGTGACATTTTTGCGGTTGTTTACCTCGCCATATCTGAACAAACCTTAAGATGCCACGTTTTGTAATAGTAGGCAATGTACCATAAATAAAACTTGCTCCCATCTGACAATTTGATATCAATATTATGTCTGTTGGAGCCACAGCCCAAAAGGGCCTTATCATTGTGTTAAACTCCATTTGTTATCGCCCTCTGGCTCAACACAGGTGATTTAAAACTTCCATGTTGCTCATCTCTTTGTAAGGATATATGTTAAGAAATTGGAAGAAGATATGCTTCAATAATTGTTGCAAAGATGTAGCACAAGAATTTGCACAAATTCACTGAGAACTCATGTTAGAGAGAATGATGTAGAGATAAAGAGAAAAAGAAAGAAAAGAAAAATCACGAAATACATCTATCTTGTAATACCATGCGTATGTACATTTACCTACACATGTATATCTGTTGTACAGCACAAGGAGCAAAATAGTGGATGTTTGAATGAGGAACATTATATTTCAAGAATATCTTTTCCTATGTAACTGGCTTATTAATGTTTTAAAGCCATACTGTACAAGAAGCATTACTGGAAAATCCCCTTTAACACCATCTCAGGACAGCTGTAGCAGTATGGTCCCTTAACTCTCTGCTTCCGTAGCTGCGCTGTTTTGTCACACATTTAGTCCTCTGAGAATTCACGCACTGTTGGCAAGTTGACCATGAGATGGCGCTGTGCAATAAACGATATGCTAGGGCAGAAAGTTCATCAGTTCAGTATCACTTTAATGCTACTGTGCATGCTGCTTTTTCACTTTTAAAAGGTATCATAAGATAAGGATTCTCACCAGCTAATAATCAATGTCTAAATCTCATCGCTCTTGACATGAGGGCACAGCACAAGATTTTAATATGGACAAATAGTTCACAAGTTTATACAAACAGATCATTTTAAAAAAAACTTTAAAAAACCGCATGCAGCAAAATTAAACATTGCCCAAAAGGGAGACAAATAATTATTGTGTCTGTTTTGCAAGCAGTAAAATCTGAATGAGAATTGAGTACTTTTTTCATTTTTCAAAGATGTTTTTTATTGCAATCTTTGAAACATCAGAAAAGTTAATCATTCACATACATGAAGTACAGTTTTCTCATGAAACAGTGACTGCAATACTCTGCTTTCCTAGAGGTATAGATGCATTGCCAATGTAATCTTCCAAAGGAGACATATCATTGAATTGAAATATTGCTGTAAATGACCAAATGCCACTCAGAGAATGAATACAGACTAAATAACCTAATCAAAATTAATCAATGTTATTCCGGGGGATACATCTTTTAGCTTAAAAAAGGTTTCAAAATTATAACTATTGTCATACTAGGTGTGAGATGCTTGCTTGCTTTATGTACTGGATGCCATTTCTTTTATTCAGTCATATTTTTTTATCCATTTTTGTCTTTTTTCCCCATCTTCAAACTCCCTTCTTCTTTCTCAGGTGGCCTGCTTGCCCGTGCTAAACGCGTATTCCAGGAATGGGTCTAACCATCACTTGCTAATGCCATGTAATGCAGTATGTCAATTCTCCCATTTGGTTGCTTGTAATTTCTGCAGTTCTGTTTTGTATTCTTCTATTAAACCTTGTCACATTTCCTCTTTTGCTCGTTCCTCACTCCTTTCATGTTTTGTGAACATGGGATAAAAGGGTGATTCGACATTTGATCCGGCGACAAGTGCTCTGTGCTTTATTTCGTCACAGGTTTAGGGTTAGGGTTGCAATTAAGTTTTACATTAGAGTTATGGTTAGGTCAGGGTTAGGGTTGCAATTGAGTTTTAGGTTAGGGTTAGAGTTGCAATTGAGTTTAAGGGTTAGGGTTAGAGTTGCAATTGAGTTTTAGGTTAGGTTTAGAGTTGCAATTGAGTTTAAGGGTTAGGGTTAGAGTTGCAATTGAGTTTGAGGTTAGGGTTAGAGTTGCAATTGATTTTTAGGTTAGGTTTAGAGTTGCAATTGAGTTTTAGGTTAGGGTTAGAGTTGCAATGGAGTTTTAGGTTAGGTTTAGAGTTGCAATTGAGTTTTAGGTTAGGGTTAGAGTTGCAATTGAGTTTTAGGTTAGGGTTAGAGTTGCAATTGAGTTTTAGGTTAGGGTTAGAGTTGCAATTGAGTTTTAGGTTAGGGTTAGAGTTGCAATTGAGTTTTAGGTTAGGGTTAGACTTGCAATTGAGTTTTAGGTTAGGGTTAGAGTTGCAATTGAGTTTTAGGTTTATAGGGTTAGGTATGTTTTTTTTGTACATGGCTGATGCTAATAATTCAATTGGTGTAAGAAATTGAAGCAGAGCAGTTGTCAGAGGAGAAGGTGTTGTTACAATTTTTTAAATAAATGTTTCAGGGAAATGGTATTGAGATGTGGTGTTTTTGCGGTCTCTTAACACTAACGCTCCCCATCCTAATTTTTCTGTTGAATTTTCTTTCTATTTGCTTTTTTGGGTTTTATCAGTTTTATCAGGGCTAAGTGATAATACATTTGATGTCAATTGATGAAATAAAAAAATTAAAAATTAAAAAAACATTAAAGCAACAGCTGAATTTTTAAAACAGGGAGAAAAAAAACCTGTTCTTTATTACATTAACATATTCATGAAACAAAATGATCATTAAAAGTATGAAATCATCACACATTTACATTTACATTTGCATATATCTGAAACTATAATAGCCATTTCAAAACATGCAAAATTTAGTCCAACATTCATATCATCAATTATGCTTCATGCAGAGTGACATGCTCCCATAGAGTTGCTTTATATTTCCACAAATCATGCACATTGTAACATTGCACATACACTGTATATATATATCTGTGAAGTGCACACATTTATGAGTCCTAATGCAATGCCCATACAAGAAAACTCATGCAGGAGGCTAGGAAATGCTGCATTTATACATGCAGAAGCATGAGTCTAAAATAAAAGTATCTGAAATCATGGTAGTAATATTTTTGAATTGAAATAGTTGATTAGAAAAGTAGTGAGACTGGTAATGGTATATTATTCCAAAAGACTTTAAAAAAAAAAAGAATTAAAACACTTTTATTTTAAGGGCTACTTTCAAATGGAATTGTCATTATCGAATTGGTATTGCACCTGACATACCATTGGTAGAAATTCATGAACAGTAGAGGGAAATTATCGCAAGAAGCAAGGTTGTGGGGTAAGGGGAGGGGTGGAAATTGGGGATAGTGTATGTGGGCAGCAGCTCCTCTTGATGTATACCCAATGTAAGTTAGAGTTTGTTATGGGGGGGGGGGGGGGAGTGGGAAGCCATATAACTTTAAGGCAGTGGTTTCTGCTGTCACGTCATTTTTTGTGCTGAATGTGCCTCTATCAAACTTCTGAATGAGAACTTTTGGTAATAGAAGTAGAAGTTGAAATCGGTTGCGGCACTATTGCATTTCAAAATCAGAACTTAGGCAAAAGTAGTATTTCATATACTCTAAATTGGAATGGAGCACTACCTAATCCTTAAGAACTTGGGTTATATTTTATTAGTAGAAGTAGTAGTACTAATACTCAATATTTTTAATTCCTTCTCTAATGCATAATTTTTAAACTCAAATGTAATAAACACATTATGCATGTTCTACTCAAATTGTTTATGCGGTTTCCAGTATCTTCTCTCACGAGCTTCTTATTCCGTGCCTATGCTATTTTCCCAATATATGTGCTCTCACTTTTCATATTCATAATAAACTTGCTACTGCTATCCTTACTAACTTTCCAACTGCTATCCTTACTAACTTTCCGACTTGCAGGAAATGTTTTGTGTTGCATTGGATGAAATGCAGATCCATGTCCCAACAACAACTTTTTGATTCTTCTTTTTCCATTTTGGAGTTAATTTTGTATCCACTGGTGTACTGGTATTGGACGAGTAAGAGGCAGATTACATCGGTGTAATGTAGAGCGAATCCCAATGTTATTTAAGTAGATTGTGCATGATGGAGGAGTGTGAGTTCTGGTAAAGGTGTTAATAAGTTGTCAGCTTTCTTACGTTTCTCTCAGGAAGGGTATGTCCCTTCATATCCGAAATAGGAAGAGAAATAGCTCAAATGTTTGGACCAAACATTCATGCGACACTTGTCTGTAGTCCCATATACCCATTTTGTTGTGTTTAATGCATGTGTTTTTCAGTGAGATAGTCAATATCGTATCCTATGATTCCAAAACCCTACCAGAACTAAACTTCATCTTGAATGGTGTGCGGACGCCTCTCTTTCCTCCATTGGGGTTTTTACCCTCTGCCCCTTGGCTCGGCAATCATTGACACATTTGGTTGCCATGCTTGGCAAAGAAGTATTACTGGTTTTATTAAATTTAATGCCCATAGTCATTTTAGTTGACTTGAGTCACCCTGAATAAGTTTTTTAAACAAATTACAAAATAGCTTGTGTGTGTCTCTCTCATTTCCCATTTCCAGTGTATATTTATAACACAGTTATTTCACACACTTGCCTTTTAACCACTATCAGGCAATCACAGTAAGACATTTGTATGACTATCATTATCCATTTTGGCAATATGCACTTGTCAGTCACATTTACAAACCCACAGCACATCTTGATACAGATGGGTGCCTCGGACACATGGGCACCCAAAGCTGAAGTCTGTGGACCCCCAAATTTTTTCAAATTTTAAGATTGGGCTCATGGAAATGGACTTTGTATAGTTTGGTCTTGACCCCTTCCAAAAGTGCTAGTGTGGAATCAAATACAATTTTTGGCTTGCTAAATTCAGGCAACCAAACATTCAATTTCTAGTAATCCTGTTGTCCGCTTTGTGTAACCACTGATTTCGAGCCTTGCATTAACATGTGAAATAAACAATTTTCTCCTATATACACCTACCATGAACATTTAAAAGAAGACCAGCCTGTGACATTTTATGAGCCAAAATTAAGTGTCTCCTTTTGGGAGCCATAGATTGTAACTTCTAGTTGAATTCTTTAGATTTGTTCTTCTTATTTTGTTTGGTTTTGGTGTCAAAGTGTCATGCAAAGTATTGGGTTCTTATTAATCTTAGCTATTTAACTCTTTTTCTTCTTCACTTTCAGTACATGTACAGGTCACCTTCTGATATATATTTCAAACTATTTGTCAATTCTAAAATTGTATACCGTATTCTTGTATTTTCATCACTTCTTGTTTATGTTGGTATTGAGAAACATTCAATGTTGATTTCATCATTTATCAACTCTCTTCTGCATTCTGCATTCTGCATTAGATTTAGATTTTCAAGTACATATCTGTTTTTCTATATCCATTTATATTAATGCATGCAGTTTCAATTTCTATGTGGTCAATGAAGGACTTCTTGAACACAGATAATATTTTATAACTTTTTTTGAAAGCCTTTTGATTTATATCAAGGCTGCATGATCAGTCCAGAAATTGAGAACATACTTTTGACTTCCCTGTTTCTACCTTGAAGTCAAGTAAAAAAAAAAAAAATAATGGTCCATAACCTACTAATTAAGTTAAACCTGACCCTTGGTCTAAAATCGTGTTCAAGAAAAATAGACCTTTGACCTCAAAGTAGCTTCCTTCGTTTTAACCAGATTTTAAACCAAGACTACAACCAACCCCAAAATGGGCCATGTTGATTTTATTTACATCTTCTAATTTCTTGACATTATTAGTCGTCATTAACAATTATACAATTATAAAAAAGTCACCCAACCTCTAGCACGATTCTCATGCGTAAGAGTGGGATATTTCAGTGAAGTTTAAAAAACAAGGCAAAAGATAAGCCATTGAGAAAAAAAAAGAAGACAATATCCCCAAGATGATAAAGGAGATCAAAAGCTATAGCAAGAAAGAGTCCAGTTTGCATGATTTCAATTTGATTAGACAAGTAATTGAAAATTTATTTATTTGCTCTTGTACCAGAGAGCTTTTATGAGCCCCTATCAAACAGATTCCCTTTTTGTCTTGTATATCCATTGACTCGTCATACTAATTCCTTCTCCTCCTCCTCCTTTTCTTCCTTCTATCCATCTCTACAGATAAAAGACCCTCCATCATTGAGACGGAAGCAGAGATGGTATGAGAGAGTTCCAACGTACCAGCCCGAGCCTAGGATGACACGCAAGAGCCTGGATTGATAAATAGAAAGGACTTCATTTTAGAAGATGAGGGATGGCATGAGTGAGATCTATAATGCCATCCCCAGCCATGGATGATTGATATGCAAGGGCCTTGACTGATTAACCTGCATAGAAGGGACATCATTTTGCATTTATTGGGAGAGAGTAGGAAATGCACAGGCCCATCCGTAGAGGACACCAGCTCTAGTCTAGGATGACACGCAGGGGTCCGACTGATAAACCTGAGTAGAAAGGACATAATTTTGCATCTTTGGGAGAGAGTAGGAAACAATGCCCTTCATGGACAGGTCCGTCCTTAAAACACACCAACTCCAGTCTAGGATGACACGCAGGGGTCTGACTGATAAACCTGAGTAGACAGGACATCATTTTGGAAGAGTAGGAAACGATGCCCTTCATGGACAGGTCCATCCTTAGAACACACCAACTCCAGTCTAGGATGACACGCAGGGGTCCGACTGATAAACCTGAGTAGAAAGGACATCATTTTGGAAGAGTAGGAAGCTATGCCCTTCATGGACAGGTCCATCCTTAGAACACACCACCTCCAGTCTAGGATGACACGCAGGGGTCTGACTGATAAACCTGAGTAGAAAGGACATCATTTTGGAAGAGTAGGAAGCTATGCCCTTCATGGACAGGTCTTTGACAACGTAGCTCAACCTGCACCTTCAATGACCCAGTCACACTTCCACGTCTTGGCCATTTGAGGGAATGATAATATTTGGTTCTTGTCTGTTGTTCGGTTTGACGGCGGCCACGTTGGTGTAGCTTGGTTTTTCGTTCTAAGTGCACTTGTGGATGGATCTTAGAGTGACATCCAAGGATTGTATTGACCGTGATGCACTACGCAAGAGAATCGGAGACTGTGGTCTCTCAAGTGTTCTTCTGTGACATACATGGAGGTTGGCTTGATGGAAATTGCATTACTAAAACAGTATTTCAAGGGGTTACATTGAGGAAAACTATGTTAGACAGGAATGTGTTGATTTCTAAAAAGACCTTAATAGTGTTAAACTGTATGAGGCCCACTGAACGGGAACATGTCTTATGCATATCCTCTGTTGCTCCTGTATCAAATTTTAAAAATATCTCACATCTACTAGTTTTCTGTAAAAGTTTTTTTCGATACAGCCATCTTCCATATCCCCAAACCCAGAAATAAGGCCTATCTTGTCTCCATCATATTGAAAAGAAAAAAAAGTTCTAACATAAAGTGTCAGTCAAATCTTGGCAATTAAATCTAATTTTCTGCTGAAGTATAATATCAAAGAAGCGGCAAGAAGATTTTGTTACCGAGTTGAACACCCCACTGAAAATGGTTTTGATGTTGCCCTCTCTATGACCCCTTTGTTTTACAGCAGGTTAAAGGGCGGCGTTTCCTGCTCATTTTTTAGTTTATGATGTATTATTATTGACATTTTTAGTGCATATATTGGAATTGGCAGTTCCATGGAGTAAGAATATGTGAGTGTAAATGTAATTCTAAATCTCTTATTTATATATAATTATATATATATATAGCTTTACACATACAATAAGGATGAAAATATATTTCATTTATCGGGATAAAGCTTTAGTTTCATGTAATGTCTCTAGAGTTATAATTATTTTCATCGTTTTATGCATTGCCATAGACACAAGAGAAAGAAAGGAAAATAATAAGGAAACAGATTATCGTTACTATACTCGGAAAAGGATTTAGTGTACATACATTGTATATTTGTTCTTATTTTTTAATGTATTCCAGTCTGTTACGACTCTGCTTTATTTTGCAGGCACCGCTGGCATTTTATCCACATCAATTCCTGATCAAATTGATTCATATAGTCATTGATTTGCTTTCTCAAGTACAGAAAGTAATCTGTTTCTTTGCCTTCTGTATTTAAGATTGACAAATTTGGAGCATTGATTTGAAAAGTAAAGCAAAGACTAAAATTTTCTTTTCTTACTCTCTGAAATAATTTTATGTGATCATGAATGCAAAAAGTATGTGAATTATTTTGTTATATCAAACAGTTTGATTTGTTATATAATTTTCTGTTATCTGCAATTTTGTGTGTCACAAGTTTAATGAAGTGTTCAAACAATAGTTCAGTGTGTTATACATTGTAGTTTTTACAACACGTGCTGAAAAACAAGGAGCAATATACATGTACACCTGAGGCAAAGTCTTCCAATTTATTTTATAAAGATGCTTTGAGGTCATTTTCAAGAGCCTTCTGGAGATAGCATTCCGTAAACAAAAAAATTTGACAGAGAAGTGTACTAATGGTATCGATAGAAAGAAAAGAACTTACAATTACCTGACTATGGAATTGAACATTGGGAAGTATTGGACCATTGATCTTTGATCCATGTTCAAATTTTAATTCTTAATTTCTGGGCGATATGGTCATGTATATGTAAGTGACCAAAATTAAGTAGAAACAAGCATTTTGGATAAAAAATAGAGGAATTGTCCAGTTCTATTTGCAGTTATTCCAGAACTTTTATTATGCCAATATTCCAGAAAATGCAGAAATATTCATGACAACATACTGAAGGCAATCCTACTGTATTTTTTCTCCTTTTTTTTGGGGGGGGGGGGGGGGGGTGGATTTGTTGATCCAATTACCAAACATATGCAAAAGCATTACAAATTTGGGAGGAATCACAAGAATTAGTTTGTACCCCCCACCGCTCCAGATTTTATCTCTTCAATTCTGTAAAGGCATTCAATATCGAAAACCACATCAGCAGAGTTGTTTTGGATTTCATTGGCTGCCCGCAAGAAGGCTGTTTACTGCCCTTGAAAATACATAGCTGATATGGCCTTCTTGCGGGCATTTAATGAGTTCTATAATTGGTTTTGTTAGTCACTTGGTTTATAACTTGTTTGCCAAATTACTTTCTTCACAAATCAAATCACTGCTCCATAATTATAAAGTTCAATACTCTTTGTTTGGAGGTAGGAGGGCATTGACTTGTGTAATTTCACAGAGTAAACTGTCTTCTGGCTCCGAACATACAAAATGTCTTCTCCAATCCCTGCACATAATGTGGGCAAGGAACTTGCGAATTCAGTCACCCTGTAATCTTAGAAATAAGAGGCAAGGAATTCTTTTGCCTGACTCGCAGAAGTGGACTTCTGTCGTGATACAGACTTATTGAAGTCTTTGTTTTGTAACTATTCTGTGCTTGTTTGAGAGTCAATATATGTCATATTCAGGGCTCTGTTTTGAATTGTTATGTGGTTGATCTGCAAAGTAAGCTGTGAAAAAGCAAACTTGTTTGTAAGTAAATCAAAAGTTGATCGTTTTGAGTTGAAACACTTGGGTGATTATTTTCTAAGGCCTCAAGGAAAGCAATAGATGCAGGCATTTAGAGCTTAAAATTGGGACAAGTCACCAAAGAAGGCAAGGAAATTATCATGTAAATATTGATTTTTGTATCTAAGAGTTGTCCTACGCAGACTTTAAATTGGTCAGATTTATCCTGGTCATGTTTGCTCCACGTCTTTAAATAAAGAATAGATGTTGTTGTACCTTTACTTAGTATGTAGTATAATATTTAATATCAAAAAGAATTTCGGTGAACATAAGTTGCGACCTTTATAAGCAATATGCCTTACACAATACTTGAATGTTGTTGAGTAGTTGTATTGTATTTACTTCTAGAGCTTATGTGTTCTAGATGGATGTTGAGTTACCGGTATGCTCACTTTCTTCTGCTGGACCATGAATAGTACTAATGCCCTTCACAGCTATACCAACATGGTATATATTCTTGCTGCAAATATCGAGAAAAAGAAGTGTTTCCACCGCAACCATGTCTTAACTTCACTTGTATTCTACTTCAATTTCACTTGTTTAAAACTGTCACAAATCTCTGTTATTCATGTCCCGCATTTAAATGTTAATAATTTTTCACTTTAAGGTGAAAAGTGCAGTGCTGTATCCTTTATTATCACTTTTGAACACTTCATGTATTATCAGAACTGCCCAGAGTATTAAATTTATCCCTCGAGAGGGGCGTAACAAATTTTGTCATTCTTTTAAAACACATTTTGTGATCACAGAAACATACAGTGATGTTTTTGAGAATATTTGAAGGGGAAAAAAGAAGAAAATGAGGCTGATGTCAGCCTTCATTCGTTTGTATATTTTAAATTGATTCATGCTATGTAATATTTGTACAAATGAAATTACACACCATGTCATGGCCAAGTTGGAGATGAAGTTCTTACCAATGTTTGTAAATTATACCTTGAGTGCTTTGCCTCAAAACTATATTGTATCTATTGTTTGAAAGATTAAGTAGAGGTCTTCTTGATGAATATTAGGCATTGAAGGAGAGACAGGAAATGTGTATACCACCTTCATTTTGAAACGGACATGCTCTTTACTAGTCAGACACATTTTTGTATATTCTTTTCCATGCTTTATCATCATTGAAGATGTACAATCTATGTTCCCGGATTATTTTGTATATACATATGCATCTTTTTATTTCATTACACATATACAGAAAGAGAAATTAGTCTTCAAGGATTATCTTTGAAGCGCAATGCTTCTTGATTTGTCAATTTCTTACAGCAGTATTGACATTTTCCATGTACATGTAGTGTTTATGTACAAGAAGAGGATGTTTTTGTCATTTTGTATTCAGTAAGCATTATCATAGGCCTTACAAAGTATGCTTAGCATGAGATTAAATTGATTTAAAGTAAATCACAGATTTAATGATGAATCACCACTAAAGCTTAGATTTTACATCTCATATGAATACCGGTACATATTTCATCCTTTAGTCAACTCATCTCATTTCTTTATTCATTTACTTCCGTTATATCATAGTTTTCATACTTTTTTCCTTTTGTTCTGGCACAATATGATATATAATGTATAGTGAGAAGGAGATGTTGTTAGAATTGTTTTTGTTTTGATTAGTAAAGCACTGACAATACCTGCCTAATGAAGACAACTATTATTAAAAGTACTGTTAATTGATATTACATCATGATGATCTGCTTAGTGTTTTTATTAGTTTGTGATGTTTTCTTAGTTGTATTTATTTAAACATGGTACACCATCCCACCCCCTCCTCTTCGCCCTGTTTTTTCAGCTACAAAAGCTGTTAGAGATATGAGTGGGGTGGGGGTGGGTGCTTGTGTGTGTGTGAGAAAGAGTAGGGACATGTTTGGGCGCGTTTTGTGAATGGGGCGTGTGCGGGTGTCTATGTATAAGTAGGGCTGGGCATGTTTGTTTGAACTCGGAGGTTGAGGGTGTGTGTGTGTATGGATGGGGCATGTGCAAGTATGAGTGAGGTGGCTGGGTGGGTGGGTGAGCGTGTGTTAGCAGGGGAATGGGTGGTGGTCATTAGAGTGCGAGATGGGACACGGGTGGGCGTGTTTGTGTGGACTGGGCGTGTCTGTGCGTGTGTGTCGACGGGTGTGATTGGTTGGAGGGATGCTCAATTGCAAAGTAAAATGTGTACCTGCTGATCGGGGAATGAGGCGGGTCATTATAAGCCAATACACAAAAACTTCATCGAATAAAGATTAAACAAATTTTTTCAAAAATTTGAACAGGTCAATGGTACTGACCTTTTTTTTTTCCGAGTATATTTTATTGCAATTAACAGTCAATATACAAAGATCATTGCACTATTTTACTTCCATTAGAATCATTCAAAACTCAATATAAACAATACAAAGTACTGATTAAGATTTACATTTGCATTTATAATTATCACTACGAATACCATCAATAAATAAATGTACTGTACATGTTAAAAATAAAGTTGAGTACTTGGCATGCGATTACAAATTATGAAAGGAATTGTCTGAAAGCACCTTGAAAAGGTTGATTATGTAGTTGATAAGAATACATAAATACCGTAATTTTTTAGAATTAACAAAATGAAAGAAGTTGACCCTCTCTTGCTGAATATTGCGTGCATTGCACACAGAAGTGGGCAAATGGGACTTTGTAAATATGGCATAAAAGTTTGGTCCAAACTTTTCAACTATATTTCAAATATGATGGCATTTGAATCCTACTACGATGATTTTTTTCTTCTTCAAAATGACATACTTGTATATACAAAGAAATAGAAGCTCACATATTATTTTCCATCTTGACCAGAGCGCAAACTTTTCTTTAAAGAGCAATATTTCATTCGACCTATTTTCAAATGAAGATTCTGACCGTTTATACCTATAAGTACTAAATGTTGAACGGCGCTTCATTAGACATTACTATACCTTTTTACTGACGTCACTGAAGATCTTAAAGGTAAAGGCCAGTATTGGAAACGCCCCAATTTCAAAAAATGAAATGGAAGCTCTCATTACCAATCATGTGAAAGAATATGTTTTGACTAATACATGATGATACAAAATTTGCCGGGAAACCGCCTACTAATTCATATATTTGGTAAATGTGTTTCTCTCATGGTCTGTGAGAGATATAGGGTAGTCCCATATACATCTTTCTGTGTATAGTGCTTGTAACTTTACGAAGAATGGGCCAAATTTCTTATCATTTTGATGATTCCAGAACCTTGCAGATGCTAGATGCTAGATGATCTGATCGATTCCACAACGTTTCTTTCACAATGCAATCGCATGACCATAACTGGTCTTTACCTTTAAACATTTACAAATGATCACAATTACCACGTAATCTATCAGGTGATCTGCAATATCTGCCCATTATGTCAAGAATAACAAGAATAACAAGAAATGGAATGTTCTGAAGACTTTAAATGTCTTAATAGTTGCCTATACATAATTCCAGCGAAGTAATACTGTAAATGACACGGATATACATGTATATAAAGTAAATAAGTATTCACATGAATGTACATTTCGGATGGAATAGTAAAGCAGTACTGATGATAGTGTTCAAGTCAATACGATTATATACACTGTTGCCGCATAAAGTTGAACTATTTCTTTCTTCTTCTAACCCGACCTCTTATCACGAAATGTTGGTGACAATAAGATTTATTCCTAATAGATAACATTTGTATGTTCTCAGAAATTTAAAGATCAATCTCTTTAACTCTTCGGATTAATCAATAAAGTATGATATAAATTATATCTATCTCAATTCAATTCAATTCAAGGTTTATTTCGAAAAACATAGAATACAATGGTGCGCATGCTGCAGCTAAAAAGCTGAAATGTATATGTTTAGAACTATCGAGGATACATATAAATAGAGAAGAATATCCATAGATAGAGACGAATATTCCCACGAACAATTCACGAAAAGAGGTAAGAAAAAAAATATTCAAACTTTAAAATCTTTATCAGTGACTTTTATATTTGAAACACGTTTTTCATCATATACACTTTGTCAATGGTTTATACGCGACCCTCTTCTCTTTCTTTGAATACATACAAGTTTAAATGCATGGAACAATATCACATCTTTGCGATTTTCCCTCCTAGTATGTGCCATGTCAGGCCTAATATATACGACTGACAAGCTTGTCATTATCTTTTGGGTGTTCCCAACACAAGCATTTACCTTCAGGGTTTTCGCCTCCTGCTTTTTTAAACTTATAAACCGTATTGTTCTATTTGTTTTTGTTTACTATATTATAGTCAATGAGAAGGAAATAAATTTGAATTTCCATTCACTGCAATTCAAAGACAGGCCCAATACTCCCATCATATTCATTGGTCATTCTTGGCAGTTTTATCTCCATGTAAGCCTATCTATCGTCTGATTTTAGAAATGCTGATACTGCGAGGAGTAAAAGTGACTTTGGCGAGTTTTCATGGTAATATTTATATATATTTACGCCCAATATTTACAGGGATCTCTAGATCTGTATAACATCATGCTTGAAAACGTGAGTGATGAAGACAACTTTGGCAATTAAATTCTGTTGGTAGCCTGTCCATGTCGGCTTGTTCATCTCCTGAGTTTATGTTTGTAATTTACACACATCAATTCCATGGGTCTATATACAGATGTAACATCAGGGTTAATAAGGAGGTGAGTCGTTGGTCAAATTATGTCGATATTCTACCCTGAGTAACCTTATGTTCATGATCTTGGTCCCGTTGCATAAACATTACCATTGATGGTAACTTTGCCATCAATGGTATTTTTCATGGAATACTTGATTTTGATTGGCTGTTGAGCAATGTTACCATGGTAGTTACCATAGTTTCCATTAATGGTAAGTTTTATGCAACAGGTCCCTTATCTTCTAAAAGTATCAGGCTAGTAGTATCGGGCTAGTTGGTGATCTAATCAGGCTGATTGTCCATGGTCGATACTTCCAATATGATCTATCTTCTGATATGTAGTATCAGGGCTGAGAGTGCGAGTGGTATCAGCCACCAAGCTGTGGTGATGACGTAACCAATCCATACTTCAAAGTGATCCACGCCCCAACCTAAATAAAGAACGAAAGAAGTGAATATTATATGTCAGTAAAGGTAGCTTGAAAAATATAATATTTTTTTACACAAAGGCAGTACCACCAGCAATATATGTTTTTACGTAGTTGTTGCTGTTGATGTAGTAGTAGTCGTAATTGCACTTAATAAATAGTCGTATTGGGATTGGAAGAAGTATACTTTAGTATTGGAAGTAGAAGTAGTAGTATATATAGTAGTAGTAGTAGTAGTAGTAGTAGTAGAAGACTTAGTAGTAGGATGAGGAGAAGGAATATGACGTAGAGAGAGGTCGATTAAAATTGAGATTAAAAAAGAGACTGCTAAAGGTCGAGGGAAAAAAAAGGCAAACCAAAGACAAAGAGATGGAGGAGCGAGATTATGTCCAAAAGAAGCGAACAGCGTGAGAAGGTAAAGGGTAAGTGTTAAGGTAACAGGAAGGCAAGAAGGAAATAGTGTGTTTTTTTTATTTATAAATCTCACCTTTGCTCATTACTGCACGTAGTGCCTCAGCGGCGTATGTTTGAGGAAGAGCCAGAGCAATGTAATAAAGCGGATACGGAATAGCTTGTATTGGCCAGATGATGCCTGAAATAAAAGCAGAAACGACAATAACATTTTGTTAATAAGAAAGAGGTTTAAGTAATGAAAAATATATGCTATATACACTAGCGGATCAAGATTTTGAAATAGCGGGGGCGCTATAGTAATTAATGTCACGATTGGACCTAATGTACCGAGAGAAAGGCACCACTGGTCAGTTGGGTTACTTTGCTGTATAATTGCCGACGTCTCTTCCCCGAATTTCAAATTTCTTCTCAAATTTTAACTCTAAAATTGTACTGATATATACTGATTATGTATTGTGCCCCCATTTGTCACTATTTACAATATGTAGTTAATTGCAATTTCGTAGATAAAAAGTATTATATGAAATAAACGCAGAAATAAAATCGCCGCCGTAGTTGATGGCTGACGGTTTCCCAAATTTCGTTGAGACAACAAGTCATGATACACCTAACTAGGCGTTGTGGTGTGCGCCTGTAACCAAGCTAACAATGTAAGATACAAACTGACTCAGCCGAGGACGCAGTTTCGAAACTGAGTCAAGTCTTTCGGATGTTGAGGTTTAAAGGTCGGTCCCGAGACGTAAATAATCATATTTAATTGATACACGTCTGTAAAAATCCAATACAAACCACACACACACGAATACTCACCACTTAGTAACAAGATGGGATAGAAAGAACCAAGGGCTGCCTGAACAGCACCAGCCTCCGTGTCACAGACGGATGATATCAAGAGACCGAATGACATTCCACACAATCCTTGAAGCATGCACATTAATACAATCAGAAATATGTTGCCTTCATTCGTCATCTAGCATTTGAAGAAAAAATACAATACTTCTTATAAATATTTATATTTCAATTTGACCCTTTCATTTAATTTAATTTCATTTTGATTTTTTAATTTCCAACAAAATACAATACATGATAACGAATACAATGCAAAATGTATACAAAACAGAATTACATTGTTTTGTAATAAACAAATCTTAACAGTGATTTATACATTTGAGGAAGACAAAAAATGGAATTATAAATTTAACTGCATTTATATTTTGAGGAAATGGAGAGGTCATGTACTGTTTGTAATAGCTTTTATTTGAAACTATTCGAAATCCTAATTCTCGAAGACATTGAATTAACAAAAAAATCATCATTTTTCTCTGGTCCATAAATTAGTTTAAATTCGCGAAAGTATGGAAATAATACTTCTAACTTCTCTCTCATAATTTGGAGGTCAATTGAGATGAAAGTTATAAGATAAATTATATTTTCATTTTCATTCATCTATGAACAACTTTTATACATCTATATATCAATCGGCGTCAGTTACTTGTCTATGCATCTATTCATTTATTCATCTATACGTATTGTTTCCTGGAGTTGTCATTTCTTTCCTGCAATCTTTCATAGAACATTTCACTAGTAAGATAAAGACACTTTATACGTTACATATCATTTATCATACGTTACATATTATTTATCATACGCTACATACTCTTTATCATACGTTATATACTATCTATCATACGTTACATATTATCTATCATAGGTTACATAATATTAATCATATGTTACATACTATTTATCATATGTTACATACTATCCATCATATGTTACATATTATCTATCATACGTTACATATTATCTATCATAGGTTACATACTATTTATCATATGTTACATACTATTTATCATATGTTACATACTATCCATCATATGTTACATATTATCTATCATACGTTACATACTATCCATCATATGTTACATATTATCTATCACATGTTACATATTATCTATCATATGTTAAATATCATACATGATATTATGTTATACATTATATACTATATGTCATACATTATACATTAATGTTTTATTTTATATAATATATTATAAAATCTTACCTTAAACACTTGGAAAGTGAAGAGAAGAACGACTGCTATTTGTACTGAGATGACAAGGAACTGGGTTGAAACATGAGCGATCGTGACCTCGCAGGTACTCACACCTAAGCAAAGACAAAAAACAGAAGCAATGAAATACTAAACGTGGGGAGAGAAAGATGAAGAGATTTATACAAATTAAGAGTATATGAAACAAAATCATGCAGGAATATTACGAAAATGAAGGGATTTAGACCTGCATGAAATGAAAACAAAACAAAAAATATCAACGAATAGTATCGATCTTGCACCCTTTTATAGATCCTTAAACAAATAATTGTGGTCAATATCTAACAAGAGTTTAATTTCAATTTGTTATACGCGTTTCATCATTCCTGAATTCCGATATCTACATATTCATGTGCTAGCCTTAAAGGGGAAACCAACCCTTGTAATAAGTAGATTTGTATGAAATCAGAAATATAATAGAAAAAGAGTGGCAAAATTTAGAAATGAATCGGACCAATAGTAAGGAGGTTATGAATGTTTGATATATGAGATCACTATAAGGACGTGGATAGCTCTCCCATTTGCCGTGTACAAAAATATCCCTAATTTCTGTTTTTCTTGTATTCCTTCTCCCTCAGGGCACTACTCAAAACATATTATAGATAGCATATAATTATAGGTCCTCTAAAAAGAATAGACCCTCCTGAGCCAGTGCTTGTTTTCTGCTTTCGTAGTTGTCTATTTGGGTTGGATTTCCCTAAATTTACAGCAAAAAAAAAAGAGCCTCAATACTCACCAGCAACCCATATTCTATCCATCAATCCTTCCTTCCTCTCCACGACAAAGGTAACCGAAGTCAAACCCACGGCCAAGAAGAATATGATACTGTCAAGAAAAGTTAATCATGATCAATAAAAGATCAATAAAATTAATAATAATAAAACAAATCATTGGCTGATCACAAGAAGGACGTTAGAGCCATGTATCAGCTATGGCAGTCGACGAATTAACAAATATAATCTTCTTAAGAGAACTAAGTCCTGGATATCTTAGTTTTGTTTTCCTTTATCCCATCAAAGGATATATTAGGTATACATATTTAACATTTAAAGATACACTGGTACAAATCAAACTTACATTAATCTTCTTAAAGATTTAATATGAAGCTGAACAAAATTAAAAGACGGAATATAGTGAAGACGAAAAAACGTTTCTAACCAATCATACTAGCATAACAAAATAAGTTCTAAATTGTATTGATTTTGTTCAAGCGTTCTGTGTTTCAAATGACATATTTGCTTTTTAAGTTTGATTTACACGTGTATCTTTACATGGGTTTGTTGGTTTTATGGAGATAGAATACGTAACCTAATGTTATAATATGTTAAGGCTTAGCTCATCACTTTTAAGATATGGCGTCATTATATTATAATAGATAACTTTATGAGTCTAATTAATCACTCTCCTGTTATTTCTATCGTTACCTGATAATGACACCCGCCACCATAAACTGTGTAAAGCTTGCATCAAGGCTACCATAGATAGGTTCGACAAACTATTAGAGGAAAAAAATATCAGTCATGTCAAAACGCGCATTACAACGCAATCTTTGTCTTCACTTCATCCAAAAAGCATGTCATTTTTGTTGCTAAGAGAGAACTTTACTGAAAATAAAGAATAAAAGAGTAGATAAAGATCTACTGAAGATTTTAGCCATACGAGTATCCTTGTTTCAAAGGGTTTTTAATTAACGCTACTCTTTTGCTCAAAATTCGATTTCATGGTCCTGCTCATACTATAAAAGAAAAGTGTAAATATTTTGTTAGATGTGTTCGTCCCATTTTCTTTTGTTCTTCGTTCGACATCGTTTCTCCAGTCATAATAGTGCTTTTCCACTCACTTAACTCTACGTATAACGATGATAAGAACAATGTCAAATACCTGGAATTTCGAAAGTATCATATAAAAATCATCTTTTTATTGATTCATAAACCGACAATGGAACTCAATCAGCCCGACCCGCTGATAATGACGCCATATCGAGATACTTACTACGACTGGGACCTGTGCCTGCGCAGGGTTGATTCCATATTTTTTCAAAGTCAACGCGATAAAGCTCTGAATGACAAAGGAAAAATTAGAAAAAATAAAAATGTTCAACATGATATCAGATTTTCATGGGCAATTTCAATACCAATACGTCATCAGTTTCTTCATTTTCACACATTTCATAAAATAAACAAGGCTATTGAAATTTCTTCATGTTTTTTTTTCTTCTCGAAAGTCGTTGCGATCGAGTTGTTTTTAGTCACCGTTATCTTAAAAATACAGCTGACCAAACGTGTACGCATATGAATGAACAGATGGCAACAAGCAGTGAGTTCTAGATCCCCCCCCCCCCCCAAAAAAAAAAACCCGCTCTTGATGGTTGCGAGTTTAACCACTTTTTGTTTGGATTTTGATGACGATTGTGATGTAAGATAATTTACATTATTCAGGAATATATCCTCTAAAGGACCGGTATTTCTATTAGCTACCGATTCATTCAAACTAGTAAAGTGCACAACTTTTTTTTTCTTCCCTTGCAACCCTGAGTTGAGCATCATAACGATGAACAGATGATTGAGGAAATATTATTCTAGGGTCCATTTTTAAAGTAATCTTATACTCATGATATTCATATTTCCTCCTGAATTTATGCTAAAATTAGAGCCAATAGATTACTAGTAGTTGATTTAACGATGAATTGCCCAACTTACATTATAGGCTTCTAATATCGTGGTCTGGAGGGTAATGGCAATTTGTTGATCTGCGGAAGAAAAAATTGAAAGTATCAACTATGTATCTCCTTCATGAATCATTCTGTACCTTCTCAAAAAATTCACACAAAAACAAACAGCCGTCTTTTACTCCTGTGACACCCCTCCCCTTGCATTGTTTGCTGACACCCCCTTTTACTGTTTTTTTGATATTCATATGCCCATCCCCCCTCCCAAAATGAACAACGAGCATAATCATTCTTCATCATGTTTAAGGTTTTATTTATTTATTTATTTATTTCTAATCTTTTGACAGGGTAGCCCATTCACCAACAAGTAGTGGTCTTCCATGGGGCCCTGAATGAACATATTTACATCGTTTATAACATTTATACAGAACAGTTACAAAAACAATACATAATAATAAATGGAAAGCAATATTAAGAATAATCAAACATCGGGGAATAGAGAGATGGGGAACAGAGAGATAGATGGACGGACAGAACGAGAGGGAGAGGTCTTAGGAGGGGGGTGGAGCGGGGAGAGGAAATATTTGTAGAGGGGAGGATAGATAGTGGGACTAAAAGTCACCAATTTGACTAATACATTACTGAAATTAGTTCCTTATTTACTTAGTTAGATTGTTAGATGGTTAGTTACTTAATTAATGAAGTAACTTAATTAGTGAAACACGAAGAACTTACTTGTTGCGTCTAATGTCACCTTAAGGCTACTTCCATCCAAAGTTGCATTGTCTATTATTCCATCAGTCGTAAATCTAAATTTGACATTAGATAGCGTAAGAAAATTAATAAACAACGTATATCTTGGTATTTTCTTGGTATGAAAACTAACAACGTCTATGTATTGGATTTTTACATATTATTACGAAATACAGACACTAATGGGCGGAGAGGAAGCTACATTAATTATTCGTCTTGAGGGGAAAGAACCTTTGATAACGGAGGGTTCATCTTGTTATGTGCATTCGATTGAATCTTGTGACTGTTTTGCCCACAGTAAAAACAAAAAATGTTTAACAAACAAAAATTCAAAATAAGAAAACCGGAAAATGCAATATTAAAATAATGACATATTGAAAACCTGCTTTTCGTATAATGGTGCATGTAACTTGTCATTCAATCCTATCTTCAATTAATCATTCTTTCAAATATATATTTATCTACATTTTCAGTAATTTCATAAAAATCACTAGCTGACTGGAGGCTACAAGTAGTTTTATTAACACACTGAATCATAATTCTTTATTTTCTAAATTTTTATTTCTATCGTCCTTCTGTTCATCACTATTTTTATGAGCCTCAAATTTTGATTTCGAAGCTGTTCTACACTTTCAAAAGGAGGAATATAAAACCTCCAACATACTATTTAAAAACAGCCAGGGTAATAATAATGGAGCGCCGGGAGAAGCAATGTGTCAGACAAGAGCACTATACAAGAATCCACTATTATTATTATTATTAATAATAATAAATAGCCGATTTAATATTCTCACCTTTTGATCATGAAAGCGGTATAATTGGCAGGTATTTCTATGATGCCGAAGTATCTACCTTCTCTGATATTATCCAAGGCTTCATCCATCGTTGCAACCGGTTTCTGTTGTCAACAATTTTGAAAAAGAATGGATAAAGTTAACCGAAATAGCAAAATATCACAGGTGAAGGCAAGTCAATCGGAAGCATATTTTGCATCAAATTTGTATCATGTTATATCTTTATAATAAATACACACATAAGGTTAACTAAATTATTCATATCCTTGCCAAGTCTCGGAATTGTGTACGTATGTTAACAAAATGGATTTGACTCGATTTACGTTTCTTAAAATTGTGAAGTATTAAAGCTTACATCTAAACGTTTTCAACTAAAACCCAAATCAGTCCACCTTTAATTCTTGAGTAACGAAAAACACACACATAACAAACCTACAAGGGGTAGGAATAATTCAGTTGTTAACCATTATGTGTATATACAGTCAAACGTGATTTAGCGACCACCTGTCTACAAAGACCACATTTTTGTTCCCTTGAAAACGGTTCTTCATTGAAACATGAACTAAAGGAACCTGTACATAAAGACCGCCCATCTATAAAGACGGTTTTTCTTGTGTTTCCCTTGGGCGGTCGCTGTAGACAGGTTTGACTGTATCATGTAATATACCCTACCTGTATGATGATGTCGTCGGGTAACTGTTGGAGGAAGGCGTCGCTGAGATTGGGCGGGATCTCGTTGTTGACCACGGCTACAGGTAGATTCATAGGGGTGCCCCCGATGGCCAGGTAGAAGAGACTGACTTCGATGATTGGAACCATGAAGTAGAAGGCGGTCAACCTTGATCGGAGAGAGATGGAATTCGAATTCGATTGAAACAGAGTGAATTCTTTACAAGCTATGCTTTTCTATAGGTTCCTGCACATTTCACAGTTTTTTGCTTTTCTTGTCTGGGTTGCCTTTTAATGATAATAGTTATCAAGAACATTTGATGATATGTAACTTTGTAGACTGATTAATTTGTCAATTACTATAATCTTTTTTGAAAAAATTATGAAATAATTCTGTTAATGTTTATTTTGTTATCTGTAATGAATCTGCATGTGAAATGTGAAACCAATAAACTCAAACTCAAATCCAAATTATTGTTAGAGGAAAATGATAATTGTAATTTATGACGATGATGATGCTGATGATAGTAATCAGTCCGATAGGCTTTTCAGACATGAATTAAATTATCATAACTTTGTAATAAAGACGACTTCTCAATTCTGAGATTGACATAGGCTTCATAGTAATAATAATAACAATAAGCTAGATTGATATAGCGCTTAATACAAAATATCTTTTCTAAAAGCACCTTGCAGATATTATCACCCCGGTCATCGGATTCATTCATTCACGCACAATGTGCACATCTCCACTCCCTGGAGTGTATTCCTACCATATAGTCATATTGAGGGCAGATGGAAATTAATACACAAATGCTTTTGCCATCCTGCCAGGTCACCATTTCTCTCTTGGGTATGGAGCAACACATGTAGATTGATGCCTTGTCAAATTATATTAGGGGCCACCTGGATCCGGTGAGCAGCGGGTTAAACTTACCCTGGATTCCTGCACAGTTTGACTATGTCTTTCACGAACAACGCCCACATACTCATCAAGCTGGGTAGGAAATGATGCAACTTCCAAGGTATTTTATCTGAAATGAAATAATGTTGACGATGAATATTTAATGTCAGAACTCTATTCCTTCCCATTAATGAGAATGATTAACTGCACACATTCGTAACATAAAATAATATGTAATTGATTTTTACATATTGTACACTGGTTTACAAATGAAAATATAATTGTGAAAGTTAGCAACAAAAAAACGCCATTAAATACGTTACAATAGAAGAATTTTATTACAATTTCGCTTTCTATACGAATCGTACAATTCTATTACTGGATGAGTGATTTCAAGCTCAATGTTCCTGATCTGTTCAAATCCTAGGTTAGCATCCAGTCACCTTCCTCTTTCTTCTTTCAACTAAATTGAATGTGTATTAGAGAGAGTTGGCCTAATTCGGCACTGAGAGAATAAATGTGCGACATGGTTTAGATTCTAATTACCGTATTGGTATTTCGGGATGCCAGACTTGGTTCCGGCTCGAGATCTACATATGACGTCATCGTCGTGGTCAGACTTAGGAGTATTGTCCACTTGATTGAACGTCGGGTTGGTGTACGAGTGAGAGTGACCATTCGCCATCCCGTTGGGCGTCCCGTTCGGCAGCAGGAGGCTGGTCTTCTCCGTCGGTAGGGTTGTCTCGACCTGGGAATCAACGTCGATGTCAATTGCAACCTGGGAATCCACACCGATGTCGATTGCAACGTTCTCCTGAAATTCGAAACAAGAAATATGTTGAGGTGATGCAAGGTTGGATCCAGGATTCCATAGGAAAAAAAAGGTCAAATTCTGACAACGCCTCCCCCAAGAAAAAAAGGGGGGTTTCACGGTGCCCTACTTTCCAGATGCCTGTTTGGTATAAGATTTGAAGAGGGGGCACAAGATAGCAATGAGGGGACCACTTTTTTGTGTGTGTACTTGAGGTAACCTTAAGGTTTAAAAGGAGGTGTGGTAGATTGTGCTCACTCCCTTAATCCGCCTCTAGGGCTGTCGTGTTTTTCGTTGGAGAGCTAGAGTCCAATGATGAAGATAATCATTATGATAGTTTGTAGGATTCAAGAATAAAGCGATTGTCTAACTACCTTAGCATAACTTGTACAATGCATGTATACGTATCTAATCAAACCAAAGATTGATTAGTTGGTCTGATTTGATGCTCTAATTTTTACCGAAAAGTATTTGTATGCTTGTACGTAAGCAGCCCAGGGACCAACACGGCTTTAAGATCTAGCCTAGGGGCTTGATAATGATGACAGATTCTCAACGAATCTACTTGGTTTGGAACCAGGTACCTCCCGGTTACGAGACCACTTCTTGGGCCATTGCACATCTATACAGCACATCATCTACTTACGTTTGATCCCGTCTCCTTAGAGTCGGCCATGCACAGCTTCAGAAAGATGCCTTCAAGAGTCTGGACGAGAAAAGGAAGAGAAGAAAAGGGGTATTTCATGTTAAAAAATATCTAGAATGATGTGTTGGATGGGCAAAATGAGGAATGAATGCTCGATCAGTGCAGTTTGTTGTACCATTAGTAACTCGAAACCTCTGATCACACCGGCAATAAGGTTAGGCTGACCAGGGCCCTGTTTCATAAAACTTGATATCAATAACAAGTTACAAGCTACTGTTATAAGCTACTGAAATCATGGCATCTGATTGGCTGAGAGCAAACTTTTCATAGAAATTTGGCATTTGTTATAGATTTAAAAAAAATGAAACAGGGCCCAGGTTCTAGTAACGTAGGACCACTGGGGAGTTGGGATGGACCACTTACTACCAGCAACATATGCAGAAGTAAGATCTACCGCGGTATTCAACATTGTGACACTCGAGTTTCTGCTCCCGTAGATATACATGAGAAGTTGGTTGCTTATGTAGTGGTGCGCTCATGGATTTGCATCTTGATTCGGGGACAGTCATACGTCACAATGGCTCCTAAAATGTGAATTCGTCATGAGAGAACTCAACGGGAATGAACACATGAGCAAATTAGGAGTGGCTATCTTTTGAATTGGACCGCTGTTAAAACCATCATCAAATTGACACATAAGTTCCCAGTCTTCACAGACACGTTTGATTATAAATAATTTCGGTATCATTATTCTAATCTAGCTCAAATGGAACTCATGACAATTATTTCGCTAAATACGTAACTTTCCTCTATTTTATTTATTTCAATTTCAATTCTATTTCTGTTTCCTACAAAACGTTACAAATCAATCACAACCATTTCCAAAAATTAAGGAATACATATTGGAAACAGAGTGGTCTAAAAAGCAATACTTGTACAATAATATTGTGGACACCTCAACAAAAGTTAGGAATAATGAGTAATTAAATTAAGAAATTCGTAACTACAAAAAGGAATTAGAAAATAGGAAAAAAAGGGGATGCAAACAGACATTTATCGTAAATTATACTAAGTACTCCATAAATTGTTAGTATTATCTGTGTGAACAACTAATGACCAATGTATGCAGTGTTTCTTGTTAACACATTAGATATTGGTACATCAGTACTTAGTGAGTTTGTATTTCTTACCGGCAGATTGTGCACCTCCAACAGAGATTGTGGAGAATCCTCGGACAGGATCTTACCATTCCTCATCAGTCCAACCTAATAATAAAAAAAAATCAAAAGGAGAATTAAACAAATGAATAAACACAATTTGTTGAAGACATATATGTTGGTTAAAGAGCGCTCCATGAAAATATGGGAATTTCGGATTTGTGTCATGTTGCCAGAAGAGATGGCCGAGAACTCGTTGGAAGGATAACATTAAAAATATATGAGGGAACTTAATCTGCGCTGGTTAAAACGGGGAACAGAGAAGAGTGGGGACGGAGGATTCGGGCAACCAACCCCTGCTAAGTGATAATGGTTCATTGAATAGTAGTAGCCGGGAAGAGATGTATCACTGAGAACTCAGATTAGGAGCGCAATGTTAGGAGCATCGACAGAGGGATTCATTTCCTCTTTTTACATGTTTTTGTATCTAAAATCAGTCGTATATATGTTTATTCAAATTTATTTAACTGAGATCAACTTCCAATAACAATATATCAATCCATTATGTTTTAATTTGACAGTCATAATAAACATGTATCGGAGTACAGATTAGCTAACATATTCAAGCACAAAATATGATTACGATTCTAATATAAACAAATCAGAATCCACCAAACTTGGATTTATATTTCTGATTTGTTAAATTCGAGATAAAGCATTGATTGTCAAGAGGGTGTCCTGTGGTAAATCACCAGATAAAAATAAAACTCAGGGCCCTGTCTTACAAAGAGTTGCGATTGATCCAAATCATTTGCAAGTCCCTTAAATCAATCGCAAGTGTGCAATCTCCTATCTCTTATGTACATAATTGCGATTGATTTTAACTCTTTGTAATACAGGTCCCGGGTCTGTAGATAACAGTTTAAAGGCACACTGTCCTACTTGTAGCTACTTGCTCCCTCTATGTAGAAAACTTCCCCAATCGGTGCCTGTTGGTCCCCCATGATCCTCTTTTTCTTATGTTAAATGAGAGCAGAGTTAATGAGATAGCCACCTGTCACAGTGACCTCGCTGGCTTGCTGGATGGTCTAATCCCTTCTGCCTGAAGTAGTAAAGTCTGCCTTTAAAAGAAGTCCGAGATTGTAAAATGACAACTGTATGGATTTCAAAACTAAGTAGAATTGTTCTCACCACATCAGCATTTCTTGCCTCCTCTATGTAATGTGTTGTCAGGATGATTGTGGTGTTCTGCTCTATGGAAAACTTCAGCAGGTAGTCCCATATCCTTTAAACAGAGAACATGATTCAGTATTGATATGAAATCCACTCATGCTCTCATATATATGTTTTTTTAATATATATATATATATATATATATATATATATATATATCAGATCTGCTTAAAAGTATCGGCTTGCGTGGTGATGGAAATATACAGTAGGCTACCGTAATCTTTATTTCTTGAGTGTGTGAAGTCCTGAAAAGAGCTTTTGGTAATTTTTCTTGAGCTTATAGTTCTAAGGAGAGGATGGGTGGTAGGAGGGGCTCAACGTTTCGAACAGGTTGACTATCCGTCGTCAGGAGTGTCCTTTTCAGGAAGGACTACACACACTCAAGAAAAAAATATTACTGACAGTCCTTTTCAGGACTCCCTAATCCTCCTGCCTCTCACATGGTGCAACCGTAAGCCTACTGTTTTAAAATCAAAGCTGGGTTGTAAATGCAGTCAAAGGTTTTGTATAACATCAGATAAAAGAGATAATAATCCATAATGTATAAAATACAAAATAGTCAAGTATATTTGAGGATTCACTGTAAATAAACTTATTTAAAATATATTCAAATGTATACATGTTTATCCATATAGCGACGGGCCGTTACATGTACATTAACCTAATATATATTATTGTATCTCACTCGTCAGAATGCGAATTGCAAACATGAATATTTGCTATATCGGACAAACAAAATGGCGTGCCCGACCTTAGACATTGGAAGAGTACAATCATTCGTAAAAGGTAAATTAAATAATTTCGTAACGAGGAACTGAAAGACTTTTGCAACTGATTTCAGTATACGTTTCGATAATGGCGTATTACGAAACAGTCAAATAGTCAATCTCCAAAATTATCCAAAAAAAGTTTTGGAATGATGAGTATAGCATAACCATGGTGACACATGAGACATGGATGGTATCTTACTTCTGTCTGAGCAATGGATCGACTCCAACCGTTGGTTCATCTAAGATGAGCAGTTCAGGAGATTGGATCAAGGCAACCGCGAAGGATACTCGCCTCTTCTGTCCACCACTAAAAATATATATTTAAAAAAATATATATAAAAAAACGTTGCCATCACTTATGACGGATTCATTAAACATTGACAGGAAAACTGATTGAAAGAGAAGCAGTAGGAGATAGTGCATCTAATACATGGATAAGTCCATGCATTGGGCTGACAGGTAAAAGAAGTAACGTCAAATTACAAAGAACCAGATAAAGAAATAGATGGAAAGCCTTGATAGCCAATGTCTGAAACAGACAAGACACCTTGCAAGCAAGCAAGAAAGAAACGCTACGACATCGAGATGCACGAAGCATAAAACCGTCGGACAACTGAAAGGGGTGACTGGGTACAAATAGAAGTTGGACCAACCAAAAGTCTAGAACTTACCTAAGTTGGCCCACAGTCCTGCCTTTATCTGGGAGGTTTAGAAGGTCCATGAGGAAGTCGATTCTTATGTTGGTCTCCTTCCGACTCATCTTATGGACAGTGGCGAAGTAGACCAAGGTTTCCTTGATAGAGAACTCATTGTAGAGGGCGATCTCCTACATTTTTTTTCAAAAAGGAGCAAGAGAGCAGACCCAAGATGTGATGCTTTTATCGTTGTATTTACATTAAGCTTCCAAACGTACATTTATGTCGCATGGTGTTCTTACGGAAGAGACCGATTTACTAACATATTCTAACTATATGCATACTTTTTAAACAAATGTTGCTCTTGACAACCTGTAGGCATACCGACATAGCATAGCGACAAATTAATGCAGACTGGATTCCAAGTATTGTAGTTCATTCATTGGAAACAGGTTTATGAAATACCTCGTCACTAGGTTCCCAGGAAAGAAACATCCATATATTTGAATATGTTAGTAAATCGGTCTATAGCGGATGTTCCTTAACTTTAAGCAATAGGGGCTTTTAGATTTGCACGTCGACATAGTGGACTGTTACGTGTGACGTCCTTTTAATGCACTGTGACGTCCGTTTAAGGAACTGCCAGTGCCTTAAAAGGACGTCACACGTAGCAGTCCGCTATGTTGACGTGCAAATCTAAAAGCCCCTGATATTGAGGATTGAATGCTAGGTTCAACCATCAACCTATTACGAACGGACTTTTAACAACCGAAGCAAGTGCATGGTTTAAAATCAATTAAAAGGAAAGGGATAACGGTGGGAAAGGAGAGATTTATAACGTGTTGGAATCATATCGTTGACGAGATGGAGTTATAAACTATATGCTACATTGTGAAACATGGAAATAACGGAAACGACCTACACATATCACGTAAACAAATTTGTTTTGTTCCCTCATTGTAAAGTGAAATTAATCTCAGTCGAGACATAATAATAAATACCTGAGGCATGTATCCGACCCGAGATCCTGGTATGCCGTGACCTCGGGTCAAAGGTGGTCGTCCAAGGGTCAAGACGAGGCCCGAATCGAAGCTGAGTCTTCCCAGTACGCAGCGGAGGAGGGTGGTCTTACCGCATCCACTGGGTCCCAACAAACCATAGCTGAGAGGAAAACAAATGAAACACAGCATTAAATATGTTCAGCCACTCTGCGCTAGTTTGGCATGAAGGGAGTAGATCTCATAACATCCGCTCTCAATTAACATAAGAAAAGAGGATCATGGGGGACCGATGATCACCGATTAGGCATTGTTTGCTATATAGAGGGCGCAAGTCAAGTAGTGCAGTGGGGCTTTCAAACAAATCAGGGAAAAACAAAACAAACATTAACGATTCATATAATAGCAAGCCTATACTGAAAATCGCACTGAAAAGAACATATAGCAAGATACATATTGGTATTTTCCCAGTTTTGTCTTTCGCTTCTCAGTAATCTTTTTGAAGGATTAGCTATAGAAATAAAAATTCTAAATCCACTTTTTGTGATATATTAGAAATATTTTCAGATAATAAATGATCAACAATAATGTATGTGAGTCGCATTCTGACTATCGAAATTATACTCATGTATCACAGGTGAATGAAGTTATTTGTAACATGGCACTTAACAAAAATTTATGCATTGAATATGATTACATAACTATGACGTTCTTCAGAATGGTATCATCGTTGATGTCATTATTGGATCATCATCTGATTAACAAGTATTTAAAATCGCATTGTTATGTTTTTTTTTCTTGTGGCCGCACGTCACCAGCACGAGGACATTCAAATGCATAAAGTTGTCATCCAAAAGTCGAATGTATACTGGACGTATCCAAAACCAATGCAGAGCACTGTCGTGTTTTGCGTACATGTTCGTGTTTGCATTTGAGGCAGTAGTGAGGATTCTGCTTTTCAGTATTACGTAATCTTTCAGTGCCACTTCAGCTTCTTTGTATCACGTTCGTTTGCTCAGCAAATTATCATGGGATCAGAAGAATGATCTTCTTTATTTCATTCCCTTTCTTACTTGCTATTTCATTTTCTCTTCTGCATAACAATAATAATACAAATTTTAATAGTGGGTTTTTGCCTAGCGATCATGTCTGCCAGATTGCCACAATAACCGAGAACATTTACTGCTGTTGTTTGTAATGGCAGCTCAAAAAGCATCAAACATTTCCAATTCCGAAGTTTTACTTTAGTTAGTCCTTTTGTGTCGTTTACCCACTAAATTTCACATGTGTTTCTGTTCAGAATTAATAATAATACTAATAAAAGAAAACATTATAATTATTTGAGAAGAAACAGGGGGCTGAACATCATACTTTGTATTGTTTCTATTGAATTACATACATTTATCCTGGCAATATTCTTCGTGTTTTAAATATTCAAATTTTCCTACAGTTTGAAGCTAATTGCAATTTCAAAACCCTGTTGTAATGCCCTAAGAAATATTATTCTATCATGTAAAATCTATTGACACGGTCGCATATTTCAATATTGCGGTTAACACACACAACACAAACGCACATAGTTTGCAAAAATCAGTCAATTGAAGGAGGCAGACTTATTATCTAATGTTGATTTCTTTTGAAGTATTTGCGATGGCTTTCAATTGAGATCAGATAAAACCAAACCACATCGGATCAAATCAACATGAAATTTAAATGATTTGAAATATGAATTGATGTCACATTTAAATTCTAAAACAAAAGCAAAGGATAATGAAAAACGGTTAAAAGCTTCGACTGATATGTCAAAATAATTGTATGTGTATATTTGTCATTATGAACGTTATAGATATGTTAAATAAAGCTCCCTGAAAGGTTTTTAAACAAATAAAAATAAATCAACATAAAATCAAATGGAACCAGTGATGTCTAGCTTACATTTTTCCTTTTGGGACCCTCATGGCGAGGTTCTGGAGTACTTGGATCTTGGACTTTCCTCGTCCATAGTGCTTGCAGATGTCGTAGCATTCGATGGCCTGCTTGCCGACATCCTCCGGTACGTTCATCATCATCATGAAAGAATCCTATACAAACAGATGAAATAAGGGAATATGAGAAAGTACAACAAATTAACTAAATTGAATCATGTAAATGGTGGTGGTGAGATAATGACAATGGGGATATAAATAATGATACTACTACTCCTCCTCCTACTACTACTCCTACTCCTACTCCTACTAGTACTACTACTACTACTACTACTACTCCTACTACTACTACTACTATACTCCTACTACTACTGCCACATGTATCATGATAATAATGATGGTGGTGATGAAAGAATAATGATAATATAACTACTGTTACTTCTTTTTACTCTCTCGTGTAGCCTATCATAATAATTATAATGATGATGGCGATGTTGATGATGATGATATGATGATGATTATGATGATGATAATGATGGTGAGGAAACAATAATGATACTATCACTACTGCTACTACTTGTATTACAACTATCATGTATCGAGCACAATCATGAAGACTCTTGACTCGATCATACAAGAGGTCCCAAGTTTGATTATTGGCCAGTGCTTCCATCCTTGGAAAAGGTGTTCCACATAGTCTCCCTCGACCAAGGTGTTTTTAATACTAAACAATGCTGAGATAAAAACGATTGTAGTTCCCGTTGGAAGAGCAGTATTAATACTGATGTGGCTATTCACGGGAAATAAAACCCATATGAAATTAAAATATGACATTTTAAAGACACAAGTGAGGAAAGAAAAACAGTGGAAATATCAACTCATGAAAACAAACCATTAAGTCGAAGACAGCTTTTTAAAAGCAGACTAATTTGCACTTGCGCTTGCCGCTCAAAATCACCGGAAAAAGTTGATTGCGTCCTAGACGTTCACAACATATACGAGAAGACAGCTTGGCTCCGTGGATAGAGCGATGGTTTTAGAAACGGCAGGTTCCGGATTCAAATCCACGTCAGAGCGTTTTTAGTTACTGTAGGTGTCTGCAGTATCAAATGGCCTTTGGATATGACTTAATGCTGAATGTCCCTTACAAATGCAGCCTTCGTGCACGTATATACATGTACATACCCTCTCAGCATTCAAAAAAATAAGCAACCTAGCAACCAATATACGTCATGGCCTGGACGGAGAAAAACTTTTGTTATGTGATGTCCAGTTAAAAGGTACAGAAAGAATACCGATTGTGTAGCTTTGACGCATTTACCTAAAGGATTCCGCACCCCATTGTTACGAAACATCATGAATATCATGAAGGCGTCCATGCACTGCATTATGACTCAAGTCTATTTTCAGTAACAACCAGTAACGGTAGGGAGCTGGCTAAACGGTAATCTGATATTTACTTAGTGCGACAGTTGCTCCTATCGTTTTTTCGTCAAAGATATACAGTGGTGAAGTGTGACGTCATTAATAAATCTATTTTTAGATTTTCTCAATGTTTTCTTCATTTTCCGAAAGAGCATATAACACTGAGTTCCTATAGGAAATATATTTATTCAGATGGTCATATCTCAGCCAATACTTAACATTAGTATTCATTTGGTTTTCGACATTGGGTCATTATTTTTGATGCTCTTCCGGAAAATGAAGAAAAAATCGAGAAATTCTAAAAACATATTTGTATGACGTCACAGCTTCGGTACTCTATAGGGTTAAGGTTAGGGTTGAAAGTTGGTTTTTGGTTTGGTTTTGGTAAGGTATAATGCCGGGTCAAGGTTGAAGTTAAGAATTCGGTTAGTAAAGATTGTCGCCCGAGCAAATGTCGATGGGTTTTTAGATTAGGGTTAGGGTTAGGTTGAGAGTTAGGGTTTAATTATAGGGTTAGGGTTAGGGTTAGGAATAAAGCTGGGTCCAGGGGAGCAATGGTCTCTCGCCCGATCAAAGGTTTCAGGTTCGGTTGGGGCTCGGGTAAAGTGTAGTTTGGGATCGGGGTTGAAGTTCAGAACGGTTAATTAGTGTTAGACATATAGCGCGGAGCAATTATGAAAGGAGCAAGTGTCTTATAATCGACTAAATCAGCCTTTTGCATAAACTCCAATTTCCCCTTTAGGTCAAGGTCGTGCGATTACATTGTGAAATGAACTGTCAAGAAAAATGAATGGTTGATTATGTCGTATACAGAGGAATTATTATTTTATTTAAGTTTTCGGAATCATGAAAATTAGCAGAAGTTCACTCAATCTTGCTGGAAATCTAAATTCACTGCACCCAGAAATGGATATAGTTATAATCGTCGACCTTATTATAAATCTGTCATATAAATTACTATACAAATTCGTCGGTTCATAATAACGCCAACGGATATGTGACTGCACACATGATGAAAGTTTGGTCCAAAATCTTCAGCTATTTCTCATCACATTCCGAATACGTGGGCACTTGAAAAACAGTCTCCAAACGGTCCAAACTATCATAAAACTAATGAGAAAGCCCAGAAATACGTATCAAAGGGGGCGCTGGCATCATGGGTGGGGGGGGGGGGGTGGGTCTGGTTTTACAAGTTTGAATTAATAGGGCCATCGATTTGGTTGAGGTCCTATCATCTCGTTTCATCTTTCCCTTTCCTTTTTTGTCCTGCCTCATTTCCTCCCGTTTTTCGCCATTCAACCATGTGTGTTTCTGGTTGTGTGTGTGTGTGGGGGGGGGGGAGGGGAAAGGGGGGGGGGCTTGTACCCCCGTGTCCCTGTACCTACACCGCCGATCTATAGTGTGTCTAAGCTTAGGAAACATAGAGATATTGTTAATACACTTTTAAAAAAAATGAAAAACAGGAAGCATGGAATGGTAACAGAAATATATAGCAGATAATGGTGTAATGCTCTATTCACGATTAATCCAAGGGTTGAGGGTTCGAATTCCATCCATGCACGATTAACGTCCTTTGGCGAGACATTTATCCGCATCTGCCACTCTCCACCCAGGTGTAAATGAGTACCTGCCAACGGTTGAGGTATTAATAATCGTAAGGCCTGCAGGAAAAGCAGTATTCATACTGATGTGGCTAAAACGGGGTAAATAGGTCCAAATTATTATTAAGCCCTCACCATTACCATGTACCATCGTTCTATTTGAGGACACACCCAATATGCAATCTGATTATTGTCTGTAATCCGGTACTTAACATGAGATTATCATTCCAAAGGCCCGTCCTACATCTACTACACCTACAAATTAACCCCAAAATCAACCATCTCATTTAAGAATATAGAATTTTGCCGTTAATGTGATGTAATATATTCCTAATTTTGTTTAGTACGAGTTTGAGAGCTTTCCGCCCTCCACCCCCCCCCCAAATGGAATGATTAAAAAAAAATCTTCCATTTTTATTTTAAAGAAAGCAAAGTCAAAACGAATGAACTTTATGTCCAGATTTTTGGTGAAATATGAGCCAATTATTTCTTTTAAATATGCTAATTCAATCTTGCAGTTTGTTGATTTCTCTCGTCGTTCTCTTTCATTTTTATTTCGGTTTCTCCGTCCTTCCCCTTTTACTTCCGTTATCACCATCGTCATTACAATCTCTCTCTCTCACTCTCTCGTTCGCCCGTTACTCTCTCTCTCTCTCTCTCTCTCTCTCTCTCTCTCTCTTTCTCTCTCTATCTTTAACGTCTTTCCCCATCCTTCCCCTTCATATTTGATTCTGCTCTCAAGCTATACTAATACCAGGCATGCCAGTGATCATATTCCTCAACATTCTACTTATCTGCGACGGAGTAGTAAATGATTAAAAGCTTTTTTGTTTCTTTTTATTCTATTCTCAGGGTAAGTAAACAAGCCTATCGTATTGAACCTGGCCTACTAACCTGATTATCTATATCGTCAATTTATTGTTTAACCTTGTATTAACAATACTATCATTCGGTAGATCATTGTTTTGTGGGGTTTTTTCCCGGTGAGATTACAAGTCACATGACTAGTAAGCCGGTCACGTGCTTGCATCATTGCGCAATACATTTGGCAAGAGGCACCTTTTGATACAATGCTTGGACAGCGTATTGGCACGTGCGTGAGGGTCAAGAGAGAAAAGATTTGCCTACTATTATCATTCAATTTTTTCTTTTTTCATAATTGACTCGTTGAAAAAGTACAATTCCATGTTAGGTAAGAAATTTGCATGGAAATGATAGAAAATACGAAAAATTCCTAGGGGTGTTTCAATATTTAAACGGGGTCAATTATCCTTGACTAGCTTTTGATATCTGTTGGCTCTATTTACCAAATGTGTATTCATTGTCACGCTGAAATACAATATATCTGAAATCTTGATAATAAATGAAAGGAATAAATGAATCAATTAAAAAAATGATTTCAGATTCCTTTAAAACTAAATAGGTTTACTTTTTAAGAGTAGCTTAAACGTCAGCGAGGAGGAGCTTTGACTTGGTCAAGAAACATTATCATTTTATTTCTTTCTATTACATTGCATTCACGATTTCCTTCCAAAAATAATAACCTAATTTAAATGATAACGGAACCCCCCCCCCTTATAAATAACCATTAAAACTGCTAGCGTAAGCAAATATCATCAATCATAATATTGTGATTCATATTGAAAAAAGTTCGCGGACCAAACTCCATAACCAAAAGTTTGTTTGCGTTGACACAGAGCCAGACAATTTCAACAACTATGAAAGATAATGCTATTGATTTTGCAGATCTATATGATCTTTAAGTGCTATCTATATTTGTTGTGATATATCGAGAATAGCTGACAAACAAAGGAACAATTATGTCTCTTAATTGGCTCTTAATCCAGGGTCGAGGGTTCGAATCCCAGCCCGGCACTAACGTCCTTTAGCAAGATAGGAATCTGATAGGAATTTGTCACTCTCCACCCAGGTGTAAATGGGTACCTGGCAATCGCTGGGGTAATGATAATTGCAGGGTTCTGAACAGCATTGAAGATGATGAGGCTTCCCTGGGTTAACATTATTATCATTATTATTATTTAATTAAGGATCATCAAATTCTGCTGGGTTGCATCAGAATAGAATAGGAACCTTTCAGTAGCGTGGGGGGAGGGGGTGTCTGTGCTCTTTCGCACCTCCCCCGATTATCTACAGAAATAATCTCCTTTTACTATTTTTTGGCAGATAAACATATCATACTTGTTTTCAGTTTAATACGAGTATCTCTAACATAATTATCACAAGAGATATGAAAAATCTCAGTAAGTAATCTTATTTGATAAAGCGACAATCTTTCGTTAACAGAGTGAGGAAATAATCTTGTTAATTTAAAATCGTGATAATATAATTGTGAAGAGAAGAATAATGGAATTTGAGCTCTTGTGATTTTTGGCATTTAACATTTTTGCTTGTCTCCATACGGGTCTTCATCTCTCTCTTCTTAACAAATGTTATTTTTCTTTCTTTTCATTCTCCAAATCCTCCTATCATTTGCCTTTTTCTAAATTCGCATACAACATGTATATCATTCCTTCTTATATCTGTGTTCTTTGCTCTATAAATACAGTCTATTCTCAGATATAATATAACTATATTACTTTGCACGGAGTCTAAATGTGGGCAGTTTTGTTTTGACATTCGAGGTATGCATATTTTTTTTCTCTCAAACACAGTTTATAAAACTGAAGATATGGCGTATATATTCAATACTGAATGAACGCCATTAAACTATTACCAACAACAACAATAACATCTCTCTCACATTCTCCCCCCCCCTCTTTCTCTCTCTTTCTCTAGTTTATTGATAATGATATTTGTGATAACAGTAAGCTAGTTTAATCATAATAATAATAATAATAACAAAGGTGCTTAAAAAGCGCTTACTACTGAAGTCGATCTCTAAGCGCTATAAAAGTAATGGAAAAATTTCAATTTCTTGGAGGACCCGGGCATCGATCCCGGTACCTCTCGCATGCTAAGCGAGCGCTCTACCATCTGAGCTAGCCCCCCGGTCGCACTCAATGCCAATAACAAAAGTTATTTCACCCGCTTTAAATGCCAAATAAAAATAATAATGCCAGAGAGCCAAGAGTTCAAGCGAAATATTTTACATTTAATTACCCTAAAAGTATATTTTGTCATGAAAATTTGCCAGTTGTGATATAAGAGATTTTGATGGAGCTCTTTTGATGCGCAAATATGAAATGACGGTTGCACCAATATTTGTAGATTTTAAACAGATTCTCGGGGAGGAGGGGGAGGGGCTGCAAAAAATATGAAGTGTTAAGATGATGATCGGACTCTAAATGGTCGTTACATAGATCATACCTTCATGCTTAGAGCAAGCAACCTCCATTTTAATGTCGCTGACTGGGGGAATGGATATGTTTCGAAAATGCTCCTAGTGCACTTTGAAAAAAACAACTTTTCATATTTTTTATGATTTTAATGAAACAAAACAGAATTTAAAAAAATACAAATAAATAAATAGTCAGTCAAAATTCAGAGTAACACAATACATAAAATAAGACAGAAAGATTATCAGAGCGTCAAACGTAACAAACGTAACATAATAAAATATAAATATAGCAGGAATGCAAGCAGCCACAAAGGAAGTTATATTTCAAACCTCCATTTACAAAAATGAGTTTCTAGTTTTTAAATTGTTTTTGTATAAAAGAAGATTTCATTTAAGACATACTTCTGCGAAGATTTCCTTCAAAATGACTTGTGTTTGAAGACACATGTTGATAAAAAATATTTAATTTGGGTTTTCTGTTCATGTTCGCAGAAAACCTAAATGTTGTATTCTTTCATCAATATTCGACTTCAAACACATTTGTTTTGAAAATCATTGCAGAGATGTGCCTTAAATGACATCCTCTTTCACATTATGATACAATTTAAGTGAAATTTCGCCATCAAATTGTTGGGGCTCCCAACACTTTAGAGTGGTTTTAAGTTGAAAGGTGGACTACTCATCATGTTTTTCTCTGATGATTCGTGCAGAAACAAACCAACTCGCGTCTGGGAGAATCATGTAGATCAACGTAAAAATACTGATGTTAAATGCGTAAATGTAAAGTTCAAAATTCCAAATGTAAAATGAAATGTAAAATGGAAATTCAATATAATGTAAAAAGTAAAAGCGATATGACACACATGACTAAAATCATACAATACACAATGTTGTGGACGATTTCATGAATATTAATTGTACAATGACATTTAGGTAGTCTGTAATTATCAAAAGCGTTGTTAAAAGACATTTTGAAATATAAAGTTCGCTTACCCTACTTGAACACAAATGCTTCGATGGAGAGTATACAAAATCCTACACCAATGACCAGAATGATGCATTAACAGTTAAAGCAAACGCAGTCCACCGCGTCCACAATGTTGTAATCTTCTTTACCAAGAGTTTCAGATTAATAACGTATTTCTGAGATTTTTTCTGGGGTAAGTTCTTACTAAATAAACCTCTTGTGGTTTATCACATACCTCGTTCTCACTGCTCAGATTTTCTTTTTAATTCTCGGATTTTTATAATTTCGCACCAAGTTTTGCGCTGTTAGTCTTCTTTCTTATCGTGTTGCGCACGAATTGATTTTTAGTCCTGGGGGCCGGTTACACATTAACAATAGTATCGCTCTAAGTCTTGCTCTGTTACATTGACCCGATAATGATAGCCACCTGATAACGATCAGAATACAAGAATGAGCATTTACCATCGGTTCGTTTAGATTTCATATATAATTGTTGTTGTTGGTTGTATTTTAGGCGTTCAGTCGAATTTGACTATTTACGCCTAGTCTGGTTCATTACTTATAGATGTAATTATAGTAATAGTTATATTTATACTTATTTATAAATTAGCCATAGTTTGATAATGTTTAAGTTATCCTTTTTATACTTAAAGTTAAGTTATAGTTATATTTATAGTAAGTTATAGTTTTAGATGTAGCTTTTGTTATTGTTAAAGTTATAGTTAAAGTTTTGTCATAGTTATTATCATCGTCATCTGTGGTATGTGACCAACCCCTAAACGTAATGTTTGCAGGTATATTTCACAACATTTCAGGCAGTGTGAACAATGTCGAGGGAACGACGCCAAAACAAGCAAAAAATGTGAAAAGTGTGTTCACCCCATCTACTTGACGTGAAGCAGTTTTGCGGACAAAAAGTTTGTCGAACTTAATCGTTAATAAAAAAAGTTTGTTCAACCCAAACAAAGTAAACCTGTTTGCAAACACCGACAGATAACTGAACAAAAGGCGTGAGTCTTCTTTCCATCTTTGTCAAGCAGCTTGAAAGCTTCATACTTTCCGTAAAATGGATATTGTACAACAGTCCTCGTGCATATTTTGTGTAAAAATTATGACGTCCCATACGGACACAAAAAAAAATTGATAAAGAAATAAACATATATATACACACGCACATACACACCCCCGCTACCCCACTGTATATTCACAAACGTGTACATGTACATGTTTATACATGTATATGTAATATATAATTCCACGGGAGTTGCCAAAGCCATTTTGTATAGCTTATTTCCTTACACCCACACACACACACCCACACATTCTCTCTCCCTCTCCTTTCTCTCCCTTTCTCCCTCTCCACCATCTCTCTCTCTCTCCCTGTCTACTATCTCTCTCGTTTTCGCTATCCACCATGTTCTCTTTCTTTTACTCTCTCTATCTCTTTCTCGCTCTTTCGATCTCTCCCTCTCATAATATCATTATCTATATTTCACCTCCATTCTCTCTGTATTTGTTTTCCTCTCCACCATCTACCTCTCCTCTCATTCCCCTTTTCAAATCAAATCAAAATCAAATCCATTCTCTTTTTCTTGATATCATGTTTTTATCTCTTCCAAGTTATGCTGATAACATTCACGAATACGAACACTTCCACGAGCCTGGTATAATTACATGTATAGAGGGCAGATATCCTTTTAAGGAGAAATTGAAATATCTAGCACAGACTAATGTTATTAAGAATTTTAATCAAAAAATAAAGAAATACATATTTTAATGCAGACAGTAGCTAGCCTGACTAGAATTATATTTTAAAAAAAATAAATAAAAAAAAAAATAAAAAAAAAAAAAATCGTCATCCAAAAGAGGCCTAAACAGCATGGGGGAGGGATGATATTAAAGCCATTTGACATACAAATTATTTTCACAACGACCCCCCCCCCCCCCCCCCCCCCATGGCATGGGAAACATTGTTGATTGTATGACTAAATTACCACTGGCTTTCAGGAGGACACCCCTTACAGTTATACTTGTTTTTATATTCATATTTCCGGGTAAAAATAGTGTACTAAATATTCCTGGTTTTAAGAGGGTAATCTCTCTCACTCCATAACTACCTTCTGTAAGTTCGTTTCGAAAAGGAAACAGATACCTAGTTTTCAGGTTCTCGTATTTCTCCTCGCTTTCTATCTCATATTTCCAGGTTCTCAAGTTTCTCCAAGTGCTCACATTAATATTCAAAGAAAGGGAACCGGGCCATATTTCATTAAACTTATCATCAATAACAAGTAAGAATTACTGTTATGAGCTACTGAAATTGTGGCATTTGATTGACTGAGAGCAAATTTGTTACTGATAACAAGTTGTATTAAAAAAGGCCCAGGTCATTTACTTCAACAGTGCAATATCATGTTTAAAAATGCTCAAATTAGACGGGGACACCCCCATCTTCCTTTTTCGCTCCATACATCCATAGTTGTGACTTTTTTTGTCTAAACTTTGAGAAACACAGGTACACATTAATTTCGCTGTAAAACGATATTTTATTCCATAGACACAGATTTCACACTGAAAAGGTGAACTATCAAAAAACGATGTGAAAGTTTGTGTGAAGTATTAAAAATGCTATTAAAAACATGTGAATTTTGTTGTGACTGGCATAATTTACAGAAATGTACATAAAATATATACATGTATAAAGCATTAAGATATTTCACACTCATGTTCGACATGTTCAATGGCGAGAATTTATACATTTTCAGAGATCGCTATTCATGAGGAAATCTCATTGACACCGAGAGATTTAAGATTCTATTTTGTACACAGCCAATGAGACATTGAGAAAACCCTTACTTTTACCTCGAATTATCAATATAACTCCCCGTGTTATGTTCTACGAAAAAGGTCGTCGTTAAAGAGGTTTCATGAACATGGTATTTTGATTACCTTGAAAAGATTCACTTCTCCATAAATGCTTACATTTACACTTGCAAGCGAAAACTAGCCGATCCGACTGCGATTCGATTTTTGAAGAAATGGCAATTATATTAGTTATGGAAATATAAACAAAGAATGTTTTGATGATTTCGATTGTAAATAATGATAAGAAAACTAACAACAATCAATTTAGTACTTTTAGGCCTTCTACGTCACAATGAATTCCGAATCGGCTTCAAATCGTAGACAATCGTATTACTGGTATGACGTCACTAAGATTCTGAGCCGATTTATCTTTTCCTCTGTCATGTAGGCTTGGAATCCTCTAAAGGTTAGATTTTATTAATTACATAAATGAAAAGATCTTCAATCATTAAGATCTTACATGTTGGAATGTTCATATACAATGCTGCTGTAAATTCTTCTTCCCAAATCGGATCGCAGTCAGATTGTGTAATGTGCGCTAAGCCTTAACGTAATAGGAACCAGTAAGTAGAAACCTTTAAATGCGTATTCTCTTATTCAGCAAATATGAAATGATACAGTTGCAGTCATGGTGATTGTGTAAGAGACTTTTAGATTTGCGTGGAATGCTACATGTGACGTCCTTTTAACCCTAATAAGGCCGGGGGGGGGGGGGCATCATGGCTCGCTGACTTTTTTTTTTCGAGTCTTGCGCAACTTTTAAAAGAATTTTTGTGAAAATCGAACCTACGGTTACAAGGTTACGTGACCTTTTTTCTTTGCATGTCAGCCCCCAAATCGCTCATTTTCGTGATTTGTGGAAAAACATAATTATGGAAAAGTCATTTTTCCTAAAAATAGATCAAACATGGGTTTTGGGGGCTTGTTTAGGTTTAGGTAATTGTTTTGGGAGTCAAAATAGTTGAATTGTAGTTAAAAATGAAATAAAACAATAAAAACAATAAAATACATAAGTTAAAAAAACAATAGATAACATGAGGAATAAGCTGGCTCTTCCAATTTTTTTTGTCGTATTATTATTCCAAATGGTCTAATGAATATATATAGTGAAAAAGAATGCTTAAATATGAATAATATATGATTTATGGGTATGAGCCCACGTTGTCGTCGTGCAAACCTAAAAGTCCATATTGAAATAAGAAAGAAACTGCCGATACAAATACAATAAAGATTGGTATTCAACCATGTCATAAAGCCGTCATACCACGAGGATACACGTTATTAAAGTCTATGATTGCCAATTATCTTACCGATTTTTTCCAACAGATTTTAATTTCAATGTATACCTTTAGCCGAAACAAGAACAATAACATCAACAACAACAATGATATTGGTGATGGTGATAATGATAACGATGATAATGATACTGATGATAGTGAATATGAATATTAAGAAGACAATACACCAGTTTACAGTTGTGTGCGCCATTTTAAATGGTGAGTGAACAAAGCCAATGACCTAGAGGTCAGTGGTATTTATGCGTAAATTAAGATTGCGCCCATGCAAATTATGATAATATCACTGCCTGCGCGCTGCGCTGTGCGCTCACATCATAATTTGCATGGGCGCAATCTTAATTTACGCACAAACCAAATGACCTCTAGGTCATTGGCTTTGTTTACTCACCATTTAAAATGGCGCCCAAGTCTGCGCATGCGCACTGATACAACTGTAAACTGGTGTATTATGTTGATAATAGTATAATAGTAATTATATAAGTAGCGCGCTTATAATACTACTACTGATACTACTACCACTACTACTTTATACTACTACTACTACAACTACTACTCTACTACTACTACTACTACTACTTTTACTACTACTACTACTACTACTACTACTACTACTACTACCACTACCACTACTACTACTTCTACTACTACCTTCATTACTGATAACCATCACATGTATCTATTTATTCATACATGACAGCTACTCGTTTGGGATCAAGTCATTCGTCCTTAGATTGATGGTCAGATTTTTGGTCAATTTACCCCAAAAATAATCTTGTCCTCTCACGTCCTCAGGCCAGTAGATATAGGGTCTGCCATCACTGAGGTACAACCTCGCCAAGAATGGCATTTCATCGTCTGGGATGTCTTCGAGGAAAACCACGACTACGAATTCCGTCAGAGTGTCACTCACGTGGTCCATGGACGTCCTGAGCTTGAGTATGAACCAGTGGTCGTGCACAGCAGCTCTGCTAAGCACTACGATGGTCTTGTAACTATGACTCACTACGTAATAGACGGAATCTAGGTAGTGCATACCCGGAATAAGGTCTTGGTCACCAAAGGAGTTCCTCTGAAACTGTGGGAGCCGTTCTTCGAGAGCCGGTCGAAGCTGTTCGCGAATCCATTCTTCGTCATCGTCGTAGAAAATGATGTTCACGTCAAACTCGTAGTCATTGTGGTCTCGAGCGTCTCGCATCTCTTTAAAGCCCAGTACGGCCAGTTTCAAGAGAAAGAGTTTGTTCCTCAACTGCCATCGGTAGTGATACAACATTACGCTGATTACAACCAAGCTAATGGAGACGAGGGGAATCAGAGAGAATAAACCATAGTTCATTATACAGAGTTCATTTGGATCAAAATCAAGCAGGGCTTTCTCACGAAGAGGCTCCAGAGATGCTGACGAACAGATAGTTTTTTCCTTGTCTTGCAGGCGTATATTTTCATTTAACCAATCAATAAGCCACTTTAGATCACAGTTACAGTTGATTGGGTTCATTGATAGATCAAGTGATGAAATGGAGGAAGAGATCGGCTTGAAAGTGTTTTGATTAAGGCGCGTTAATCCGTTGTTGGCCAAGGAGAGATTTGTGAGCTTCCAGTTATTTGAGAACATTAGCTCCTCCAAGTACGCGATACGGTTTCCTCTAAAGTCGATACTTTTTATTTGGCCCAACCCCGACAATACATCATCATGAATAAACTGGATGTTGTTTTCTTTCAAACTCAACTTCTGAAGCGATTCCAACCCCGAGAAGACAAGAGGATGTAGATTTGTAATATAGCAGTTGTCTAGACTTAACCATTGTAAAGCAGAGAGTTGCTGAAATATCCCTGGCTGTAAATCCCAAAATAAACACAGAGAAGGGTTACTACTCAAGTCCAAATGATTAAGAGCCAATAATCCATCGAAAAGAGACGCGTTTGTAGTTGCATTCCATAGGTAAGTCCGGTGAAGGGTGGATTCGATCATACTCAAATTAACAAGGGATTGTAAATGTTGAAACGATTTTCCTGGTCGCAAAGGAAGCCAGACTGAATTGAGATAGTTTAGAAAAAGTGATCTTAATAATGGCGTGTTCACTTCCAGAACAGTTATGCAACATCCGGTCAAATCAATGGTTTGAATATTGTCAAGTCCCGAAAAGGCCGTCAGCTCAAAGGCAGAAAGGTATTTGTTCGAGCTCATGTCTAAGAAAGTTAAATTTTCTAAACCGCGAAAGACAGATGCAGATATTTCTGTAAACAGATTACCGGATAAGTCAAGCTCCGATAAATCTACGGTCCAAGTCTGATTGTGAGGATTTATTTGTCTTATTTGGTTGTTGTAGATTGTCAGTACCTTTAATGCATTCATGCCGTTGAAAAAGTCTGGTCGAATTTCGACTATGGGGAGTTTGTTTTCATTGAAACTGAGTTCTCTGAGTTTTGTCAAATTGGAGAAGACTAAAGGATGGAGGCTATTCAGTTTGTTGCCGAAGAAGTCTAGAACAGTGAGGGAAGAATCGCACAGAGGACCAAAGAAATCTTTAGGAAATGCACCAACAGAGCCTTCCTGGATTGTAAGCTGTTCGATGTCTGATTTTGAGATTCCGAGGATGATGTTCGCCAATACCTCGTTACTCAAAGGGTAGCCACCTAGCACCAACGCGCGAACATGCAGTGATGCGATCACATCAGGGTCTACTGATTGGATATGGTTGTGTCTCAGATCTAGAGTATCAGTGTGGCACACAAAGGTGAAATCTCTCGCTGTAAGGTGTTGTAGTCGATTACTAGCCATGCGTACAGTCTCGACCATGCCACAAGAACTTACACTGATGACGGAGAGCTGGTTGGAGGACAGATATGCAGCATCTAGATGTGGACTCCATTTTAGAGTGTCATTAGGGAGCGACTTCAAGTTTGATGCCGTTAAATGGAGAATTGAAAGCTGTGAAGACATCATGAATACGCCTGTCGCTGGAAGCACAAGACGCGGGTTAAAAGATAGAGACAGGTACATTAAGCTCTTGAGGGGGTAAAAAGCGGCGGATTCTATCACTCTTACATCGCTAGAAGAAATGTCCAAGGAGTTGATTAGAGGGTATACTTCAAACGAGGAGTTCAGGAGTTTGATGATATTGTTATAAGACAAGTTAAGCTCCTCGGTATCCTCAGAAAGATTCTGGGGAACCGTCTCCAGGCCTTTATTGCTGCAAGAAGCTTTTTTCAGTTCAAGGTTCTGATCGCATCCATGGAAAGATTTGTCCATGTCCAGTGTTATGAATGGCTTTGCCGAATCTCCATCGTGTCGATGTAAAGATTGAAAGGACGAGCTGATGAGGAGACAAGCGATGAGCAATGGGTACAAGATCGAGTCGTTTGCCATGACGTCAATATATCACCTCTGAAAAAGGAAAGGTACACCTTTGTCGGATGATAATATATCGCTCTTGAATAAATGCTAACACAAGCTCATAGAAGGATACACAAATTTGTATCCTTTGCTGCAGACGGTCAGCCTCACTTTGAGCTGTGAAAAAGCGCTCGGATTTGTTTTCCTTACAAAATTGTGGTTATCATATTCTAAATTAGGAATCAAAACTAAATACAGGTTCCGGAAACAATTATGAACGTTTTCTAACGAAACCAAAAGTCATATTGTGCATTTCCAGTTAAAATATTTAAAAATTTACTAGAAATATAATCACCCGCAAAAACGGATGAAATATTCTAACGGTTATTTTTAAAAGAACACAAAAATGAGAAAGCTAGGCGTTATGGCAAATGATTGAAGCGACAATGGAATAATTAACAGGAAATCATATGAAAAAAGCTAGTCGTATCTCATAAGGCGAATTACGTGCATATACAAATCTACTTTATTATGAAAACCGTATTCTAAAACTAGAAGATCCCTATTCAGTGCAACTTGAAATACTCATGTTTAGCATTCACTCTGGGGACCTCCCTTCTGCCTTTGCTCAAATCTTTAGAAGAAATAACCAAATTCACAGCCATAATACTAGACAGGCTTTTGCTCTCCATTTACCCTATATATGCAAGGACAACCTTCACTCTGAATACTCTAATGTACACTGGCCCCAGGTTCTGGAATTCACTTGATTCTACTATATGAGACCACACAGACGATATTCATTATTTAATCAAAAGGAGAGGCACGTTTCTGAAAAAATAGCCTATTACGTAATGTATATAGCTAAGGTAGCTAGTAGACCATTTTCGTAATGCATTCAAAGTTGATGCATAAATATTTGATAAGTGCATGTTACAATCTATTTCATTCACCTGTTATGAATCACTGTATTGCAATAGTCAGAATGCGAATTTCATACATTAATTGTTGCCAGGTAGGAAAAACCTCATGTCTTGTCCTACCTAAAAACAATCCGCATTCTGGTATTGAAATACAAATATCCGAAACAGATGAATGGAATCATTTGTAACGAGACACTGAACAAAGATTTGTGCATGAAATGTGAATACATTTCGAAAATAGTTTATTTACTCACCATCATTTGTGTATGTCGATATAAAAGTACAGTACTGTGCACATCCGGTAGGGTGAGGGTGAGGGTTAGGGTTAAGGTTAGGGTTAGGATTGTCTCTTTTTTTTAGAAAATGTTGCTACCGTTAAATAATGCGTACCTTAAAGATCGAGTGTGTCATATTTCTTATACATTCATTCGTTCGTTCGAAACGTACATAATTATATATATATTTGTAATTATGAACAAAAATCCGAAGTTCTTTTCTGGTGACATTTGATCAGTTTATTCTGAAAAATATATCTGAAGACCATAATACATTTATCCTTATTTATTAAATCAAAATATCGAAATATGTCTATTTATATATCGCAGATATATAAAATGATCTACATCGCTTTAGATTATAATTATTGTTATTATTAAGCCAAGCGAGCATATAAAGACGCTCATGCAATCACGCATTTTTTTTTTTTTTTCCTTTTTGTATAGTTCGGCACTCGAGAAGCATTATCATCGTTTTAGTTTAGGCCTTATCAATGCTTATGAATCGTTATTATTCGTATTAACTTCAAAGTTGTTAGTTTGTTACTATCATTAATATCGCTTTATTATTGCCACCATCATCATTACTTCATGGTAATTTTCTTCATCTTCTACACTTTCTTCTTCTTCTTCTTTTTCTTCTCTTCCTCCTTTTTCTTTTTCCTTTTTTTCTTCCCTTTTCTTCTTCCTCTCCCTTCTCCTCCTCCCCCTACTTCTTCGTATAACGATTATTATTATTATTATTAGAAGTAGTAGTACTAGTAGTAGCAGAAGTAGTAGTATCACTGTCATTATTGGTATTATCATCATAAACAATATTACTAATATGATATTTACTTTTATTATTATAATCATTATAAGAAGTATAGCAGTAGTAGCAATAATATTTTCATTACTTGTATTATCATCAGTAATACAACATGTATTATCATCAATATTCTGGTGATATTTATTATTCCTAATTTCATTGTGATTGTACCTATAACCTTTACTCTAGTTATCATTAACAATGTTTTCATTATTGGTTCTTATCAAAAATAAAAAGTTACAGTTTCATGCGTGTATGCAACGATATCAAACTTAATCTCCCTATAATAAATCTAGGAAAAGGGAATTTTGTGAATTTTAAAATATAAATTCTTGCACAAAGTCAACTTGCATTCAAAGTTTCCTTGTCTAAATATAAAAAAATGCAAGGATTAGCCTGAAGGTTAGTCACTTTTTTGTTTCACCGTTTTTCTACATAGGCACCTATAACACCCTCTTATCATTAAATAATCAATGTATAATCCTATTAACAATAAAACGACTAGAAATGCGACTACGTCGAGTGAGTTGAGCTGGATGAAACCCATTTCAGTAGATCGTAGACGCAGATGATCGCCACCATACTTGACCACGTGCTCTATCCAGAATACCGCCGTGTCCAGCGGACTGGCTAGTTGGTCTCGAAGGATACCAGATGCCCGCTTCGCATTAATCTTGTAGCTGAAAAATCAAAGAAACAAACACAAATTAATGAATAAGTTTTTTGTTTTTGCATTTTTTGGCTATAGTTAACCATTCAATTATAGAGAAGTGAAACTCTTCACAGAACTGTGAAACTCTTCACAGAACTGTTCATATCAAGACATGAGGTAGAGGCGTTGTGCTCTAGTTGATAAGTCACCGAACTGTTGATCACAATTTAGGTGCGGGATTCAAATCCCATCCCGGCACTGTCTTGTTGCCACTCTTCACCCAGGTATTATACCCGCTTGGATGCGAAAGTCACTGCAGTTGAATCAGCATTGAACATTGAGTGGAGAATGCGCATATATTGTGTACGGGTAGCGTCTTATTTTTTCCTAACCTAGCCATCATTTCGCTGCATATTAATATTTGAATATATGAATATTTGCGTTGGTACGGTGTGGTGGAGATAACAAAATAAATCGGTCAGATTCTGGACTAACCAGTATGTCGCAATGATAATGGACAAGTTACGACCTGGGTACCGGTAGTCATTCAATAGGGACTTTTAGATTTGCACAAAGAAAACGCGGATTGCTACCATCGACGTCATTTTAATCCACTGTCTTGAATGGACGTCACACGTATCAGTCCACGCAAATCTAAAAGTCCCTATTAACGGTAAGCCTCCCGATTTTCTCGCAATGTCATTTATTTTGATTAAACATAGCTTTGCACTTGTAAGTTTTGTATGAAATCTCATTATTAGATAAATTATCGCATCAGATTCGGTGTGCGTGCGTATCATGAATATTTATGACTATAGCGCATGACGTTTAAGTTCCTTGTGAGCCAATCGAATGCAGCGGTAGGATGGCTAGGTTGAGGAAGAAAAAAGACGCGTGCGGGTAAGGTTGAATCCGATGACTGGGGTAATAATATATACTGCGACTAGAAACAAAGTATTAGGCGCGTTATAAATCCCCCACCCGGCTCGGATACCATGCGTGTTCCCAAAATTTCCAGGTAAAGAGCCCGGCCCCCCCCCCCCCCCCACTCAGAGGTCGGAATGACCGCATGCGTGTTGCCAAAATGTCCGGTAAAGGGGTACTTTTCGTGCGACAAAGTCCGGCCCGAGAATTGTAAAAAAAAAGGGGTGTATTTGACTTTTCACCTGGAGATTTCTTTAAAAAGGGGGTGTTTTTCTTTTTTTCTCTCATCTCTATGGACTCCTGAGAAATTATTCAGAATTTAGGGGGGTACATTGAGCATTTTTCCTGATTTAGGGGGGTCTCCAAGGCAGGAAAAGCCCGCGAAAAGCCCGCGAAAGGGGGGTTCGGAAAATGTTGGCAGTCCTCAGATAGGGGGTGCCTTCAAAAAGAGGGTACGAGCATATGCGTACCCTAAATAACACTGAGTGGGGGGGGGGGGGGGGGGCCGGGGTAAAGAGGTACTTTTCACGCACCAAAGTCCGGCTCGTAGTACACAAAAATCCGGCCCGTATTGACTTTACACACCGGACTTAGGGGGGTGTTTTCAAAAGGAGGGAACATGCATATGTGAACCCTAAATAACACTGAGTGTGTGTGTGTGTATGTGTGGGGGGGGGGTTATAAATAAATGTGGTGTATTATTATTATTAAAGGGTCCAAAATTGTTTTTTGTGTTCTTATGGCAAACTAAGTAAGTAGAGTGTCAAAAGTGGCACGCCCCCCCCCCAAAAAAAAAACAGAAGAAAAGAAACAAGTCTCAGTGTATGGTGTAAAACGGATTAAACATACCTCTCATCATTGAGAAGGGTGTTAATACTCGTCCTTATCCTATCTTCATCTAAATCATTCACATCCAGAGCGAGACCCATCCCTTTCGCTTCTACCAGATGAGCGTTCGGAGGCTGATCACCACCCAGCGGCATGAGGAGCATCGGAACGCCTTGATTGATGGCCTCGTGAACCCCTGCACTCCCCGCATGGTAGATAAGCAGTCGAGCTTTGGGATGAGCTGGGAGATGAGCAAGTGATTGGTTTAGCATTAGAAAGAATGGATTAGACTACAGAGCAGCTCACCGATAGGGACTTTTAGATTCTGCACGACGAGAACGCGGACTGCCCTTTTAAGGCAATGTGACGTCACTGCCAGTGCCTTAGAAGGACGTCACATTGCCTTAAAAGGGCAGTCCACGTTCTCGTCGTGCAGAATCTAAAAGTCCCTAATTAGGCAGTCAAGGAGTTAAGGACGTTGTTCAGACGAACCCTAGTTGCGTAGGGCCAGCTGATCAGGTATCTACTATGGACAATACCAGGAACTCCATGCGCTATGCATGGTGAATAAATAAACAGTTGGCCATGCATGTGCAGCTAAGGTGCATGCGCACGAGCACGAATATTACTGCTGAACGTCTTTAAGCCCGATACACACAAGCTGTTACCCCCTACCGCCAATAGACTTTTTACTAACATAATCAAATCCATGGAAAGTTTCTTTCATGGGGACCAAGTGACGAGGTATTCCATTAATCTGTTAATTGTTAATGAACTACAATACTCGAAATTCGATCCGTCTGCATACATCATGTGTTGCTGTGTCGGCCGGGCTAGCCTCGGACAAGCAGTCATGTTAACGAGGCGTCATTTGCTGACGTAGGACTGCGTCAACAACAGACCTAGTCCATGAGGCACCATGTGAGAGTTAACATTTAGCACAGGTAGTAACGTGATTGAAATTATGTATCGTGTACAACGGGCATTGCAGACGCAGACTAGTTGCGTCACAATGGTGAAGATCGTGCTTTTGGATCATGCACGTCCATGTGTTAAATTAACAACATTTATAAACATAACAAAACAAAAACCAATAGTAATTAATACATAATTCTTACCTAAAAGGTCATTCTGTGGAAGCCAATCAGAGATCAGTGTGTTGTTGCCAAGGTAACGTGGTGTAGGACCAACGTATCTCCATATGACCCTCTGTGACAATTCGCTGAAAACCTTCGAAAATATATCGGTGAGGGCGTTGCTCCCAATATTGTTTGCCGATGATCCCTTTTGAGAAACAATAAAACAAAAGGAATGTAATTTAAAGTGGAAAAGAGATAAAGTGATGGGTGTGCATGGTCTATTCGCGAAAGGAAATCACCCCAAATTGTATCATAAATACATTATTATTACTATCTTAATGAAATAGAAGAGACTATGCTGGCAGGAACCTTGTCTGTTTCGAAGTTGGCACTTGACATGGCCCACTTCACAAAGCCTTTTGTCAATGACAGATGACAAAAATCAGTGAAAAATCTGCTGATAACCAATCAGGAACAAGGATTTCAGTAGCTTATAACAAAAACTGTTATTTGTCACTGACGACAAGTTTTGTGAAACGTACCCTAGTCCTAACATCAAACCCCATCAGCGTCATACAGTCCTGTAGAACTGATACTACCTCCTGCCACTCACGCCAGTGGTGCTACAACTTACCAACGTGAAGATAACGAACCCATGTTCTCCAGACCCTTCGACGAATGTCTCTAGATCCTCTGGGAGTGGTTTGGGTTCTTTGATGGTGAATCCACCTATCGGGATCCAGTTTGGAGCGATGGGTCTCGGGTATTCCAAGGCCCAAGTGTTATGACACAACCATAATTCTGCCCTGCTGATCATCTGCCACGGAGTCAGGTCCGGTCGGATGCCGTAAGTGCGTTGCATCTGACGGATAGGACGATAGATACTGAAGTACTCAATAATTACGTGTACACCATAAAACATTACTGCATTCTTGACGCGTTGAAAGAAAGTCATGCGGTCACCCAGCTCTGGCGTGAAGATACTGAATGGCACGTAGGAAACTGGAGTTGGAATACCAAGCATTCCTTCGTGGAAGCTTACAACTCTTCGCGTACCAGTTAGAACAATATATGGTATGTCTAAGTAGGCGGCAAGAACTGTATCACAGGTGTCCATTACAGGAAAGGTTATCAGTTTATCAAAGCGTTCACGCTGGAGCTGTTCTAGAAGACCAGTGTTCTTAAACAGCTCATCACATGCAAACGCATCTAGGCCGCTCAATTTCCATGGTCTTGGATCTTGCATTACTTCAAGCTTTGTCATGTTAATCATTTCCGAAAGCGTGTTTCTCAAGTAATCGAGCTCCTGGAGTTCCTCCTCCGTCATAGGATTCGGTAAGGTAATCTTAGACGTGTATGAATCTGGCAGAAGGCCACCCACATTCAGGTTGTCAATGATCAGTAGAGTCACGTCATGGCCGCGCTGGACGAGGGCCTGAGTGATAGTGGTGAGTGCGATGTGGTGGCTTGGTGTACGCATCAACTTAATGGACGGGAGGAGAAACCGCGCTCCATTGCAAGATTGAGAACTCACCAGTAAGAGGAAGAAAGACCAATAAGACAGGTTCAGTTTTAGTGAGGCCTTTCGTCGGAAGTGGTTCATGTCATTCATGACTGGTTGCTTTATCGAGAATAATTAAGTGGAATCAACCAAGCTAAACAGCATGGATGCCTGCAATTTATAAGTACATGTACAAAACCCTTTACTTTATAGGCACACGTGCATGCGTGCAAAATATAGATATTACGTTGATATAATATTGTGTACACACTAGATTGGGTTACCGCTTTTGACCAGATATTGTTTACACTATACAGGGGATCCATGAACATGTGAGGCCAGCATTGGAGTAGCCTTTTGACAAGGCCTCGTGACTCTGGCTATTTTCCACCCCAATCAGCGGCTGAGATGAATCTAGAGACCCGTTGTGAACGCGCGATCGAATGGCGGTAGCCATGCCGTTCACTCGGGTTTTCGCGATTAGTCTCATATATAGTCGCTGGGCGTCTATCAGACATGTGGCCTTGTTTAAAGGCTACCATTGGAGTGGCGTAATGGGGTCTAGACATAGGGGAGGGGTGAGGATTGGGGGGGGGCATGTAATATAATACTCGGTGGATAAAATGCACATTATATAGCACGGCCATTAATAGGTAGAGGACGTTGGAGGGGTCGTCAAACTCGATCATAGACTTTCGGCAACGTTCTGCACCAGTAATAATTATTTTTTGTAACATTCAACCCCCCCCCCCCCCATTATACACCCATACATTATGTACCGACACAAAATCAAAGTCATTATAATTTTATTTGATTAATGATTATTGGTCAATGTCCAAGTATCATCGACTCAAATGTGATAGTATTATATACATGACTATACAAGGCCACGCCTGTTGCATCAAAAAGTATATGCAGTCGTCATAATTGGAATTGGATTGGGAAGGAATAGGAGAGAAGGGTACGGTTGGGTTGCATCGAGGCGTGAGTTTGCTCATACCCAAGTTCATGAGGCTTGTATAAATACTATAAGACCGAGATCAAGTTAAATGTATGTTCATGGCCTATAATCGTGACGTTTGTGGCTAAAAATAAAAAGCTCACGTGGAACGTTGTTTGAATACCCTCCGCACGAACTCTCGAAAGGTGACCTCCGTATTTGTCCCAGTGACCTGAGGTATGACGACGCACTTGAGTAGTCTCATTATTCAGACTTCAATAAGAGTTGGAAGGTATAATAAAGTTATAAACCTTAATGGCCCGAATTCACAAAGGAGGTTTGTCGACAAACCTAGGTTTATGTGCGTCATATGACTCTTTTTGATACGTTTCAGACCAAGGGTCAGACAACCCTTGGTCTGAAACGCGTCAAAACGCGTCATATGACGCACATAAATCTAGGTTTGTCTACAAACCTCCTTTGTGAATTCGGGCTAATGTATTTCGAGTCCTTCAAGGTGGTTTCACGGGAAACGATTGTGGCGATGCAAGGCAACAGCGGATCAAATAGGGGGAGGGGGCAACTGTTTGAAACAATAATTATGATGCTGTAAATAATGTTCTATTTACCCACGGTAACCACATTCGTGTCAATAATGCTCTTGTTACTGAAATTATTATTACCCCAGCATTAATACACCATTATAGCAAATATGTTTTGTATACAACCACTGTAGGAAACAAATCTAGCCCGTCGTATAAAATAACTTAGAAAATGAAAGTTAATGATTTTGTTTTGTTGTACAAGGCTATCTAGACGATGTAATCACAGAATGTGGAGCAACAGGGTATGAAACGCTGAAACGGATGGCTCAAGATCGAGGAACTTGGAGAGACACTTAATATAAAATTTTGATTGGGTCACTGAACTTGTCATAAACTGACAGATCACTATTGATGAAAGCGAATCGGAGAGGAGGTCGCAAGATGTCAAGTTGCCAACTTGGGTTTCACCGCTGAATTTTTTTAAAAAATTCATAACTTTCCAATTTTAATCGGACACTAACCTATTTCTCTCATTTATTCTGCTTATATTAGAACCAACTTGATTTCAGGGTGGACTTTCCCTTTAATCGCAACTAATGTATATGTAAATATATATAAATGTAAATATGGAAGATGGGGGACGTCACCCTTGCGATTTTTTGGAGGACTTGTGATTGATTCAGTCAATCGCAACTCATTATACTTTATTATGTTTGTAGTGGCCACTAAGACTTAAAGGGGAAGTCCACCCTGAAATTAAGTTAGTTTTAATAGGAGTAGAAAAATGAGAGAAACAAGTCAGTGAAAGTTTGAGCAAATTCCGATTAAAAATAAGGAAGTTAGGATTTTTGAAGTTGTGATCAATCAAACACAAATTGGCAATTCTATGACATATCATGCGAGCTCAACTTCCATTTGCTCAGTACTAAAAAAATCTAAAATTTTCATTTTCCCTCAAGAAAAATTTCAACCATACATGCACCCTAAATATAATAATTGCAAATATGTTTCTATACTCCCCCTGCAAGGAACAAATATATATTCCGTCATCAATAACGAAGAAAACATGATTTTATGGAATATTATGCACAAAGCAAATGAAGGAGAGCTCGTATAATAAGTCACAGAGTTGCCAATTTGTATTTGATTGATCACAACTTCAATAATTCATAACTTTCTTATTTTCATTCAGAATTTGCTCAAACTTTCACTCACCTGATTTTCTTATTATTCTGCCTCTATTGAAACAAACTTATTTTGGGGGTGGACTTTCCCTTTAAGATTTTGATTTCGTGGGTCAATGATACGCAGAGGCTGACTGGCTGTGGTGAGCTTTTACCACGGGCCGCTCACTGTATTCTAACTTTAGGGCCGGTCGATTAGTGGTCTGAAGGCCGGTCGATATCACGTACCTTATCCCTTTTGGCACAAGTACCCCGAATTTAGTTGTTTGGAGCAGAACATTTTTATTATGAGTCTTAAAGGTTACTTTAAAAAATAAAACAATAAAAACACTGTCATGTAAAACAAATATCATTTCAATTTATTTATTCTTTATTCGCCTGATTAAAAAAAAAACATGTCAATTTACAAAAATATATAGATATATGCCTTTACAAATATAATCTTTTAGTTACAGTAAATTATTCTACAAACATATTGTGTGGATACAAAATTATACGGTTTGGAAGTTTAAGGCTTTATTAGCTTAATCAAGAAGGACAACATGCATATTCATACAAAAATATTTATATTTATGCATATCCCCCCCCCTAAAAAAAATCATCATTTATAATTCCTTCCTCTACAACTAGTTTATATAGATATAATGAAATACCGCGTACACGTCTCAAGTCAGATTGACAGAGTCAACATCGAAGTCTGAGTTTAAGAGGACGTTATCGTTTTGATTAGCAAGGACTATTCGATTGTCACGTAGACAAAGTGCTGCGTTTTTCAACTGGGGTGCCGCAACACAGTGGGGTGTCATAGGACATCTTTAGGTGTACCGCCCGAGAATTTTAGTAATATATATATATTTTTTAAATTATTATTTTGGACAAACGTCTTTTTCGTGAAAACGGAATGTAAAAAACCGCTTAAGTATTCAATTTCATGAGGAAATAGTATTTTTACAGATAAAAAATTGTCTTACATCCAAGCTCGCTTCACTCGCTCGCACCATTTAGAAACAGGATAATTCTAGGCAATGAGATGCCCGAATCTCCTCATTTTCTTGCATCGAATTGACCGCACACAATGATTTTTGTATTCATGTATTCGGCAGCGAGATGCCTACACTATTAATTATATATTTCATCTGATGTGTTGATTATAAAGTAAAAATGTTATCAAAATTGTCATTATTGTTTTGCTCGCTCGCTTCGCTCGGTCAAAGAACGTTTTTAAAAATGTGTTCATGTATACGTGGCGCGTAATGAGTGTCAGAGTGATGCAAAATGAATCTTCGGGTGAAGAAAATTTAAGATATAATGACTTTTCCGTTTGGGGCGATTGGTGCATGGGGAAAAAAAGTCCTGTTTGTTAAAAAACTGAATGCTGATCCTGGTGACTGACGACACCTGCCTGTTTTCGGGTATAACACCCAAATGGTGTCGAATTCCCAATGAGAGCCCACTACACTATGCGTCTTTAAACTAGGCCCACTTAAACGTTGCCCAAATCGAAATCCTTGTTTTATGAGCTCTCAAATTTCTAAGAATGTTATTACGTAAGAGTTTCGTTCATATAGAAAAAAAATCTACAGTTCATCTAGAAATAATCCTATGTTTATATTTAAATCTGAAGTGTTTAAAACAATTTTTTCCAGTGTAATATAGAGAGATAATTGTGTATATCAAGGAGAAAGCTAGTAGAAATGTGACTACAATAAGTGTATCAATTAGTCACTTTTTTGTTTTCTTGTCTTTTTACAAATGCACCTATAACACCCTCGTATGATTAAATAATTAATGTATATAAGTATTGATGATAAAACGACTACAAATGCGATTACGTCGAGTGAGTTGAGCTGGATGAATCCCATTTCAGTAGATCGTAGCCGTAGATGATCGCCACCAAACTTGAGCACGTGCTCTATCCAGAATACGGCCGTGTCGAGCGGACTGGCTAGTCGGTCTCGGAGGATACCAGAACCCTTCATAACGTTAGCCTTGTACCTGGGAGAACACCAGAAATCATTGTGATAGAGTTTGATATTTTACGTTCAGGAACCGGAACTACTTTTGCTTTGCTTTCTAAGGTGTCTTAATTCCACAATACAGTCCGCATTCATTCACATACCATTTAGATGATATGAAAATAATCATTCGTACTACTTAATTGTGTACAGATCAGTCATAATTGTTCGTTATTCTCGTAATGCTCATAATGATTAAAAACTGAAAGTCTGTGTAAACCTATTTCCTGTCATTGCGGAAATAAATGAAATGAAAATGAAGAAGATTGCAAAGCCCTTCAAATAATGAACTTATATGGTAATTTCAATCCTCTATTGCACATCCCAAAGTTGAGTGGTTTAAGCACTAGCATTACTTGAAATGCAAAGGTCGTGGGTTCAATCCCCGACACGACACTTTATGTCCCTTGGCAAGGCATTAATCTACATTTACCACTCCATACCCAGGAGAGAATTGTCAGTAATTGCCATATGCCCTTACGGAGACCATATGGTAGGAATGCTCACCGGGGAGTGGAGATGTTGGACATTGTGCATGAATGAATCCGATTACCGCGATAATGACATCTATAAAGTACTTAGAGACGGTATTTCGTATTAGGCACTATATAAATCCAGATTATTAATACTATTATTATTGTAATGTTTGCACATTTCAGGAGGTGGTGGATCCGATAAGGCTATTAATTGAATTCACCTGAGGTTTTAATTTTCGAAAGTCTTATCGACTAATCGTGTTCGTGTAAAGTTATTCCTCCAGCAAGTCGGCAGCTAAAATAAGTTAACGCCCTATCGCAAAGACGTTCGAAAAATTGAAGCTAAGGGTGATTTCATTAGCTATCAATATTAAACTTTTAGAAATCATGGCTGGATTAAGAAATGCGCAATGGTAATGTTTGTACATTGAAATAGGTGATGGATACAAGGTTCCTTCTCACTCCTTTGTTATTCTCATCTTTCCCTCCCTCCTTAATTTTTTTTTTTTTCGCTTTTGGTTGATTTCTCAAAAGTCTTTGTGATCGTGTTAGAAGAAGTTATAAGAAAATGGCGTGGATCCTAATCAAATGATTAGTTGAAAGCGTACACGTGACCAGGCATTTATTTTGCCTACCACGTAATTTTGATGATGACCGGTCACTATCAAATGCTAATGACCGGTCATTAGTAAAATCATGTTATAAAACATCAATTTATAAAAACAAATAAACATAATCTTATAAAACAAATAATACACATCATTTTGTGTATTATTTGTATACTAACTCACCTTTCCTCGGTGAGAAGATCATGAATGGCCGTTTTGAGTATCGCTTCATCCAGTTCGTTGGGATCCAGGACAAGACCCATCCCTTTCGCTGCTACCAGATTGGCGTTCTGTCCCTGGTCACCGGCCAACGGCATGAGGAGCATCGGAACGCCGTAGTGGATGGCTTCGTGGACACCTCCGCTGCCACCGTGGTAGATCAGCACACGAGCCTTGGGGTGAGCTAAAAAATGAAGTGAAAATGCTTTCTCAAATTCTCATATCATCATTTTGGCACTGAATTGCTCTGAAACACAATATTTCTATATTGTATATATTAAAAAAACAAAATTATATTATATGCAGTGATGGATCATTATTGTATCATTTCACAAAATCGCCCTAAATAGAAGTCGCGATCATCTGCATCCCATTGAAGCTCCAGTGAATTTTGATACACGCGATTCTGTGGCATGTCGTTGACCAATTTCACAAGGTATTATACTGTACCTATTATGAAAAAGTCACAGTTTAACTGTACCTAGTAGAGGCATTATCAATAGTATTTATATTATAACTATTATCATTATCATTGATATTTGTATTACTTTAATTACTATTATATATGTGAGGTCATATTAAAATTAAATCAGCCATGCTCACTTTTAATCACTTCACTTATATCTTATTTAACATTGAATACAATGCAGTTGCATGGGTTGTTCTTTTATTTTGTTAACTCGGCAGAGGCCACGGTCATGTTCAAGCATTTACGCTTACGACATGTGGTCTCCTGCTTTTTCCTTTTGTAACAGTATGAAACTTTATTTAAACTAGAAACAAACTTTGTCAAACTTACATGTTATTCATCATATTTATTTGTATGTTTCTTTGTATTGATATGAAAAAGTGGAAATAAAACAAAACAAACAAAAACAAACAATATGAGAGTACACGGTTTACTTTTGTGGGGTACTCATAAGCTGGCTATAATACGGTACAGCATATACTACTGTGTGAAAATACAAGTATAGGAGAATGAATTTGAGCGAAATCAATTTCTCCTATCTCGTTAATTCGTGCTTCAGATGACAGCAATCATTCCTATATATTCCTATATCGTCATATTTGTATATTTGTTCCTAATATTTTAAAGACGATCGATGTGCTAATGCATTATTTTGTATACAAATTTCCTTATTCCATATTGTTTTAAATGTCTCCTCTCTAAATTACGTCCTTCTCTAATGCTACGGTTTTTTCTTCTACAATTATTTATTTTTCAAGGAACCTATAATATACAAGCACTGCTTTTAAATAGGTTCCTCACATTCTACTTAATCTATTATATGAATTGAGAATCATTGAGACGTGCTCATTTATACTACATGTATTGTATAATTTCTTATTTTATATGTAGGTCTATATTTTTGGTAAAATGTGGAACAATAACACTTGAAACTTGATGTGATAGTCTGTCACAGAGTGTTTGAAGAAATTCACAGAAGGAAAACAAACTCGATAATATATGAATAGAAGGAGGAGATTGAAGATTTTTACCAACCTAACAAGTCATTCTGAGGCAACCAATCCTTGATGAGTGTGTTGTTGCCAAGGTAACGGGGTGATGGACCAACGTATCTCCAGATGACTCTCTGAGGTAGCTCGCTGAAAACTTTCGAGAACATGTCGTTGATGCCGTCCGATGCAAGCGACGTCGTCATTGACCCCTAGAATTCCGTAATCAGGAGAGAGAGAGAGAGAGATACATATATATATATATATATATATATAATGAGAGAGAGAGAGAGAGAGAGAGAAGGGGTGTGGGAATGGGGACGGGGATGCAAACATGTGTAACAAAATCGTAATAATAAAGAATAATAATAATAATATCAATCATTTATATAGGAGAACTAAAAACAAAAAGTACTATAGCGCTTACAAAATTACAGAAATTGAAAATGAAACATGAAATACAAATACGTATGACAATAGGTATAAATCGTATAGTTATTGATGGAAGAAGTACATTTCAAGTGATTTTATTTCACAGAGGGAAGACAGGTTAATTCTCTGATGGAAAGTGAGATATTTGGTTACAGTAAGAGACGACAAAGCGCGATCATCCTGAATTGATTGTGCTATAAAAAAAAATGTGGGGGCAGCATCACGAGTAGAAGTCTGACCACATCCCGGGATCTGACGGCAAACTACTGGAGCTTCCAGATTTTCTAATCAGTATTTTTAGATGAGGGTTTGTATCCGATGTAATTCTTTGACGAATTACGTCTGGAACAATTAGACTTGTGTTGAAAGAAGAAAACATGGACCTTAAGGAAGAACAGAGCCAGTTTAATAATGGCTCTGAATAGAGCATTCTAGCCGTTTTTTAATTCTTGATGTGTATTATATTTGTACATTGTATTCTTGTATGTATTTGAATATTTATACAGAAAATAGAACCAAACCAACAGAACTTACCAATGTGAACACGATGAACCCATGTTCTCCAGATCCTTGGACGAATGTCTCGAGATCTTCTGGAAGTGGTTTTGGTTTCTTGATGGTGAGCCCTGGAATGGGGATCCAGTTTGGACCAATCGGTCTCGGGTGTTCCAAGGCCCAGGTGTTGTGGCACAACCAAATCTCTGCCCTGGTGATCAGCTGCCACGGAGTCAGGTCCTGTCGGATGTCATAGGTGCGTTGCAAGTGACGGAGAGGGCGATAAGTTATAAAGTATTCCCCGATGGGATGTAGGCCATAGTGGAAGAATGCGTTTTGGACCCGCTCTAGGAAGTTCATTCTGTCGGTAAGCAACGGCGTGAATGAACTAAAAGGAACGTACGAGTTAGGAATGGGGATGCCAGCCATGTCCTCGTGGAAGGCCGGAGTACGCCGCGTCCCGGTGAAAAGGGTATACGGTACGTCCAGATAGGCGGCGATCGCTGAGTCACAGAAGTCCATCACAGGGAAAGTGAGCATCATATCAAAGCGTTCCTGCTTCAACTTCCGGAGGGTGTCTTCATTCTTGAAGAGCTCGAAACAACCAAAATACATCATCTTCTGAAAGTCCCGTCCACTAGGGTCCATAACCGATTCAAGGAAAGTACTGTTTTTCAAGATTGACATCGCGGAACCTTTAATCTTGTAAACGTAAGCAATTTCTTCATCGGTCATCGGGTTTGCGTAGGTGATGTTCGCAGTGTAAGACCCTGGTAGGAACCCCTTGGTCTCCTTCTTGTCGATGATTAGCAGGACCACCTCATGTCCCCTTTCGACCAGGGCTTTAGTGATGGTTGTTAGACTCATGTAGTGGCTTGGCATGCTCAGCAGACTGGTCGCAGGTAACAGGAATTTCGCACTTTCACCAAGGTCAAAACTGCACGCCAGGAGTACCATGAGAAAACGAAGTATTTTCGTCATTTTGAGGGCTGATGGTTGATACCAATGTTTGCTTACCGATTTATTTTTAAAAATCTTTCAGAAATTATCAAGTGGGTTAAATTCGGAGTATTATAATCGTCAGGCCTGTTGAGTACCGTGTGACTGGTGCCGTTACTGGACATCAACACCATACGTGTCCAAAGTGGATGCTTAATTGTTGCACAATTGACCGTTGAACAATGCAAATCACCAGGAAGGGACGTTCGACGTACTGCCTGAAAACCTCCACTTGTGTTTCGTGTTGATCAGTGCGTGAAAACTCTTCGAGGGATTAACGCCGGCAAGCCAATCGAAACAGAAAATATCAGTTACTCCAACGTTTCAGTAGTATATGCCATCTACGTAATTCCTATTATGTATGTACTGACTTATCTTGAAACTGCATCCAGTTACAGATAGCAGCTAGACTTGCATGACTGATACCAACTGCTGTTTAAATAATAGTATCTGAAGAAGTGTGATGAACCCTAACATTTAGAACATTGTAAAGAAGAAGCGAACTTCGATTAAAACTTGTGCGAGTTTGTAACTTTTTAATTAGGCCTACTTGGATTATTAATCAATTTTTCTAATTATGTCAACACCTATAGTACCAGTGAAATGGTTCTAAGCATCGGGGCTGTAGATTTCTGGCATGCCAAACAACCTGTTGATATCAGGTGGATCGAAATATGAAATAAGTCTCTGACGAATTAGCAAAGAACATCTCCCACATACCTTAATATTGACCCGAATATTGATCCTACTGATATCAGCGCCCGAATCAGAAATGCACACATGAGAACTCTGAATGTATGTCCATGTATTCGACTCCAAAATCAAACAATATCATCGCCCTCCTAATCATTTACAACGCACCACATACAGTCATAGGGCCTGTAGTTATCAGATATCCACTTCACCAGCAGACATGAAATGACTAAGTTTAGTTATAGGCTAAAGGCTTTATAGCATTTTCCTATTTTGTTGAACAGGATACGTGCCCGCACACAGATATTAAAATTCTGTGCAGGAATAGGACGGAAAACTATTTCAGATTTGCCTTATGTCGCGGGAAACACGTCGCGGTCAAAAGATCAATGTTGCTTTCCTGTAATTATTGTCTGCCCTGTTGGTAAAAGAAGACGCTGAAAATAAAGTTCAACTTCCATGTGATGAGAGCAAGAGGGAATTAACTCTGTTAAAGGATATGAATTTATGCCCTTCTGGTTCTAAGCTTGCACATACATGCCCACACTTGAATATCAGCGGTAAATTACACCAGTACGAGGCAGCGCAGTGACCGATCGGTCTAGGAGAGGGGATGGGGGTTATAACCCCTCCCAGACCAAGTAGATTCGGAATTCGACCCCCTCCCACTGGAAAAAATAGAGATTCTGCGTTTCAGGCTATCAAAAGGTCCCATTTGCCTAATTTGTATCTAGTATGGAATACTCTGCGCGTAAATTGACCTTTATTCTCTTTTTTCACTACTCTTGCATTTACTCAGTCGTTTATTTGTGTATTGATAACCTATTATTTAAAGCCCCAAATCGGAAGCTTTCTATAAAAAGACGGTAATCGACTTATATCTCTGAAAAGTGGTAGTCTACCACCCAAAGCGGTAGAGTTCATTCGCGTGTATGCCAGGCGCGTACGCAGGGGAGGTTTGGGGAAACGGAATGTCGATCGGTCAAATTTTTTAATTTCGGGAATCCCCCCCCCCCCCAAAAAAAAAAGCCCTGGCTAAGTCCCCCCCCCCCTCCCTGCTTATTTAGCGGCTGGCTGAGTCATTGCGAAATTTTTGGCCCGATTTCAAGATGTTAACCCCCCCCCCCCCCCTTGAAAAATCCTGCGTAGGCCACTGGTGTATGCGTACGGTTTGTGATTGACTTACCTTCTCTGCAACTTCAGCAGGTGAAACTGTTCTGTAGCTGTCAAAACTATATAGACAATTTCTCTCCTTTCCTAATTATGGACGCTAAGATCATGGACCTACTAGACATGTCCCTGCTAAGATGGTCGGTAATATATTCGTCCCGATTGGAATGCTCACTGTTAAGAAAATGAAACAAATCTGAGAAAGGAGTGCCAATATGGTTGAGGGCTCGAGGACAATGGGCCTACGGTTGACCAAACCCGCCGTACGTAACATCACACAAGGTTGACCATTTATTGTTCAAATAAAAACGCGTCTATTGAAACTCGGACTTTGGAATCTAGTCGTGGTAAACCCTACACCACAGTGCGTCCCAGAAAAAAACGAAACCGAGAATCATCGATGTTTTATCATAACTTTATTACTATTATAATGTATAATTGTATTTATGTATTCGGGCGTACCCACTACAAGCTATGCTTTTCGGGTTTCGCGCCTTCTTCCTTGTAATACAAGTTCTTTAATTATATTTATGTTCCTACTTATAAATTGTATTGTTTGGAAGAAAATAAATGTTCATTTTAATTGAATTATGATTAATAAATGACACATATTTGTGAAGCTTAGATCCTCCTCTTTCATTTGATGCAACTCACATACTCCGTTTCGTTGACGATCAGCCATTGACGAAATCATTCATGTATGGCTGATTAATTGTCAACGAAACGGAGTTAAGTCTTTTGTCAATTATGTTTGTTGCTACAGCAGGCAGCCAGTGAAAACGAATTCGTTTAAAAAAATGATGAAAATGCAAGCATTACTTTAAACAAACAGAACTTTGTCATTCCTAGCTCATGTCCTGATTGAGGTGTCATATGAAAGGGCAGAAAATGAACCTTCTAGAAATGTGACTTTCTCTTTGAAATTCAGATACCGTCCGCCAAATGACTTTTGGTACCCTTTCCTCAAATTGATTTTAATCACCCATGATCTAAGCTTTACAAATATCTGTCGTTTATCAATTATAATTGTGATTAAGTTAGAAAAAACATCGATAATTCTCGGTTTCCTTTTTTTCTGGGACGCACTGTATTCAAGCCACAAGCTCATCGATCGGCGACGTACCCAATTTCCGCTCGCCCAGTCTAAAAATTCAGACTCGTTTTGCGAATATACATGCTGTAGTATATAACTTTGTAGTTGTGCCCGGTGGATAATTGCCATGAGATGTTTACATTTACATTTACATTATAGACATTACACTTCAATGATTAAATATCGTTATGTTATGAAGAACAAATTAATGTAAAGATTCCTGAAAAATAACATGAATTATTGTGTTGAGGATATATGATAAGGAATATTTGAACACTTGCATGTACATTAACAAACATCTCGCTTAAATAATTAAAATATCGCCATGTTATGAATAAAAAACAATAGTATAATTACGATTACATGAAAATAACATTAATTTACTAGTATCTTTTGACACTGGCCCCGCATGGATACGCGTAATTTAGATTCAAAAGGCCTGCTCATGCGAAAACGAAAGCTTGATCTTATTATGTGTACATAAAATGACATTGCTGCTTAGATCGATTTGCATGGTGATGTAGATATACAGTAGGATTGCAGATTTCGGGGTAGATTTGCGGTTGTACCATGTGAGAGAGGACTCAGGACTTCCCAATCCTCCCCCTCTCTCACATGGTGCGACCGCAAGCCTACTTTATAAAATGACATTGTACTGTACCATGGACCTACTAAGTAGGTCCATGGTTCGTACAGTCTAGACTATAGCGATGCGTGCGCTCGTAAGTAGTTAATTCATAGCCTCAAGGCACGTACAGCGTGTCTACAATTTAACTACTTACGCGCGCACGCATGTCCGGGACGGCATATACACGTGGCTTGTCTGGAGCGAACTGAATGTATACTGTTATTCCAAGTGATTGTTGTAAGTTTTCGAGGAAGCGACCAGCGATGGCTGCCATCAATCACTTTCAACGAGACACCTCACTATTTTTGAGGCCGTCTTATTTGTCTCTCCTCATACTGCTGATGGTGACTTCCCAATCATGCAACGGAGCACGGTTTCTCATGCCATCCACGGGGTTGATACGAACAGCAAGCCACCACATCGCACTAACCACTATCACTCAAGAGCTGGTCCAGCGCGGCCATGAAGTGACTCTACTGATCATTGACAACCAGAATGTGGGTGGCCTTCTGCCAGATTCCTACACATCGAAGATAACCTTACCAAATTCTATGACGGACGAGGAACTTACGGAGGCGGCTTATGTACACAGCACTATCCCAGAATTGACTAATAAGACATTCCTAGAGGTTATACAGGATCCAAGACCTTGGACTATGTTACACCTGCATTCGTTTGGTTGTTTTGAGCTGTTTAAGAATGTGGATATTATGGAACAGTTACAGCGGGAACGCTTTGATAAAATGATAACCTATCCTATCTTGGATGTATGTGATATAGTTCTCGCTGCCTATTTAGACATACCATATATCGTACTAACCGGTACAAGAAGAGTTCCAGCTTTTCACGAAGGAATGCTTGGTATTCCGACTCCAGTATCCTACGTGCCATTCAGTCTTGGAACGCCAGAGCTGGGTGACCGCATGACTTTTATTCAACGCGTCAAGAATGCAGTTGCATTTTATGGCATGCATAGTATTAGTGAGTACTTCACAGTCTATCGTCTAATAGGCCAATTGCAACGCACCTATGGCATCCGTACGGACCTGACTCCGTGGCAGATGATCAGCAGGGCAGAGCTTTGGTTGTGCCACAACACTTGGGCCTTGGAATACCCGAGACCCATCGCTCCAAACTGGATCCCTATTCCAGGGCTCACCATCAAGAAACCAAAACCACTTCCAGAGGATCTCGAGACATTCGTACAAGGATCTGGAGAACATGGGTTCATTGTTTTCACGTTGGTAATTAAGTCTTTATTTCATCCTGGTCGTGCAGTGCAATGGTCGAGGTGAGGTCGTTATGGGTGGCAGAGAAAGGAGTGGGATATCTAGGGGACGGGGTTCTCCAGCAATAGGGACTTTTAGATTTACACGACGAGAACGTGGACCGCCACGTGTGACATCCTTTTAAGTTAATGTGACGTCCTTTTTAGGGAAGATCTAAATAAGTATTATCTTTCAAATGCAGTTGGAATTTAACTTTTTCATTTTTTTGGCCTGCAAATGGGACATAGTACCTTTAACACAATCTCACACGCGGCAGTCCACGCTCTCGTCGTGTAAATCTAAAAGTCCCTAGTGATAGTCTAGTACTGACGTGGGTGATATGAGATAGGAGCGGTCAGTATGCAGGGGCAGAAGGTGGGGATGGAAGCTGGGATCACAAGCCCTTGTCCCATAGTGGACAGACAACATGACAAGGATCAATCAGTCTCATATCTTCCTCGCCTCTTGTCAACTGTCAGATTTCCTCCTTTTTCTAGACTATTCTGGGGAGTTTATTTTAGCGATGCATACATGCGATTGTTGAGTATCTACATGAGTGTTGTTTTTAATGCCGTAATTATCATCACTTCAATAACAAAAACAATCCATTGTGATGTGCGCGTCGATTACACTTTCTCTCCATTTCTCTTTTTCTCTTTCTCTCTTTTTCTCTTTCTCTCTCTCTCCTTACTCTTATTTCCTCCTATTGTTTTGTTGTTTCCATGAAGGGATCATCATCAAAGGCTCTTGGGAGTGACGCCCTCAACGACATATTTTCCAAGGTGTTCAGCGAATTGCCACAGAGGATCTTATGGAGATACGTTGGTCCTACGCCCCGTTACCTTGGCAACAACACATTGATTTCTGATTGGCTTCCACAAAATGATCTTTTAGGTTAGAATTGAATACCATTATTGAAATTATTATACCTTCTGTATTTTTAGATGCCCTTGGACATTGACTTTTGAGGGGAGGGGGAGTGCATTTAAAAAATGTGTTTTTATTTTTAAGAAATTGTCTTCATTTAAAATATGAAATTATGATCCCAAAGTAAATGTTGATAATCGTGACGCTTAATTAGCTATCTCTAAGACTAAATCGCAGTTACTTGTTCGTAGGTTATCACGAGATTCACTTCATACATTTGTCAGGTTATCATTGTTTTTTGATCATGAGGCTTTTGCAGTTGAAACCTTTTTCTTTCGACGTAACAATCAACCTCTTTCTTTTAATATTATACAGCTCATCCCAAGGCTCGAATGCTGATCTACCACGGCGGCAGTGCAGGGATCCATGAGGCCGTCCATCACGGCGTTCCGATGCTCCTCATGCCTATAGGTGGTGATCAGCCATCAAATGCCCATCTGGTAGCAGCGAAAGGAATGGGTCTCGTACTTGACCCAAATAATTTGAACGAAGATGAGATCAGGACTAGTATTAGCACCCTTCTCAATGACGAAAGGTAAGTCTTCTTTTGTATTGCTAATAAAAGGAGCTAATTGTTTGCACGTTTTTATACAATGCCAAATCACAAAATTCAATTACACTTTAAGCAGTTGCTATGTCAGAAATATCAGGCAACACCATGAAAAGAAGGGTTTCAATGTGCATTGTACAAAAACATACAATGCTATTGTGAACAGGTGGTCAGTTGATGGGAAGGGGCATACCAATGTCTTTAGTACATCTAGCTGACTGAAGAATGCAGGCATGATGATGTCACAGAAGTCATTTGCTTTTAGAAGTCTTTTTAAGGGGTGGAGCTTAGCAGGTAAACCAAAAGTAATAGAAAAAGTAATAGAAAATTATATATGACATAAATTTACATTAGAAAGTCAAAAGGTATGTGATGTATACTTTATTACAGATCAAACAAAAGTCAACATGAATTCGTATTTTCGCCACCCTTTAAAGCCAGGATATTTATTGACATCGTTACTGCTGTAATATAGTTTAAACCGCGCCATCTTTAGGTGAAGTCGTCATACATAGAGCGATTTCCGATTCCAGTACCCACGCAGGATATGCGCAAGTCGTGCAGTCGGTGATGCATTGTGGGAAATGGCTGTCCACACATCGGGACATATTGTGAGCAGCAGATGGCAATATACGTAAATATGAAGTAGAGTTAGTAGAATACTCTAATAAGTAGCGAACCAAAGTTTCACTTTTGCTATTCATTCAAGATTTTACTTTTTTGTTTTCTTTCTGTTTCTTTAATTCTTTCCCATTCACAGCTACAAGGTCAATGTTAAAATGGGTTCTGGTATCCTCCGAGACCGACTAGCCAGCCCCCTGGACACGGCCGTATTTTGGATAGAGCACGTGGTCAAGTATGGTGGCGATCATCTACGTCTACGATCTACTGAAATGGGTTTCATCCAGCTCAACTCACTCGACGTAGCCGCATTTCTAGTCGTTTTATTCTTAATAATAATATACATTGATTACCTAGTAATTAGAGGGTGTTACAGATGTGTATGCAAAAGAACGAGGAAACAAAAAAGTGACTAATTGTTAGACTAAAGCCATTATCTTTTGTTTTAATTATCGACGGAAAACATGAAAAGAATATGCATCTTGACCTTGATTTGAAAAAAATGATCCTTTCTTTAAATCCGGACTGCACTACTTGTATTTACTTGCGCCCTCTTTATAGCCAGCAAAGTCTAAGCGGTACCCGTTGATCCCCCATGGTCCCCTTTTTCTTATGTTAATTGAGAGCTGATTTGATGAGATAACCACCTGCCAGTGACTATGCAGGGAGGTCTAATCCTTCCAGGCCAAATGAGTGCAGAAAGGCTTTAAAATGTTATACCATTTTTCGAGCATGATATATTCATCCTGGTAAGAATTACTTGAATCGTTGGATTTTCTACCTTTTATAGTTTTTTTGTATCGTTTCGTCAAAGGAAAAAATATATTATAATGATACCATTATTACAATTTTCTAAATACGAGCTTGTCTGTTGTCATTTCCCCTCACATGAATGTACGCCACTTACAATAAATAAATGTGTTGTTTTAGACAAGAAACAAAGGAATATTTGTCGCTGTGTCGTTAAATAATGTGTAGATCATAATCGAAAAATGCAAGGTGACCTTGATTTTTTATTGCATGTATGCGTACGGTTTGGACTGACTAACCTTCTCTGCAACTTCACAAGACGAAAATCCAATTGAAACCAATTGTACACCAATTGAATTTTCAATTGGTTTCAATTGGTTTGAATTGGTCTCGATAGGCTTAACAGGTTTCAATGGGACTTTAATAGGACTTTAGATGTTTTCAATTGGACCGAGTGGCCTAGGCCCCATTAGACTTTAATGGGACCCCAATCGGTTTCAATTGGACCAATTGGCCTTAAGTTGGACTTCATTTGATCCAATTGAAACCAATTGAAAACCTTTTAAAGTCTAATGGGGCCGATTGGTCCAATTGAAATCCCATTAAAGTCTACTATATGGCCAATTGAAACCAATATAAACCAATGGGCCCCATAGAAACCAATAGGACCAATGCTCAATAGAAACTAATTGGACCAATATAAACCAATATGACAAATAGAAACCAATAAGACCAATAGAAACCAATAGGACCAATAGGACCAATATGACCAATATGACCAATAGAAACCGATAAGACCAATAGAACCCAATGGGACCAGTAGAAACCAATAGTAACCAGTAGGACCAATAGAAACCAATAGAAACCAATAGATCTATGTATCTCATTCATATTCATTATTACTTTACACCTATCACAGAAGAATACATTTATCGTGATTTGTTAAGCACATTATGACAAATGCACATCAAGTTTGTGATTTCTATTTTCCTTAAGCAATTATTGACGAATTATTTGTCTGATCATGTTTCAATTACATTCACGTTTTAGCAATAGACATATTGATTATAGTTATGATTACTAACCAAGAAACAACATGCATGTTTATTATAAAAGTGTGTACGAGCCTATATTTGTTCAAGAGTTAATCTTTAATTCACTTCAAATGATCTATGTGATGGAGTTAATACAATTGAGATTAGAATATACCTAAATGGTGGACAGTTGCCAATACCGATAATGAAGTATCAGTTTATCACTGGTTCTACCTGGATCGATTTACCAATTGAATCCTCTTGGAATGTCCCCATTGAATCCCAATGCAATACCGATTGTCCATTTGGAGTACATGGAAAGTTAAACAAAGGGTACCTATTTGAACCAATTGGAAATTGGTCCCCATTAAAACCAATTGCCAGTTGGTTTCAATGGGGACCAATTGTTTCACTTTCCATGTACTCCAAACTGCCAATTGGTATTCAATTGGGATTCAATGGGGAAATTCAATGGGGATTCAATTGAATTTTCGTCTTGGGCTAGCTAGCTGCAGGTGACACTGTTCTGTAGCTGTCAAAACGATATAGATAATTTCTCTCTATTCCAAATTATGGACGCTAAGATGATTGGAAATATAACTATATACGACCCGATTGGAATGCTCACTTTGAGGAAACTGAAGAAAAAAATCTGAGAAAGGAGTGCAAATATGGTTGAGGGCTAAATGACAATAGGCCTACTGTTGACCAAACCTGTCGTTACACCACACAATGTTGATCATTTATTGTTCAAATAAAAACTTGGACTTTGGAATCCAATATGAATATGAATATGAATATGAATCTATTATGGTGGTAAACCTACAGAGACTATTCAAGCCACAAGCTGGTCGATCGAAGTACTTATAGACGAACTATCTCTTATTTCCGCTCGCCCAGTCTAAGAATTCAGACTCATTTGCGAATATACATGCTGTAGTAAATAACGTTGCGGTATAGTAACCGGTGAATAATTGCCGCGAGGATGATTAGGAATATATTGACATTTACGTTTACATTACAGACTTTACACTTAAATGATTCAAATATCGCTATGTTATGAAGAACAAAATGAATGTAAAAAAAGGCCAGCTATCATATGCGAAAACGAAATCCCAATCTTATTATTTATAGTGTGCATATAAAATGACATTGTACTGTTGTACCATAAACCTACATACGTAGGTCCATGGTTGTACAGTCTAGGCACGTACGATGTGTTAGGGCACGTACGACACACACATTCGGCACGTACACGGGCGTGTAACTCTATAGAATAACATCTTATATAGATCTCTATGCGTGTAACTGCTTACGCACGCATGCACACACTCTCCCTGTCTGGATCGAGCTGGATGTATTACTGTTTCGAGAAAGCATCGACCAGCAATGGCTGCCATCAGTCCCTTTCAAAGAAACGTCTCACAATTGTTAAAGTCGTCTCATTTGGCTCTCCTCATACTGCTGATGGTGACTTGTCAATCATGCGACGGAGCACGGTTTCTCATGCCATCCACAGGGTTGATACGAACAGCAAGCCACCACCTCGCACTAACCACTATCACTCAAGAGCTGGTCCAGCGCGGCCATGAAGTGACTCTACTGATCATTGACAACCAGAATGTGGGTGGCTTTCTGCCAGATTCCTACACATCGAAGATAACCTTACCAAATTCTATGACGGACGAGGAACTTACGGAGGCGACTTATGCAGTGAACACCAGGGCGCAATTGAATAATAAGACATTTATGGAGGTTATACAGGATCCAGGACCATGGACTACGTTTCGTCTGCATTCGTTTGGTTGTTTTGAGCTGTTTAAGAATGCGGATATTCTGGAACAGCTTCAGCGGGAACGCTTTGATAAACTGATAACTTTTCCTGTCATGGAACTATGTGATATCGTTCTTGCTGCCTATTTGGACATACCATATATCGTACTAAGCGGTACAAGAAGAGTTCCAGCTTTTCACGAAGGAATGCTTGGTATTCCAACTCCAGTGTCCTACGTGCCATTCAGTTTCGCAACGCCAGAGCTGGGAGACCGCATGACTTTTAGTCAACGCGTCAAGAATGCGGTAATGTTTTATGGTGTCCACGTTATCCTTGAGTACTTCGCAGTCTATCGTCCAATTAACCAATTGCAACGTACCTACGGCATCCGACCGGACCTGACTCCGTGGCAGATGATCAGCAGGGCAGAGCTATGCTTGTGTCATAACACCTGGGCCTTGGAATACCCAAGACCGATTGGTCCAAACTGGATTCCCATTCCAGGGCTTACCATTAAGGAACCCAAACCACTCCCAGAGGATCTGGAGACATTCGTCCAAGGATCTGGAGAACATGGGTTCATTGTTTTCACGTTGGTAATTAAGTCTTTATTTCATCCTGGTTGTGTCACTGACACGATTGAAGTGAGGTCGATATGGGTGGCAAAGAAAGCAGGGGATATCTGGGGGAGGGGGGGGGGAGACGGGGGATGGGGGATTTTAGATTTGCGTGGACTAATACGTGTGACGTCCATTCAAGGTATTGCATTTAAAGGATGTCGATCGTAGCAATCCACGTTGTGCAAATCTAAAAGTCCCTAATGACATGCCACCAGTACCACTTTTTTACTGACGTGGGTGATAGGCGACGGGATCGGTCAGACTGGTGCAGGAGGTGGGGATGGAAGCTTGGATCACGAGCCTTTATCCCATAGAGGAGAGACAATGTTCTTCGTCAGTATGGCAAAGATCAGTCTTGCTCTTCACTTTCTGTCAACTTTCAGATTGCCTACCTTTTCTAGACTTTTTGGGGGAGTTTATTTCAGCGACGCATACGAGCGATTGTTGAGTATCTACACGAGTGTTTAATTTTAAAAAAATGACGTAATTATCATCACTTCAATAACAAAAACAATCCATTGTGATGAGCAGGTCGATTACACTTTCTCTCCTTTTCTCTTTCTCTCTTTTTCTCTTTCTCTCTCTCTCTCTCTTTCTCTTTCTCTCTCTTTCTCTCTCTCCTTACTCTTATTTCCTCCTATTGTTTTTGTTGTTTCCATGAAGGGATCAACATCAATGGCTCTTGGGAGTGCAGCCCTCATCGACATATTTTCCAAGGTGTTCAGCGAATTGCCACAGAGGGTCTTATGGAGATACGCTGGTCCTACGCCCCGTTACGTTGGCAACAACACATTGATTTCTGATTGGCTTCCACAGAATGATCTTTTAGGTTAGCATTGAATACTATTATTGAAATTGTTATACCTTTCTGTATTTTAAGATGCCCTTGGTCGTTGACTTGTGAGGGGGAGGGGGAGTGCTTTAAAAAAAAATGTGTTTTTATTTTAAAGAAATTGTCTTCATTTAAAATATGAATTATGATCCCAAAGTCAATCTTGATTATTGTGAGGCTTCCGCTATCTCTAAGACTAACTCGCAGGTACTTGTTCGTAGGTTATCACGAAATTCACTAAATGTATTTTTCAATTAGTTATCATTGTTTCTTGACCATGAGGTTTCTGCAGTTGAAACCTTTTTCTTTCGACGCATCAATCAACCTCTTTCTTTAAAGTAGATATTCATTGATTTTAAAAACTAACTTTACTTTCATTATTGCAAAGTTGAAACTTTGATTCGACAAGGTTATCAAAATTCAATGCTTGGAAACATTCGAATTAATAATTATCATAAATTACAAAACGCTTAAATACAGCCCCGGCATATCACCTGAAGAGCTCTCCGAACGCTGCTAAGATATGTGAGATCACAGTATGGACATGACTTGCACAAGCAGACGATGTCCCATGACATCTCACACATTTATAGTGCCTGTGTTTTCGTCTTCTCTCGAGTTCTTTCTCTTACTTCACTACCGTCAGGCTAAATGTATAATCTATTGCCTCACTCTAAACCCCGCGCATGTTTTTATTTTGATGACAAATGTAGCGATACAAAAATAAAGGAATCTGTCGCTTGTAACGAAATAAGACGCCATTGTATATTCAGCTGCACACACCGGGGTATGTTCGGCGTTTTAAGAGGGAACAAATGCCGTCCCTAATATCATTCCAGGGGTTTTTCAATTTGAAAGTCTGGTTTCTTTGATTGTTAATTAACCCCTATCCTGTGTATTTGCAAGCAAAAGATTTTAGTTATCAGAATCGGGTCATATCCCCTTTTGAATGGTTTGACATGCCATTACATTTAAATACACTAAACTCATTATAATTTGAGAAATAATGGCTTTGCAATTATGTTCATTCTCTATGGGATGTCGTCTGCTTGGGCAGTGTTGGTCCATATAGTGACGTCATTAAAACATCGTTATTTTCCGGCGAATCTCTCGTATATCCCAGCTGCTATGGAGGTGGTTGTATTTGTATTTTTTATAAATCACCCGATATGTAGTTAACCTAAAACTTGTCCGATGGTCATCTGTTAGCTTACCAGTTTCTAGTGATACATTAGTTGACATATTTGTGATCTTCTTTGAATTTCACCTTTAATATTATACAGCTCATCCCAAGGCTCGAATGCTGATCTACCACGGCGGTAGTGCAGGGATCCATGAGGCCGTCCATCACGGCGTTCCGATGCTCCTCATGCCTATGGGTGGTGATCAGCCATTAAATTGCCATCTGGTAGCAGCGAAAGGAATGGGTCTCGTACTCGACCCAAACAATTTGAACGAAGATGAGATCAAGACGAGTATTAGCACCGTTCTCAATGACGAAAGGTAAGCAGAATTCTGTCCAGATCATGAAGGTAGGGTCGATGGTTCATCAACGCCACGTATTGACTACATCAGTTTCAGTTACATGACGTTCTTTAGAAAAGCCTCTGTATATAACATCGGATACCTTTGTTTATCGACCCCCTGCTCCACCCTCTACATTAAAAGGGAATCCAACCGTTATATCAAACTACTCTAGAAGTAAGCAGAGAGGCAGACTCAGTGGTGAAAGTTTTAATGAAATCGGACAAAAAAGAAAGTTATGAACTTTTAAAAGTTGTTTTCACTGAATCTGTAATGTCTCTAATTCAGTGGCGGATAACTTTCCCATTTTATCCAACACACAAAATTACCGAAATTATATATTTAAGCTTTTGCTATTCATTCAAGATTTTTTTTACTTTTTTCTTCTTTCTGTTTCTTTCTTTCTCATTCACAGCTACCAGGTCAATGCTAAAAGGGGTTCTGGCATCCTTCAAGACCGCCTGGCCAGTCCGCTGGACACGGCCGTATTCTGGATAGAGCACGTGGTCAAGTATGGTGGCGATCATCTACGTCTACGATCTACTGAAATGGGTTTCATCCAGCTCAACTCACTCGACGTAGTCGCATTTCTAGTCGTTTTATTCTCAATAATAATATACATTGATTACATAATGATTAGAGGGTGTTACAGATGTGTATGCAAAAGAACGGGGAAACAAAAAAGTGACTAATTGTTAGACTAAACTCATTATCCTTTTGATTAATTATCGACTGAAATTTAAAGAAAATATATATTTCTAGACCTTGATTTAAAAAAAAAAAATCCTTTCTTAAAAATGTTAATACCATTTGCGAGCTTGATGTGACGAATTTAGATGATTATGTTTGTATCATGCGCATAGTTCATTATTTTTTCGGTATATATTGTTGCTTGCTGTGCAAGTGAAACTCTATAGTCCATGAGTAGATTTACGACATGTTTTTCGGCAGTACCTGCGCGTCCTCCGTTTAAGCCCAGGGCCACGTTCGTCTAGAGGGTCTGTCATTGTCTTACGTAACGGCAAGGACAGACACTCAGTCGCGTGCGACCCTAGACTGACCCCGAGCGGAGGTCGGACTTTGCATAAATCCATGGCCTCGCTCATCAAGAGAGTCTGCCCTCGGCAGTACCTGCGCGTCCTCCGTTTAAGCCCAGGGCCACGTTCGTCTAGAAGGTCTGTCATTGTCTTACGTAACGGCAAGGACAGACACTCAGTCGCGTGCGTCCCCCGACTGACCCCGAGCGGAGGCCCGAATTTGTCCTCAGTTTTAGGACAGACTCTGCCCTTTAACTCGAAGTCGGACTGTTTTCTTGCTGGAAGGTTGTCTGGCTAGAAAACAGTATAAATATAGCTTCCTATATAAGACAGGGATCGAGATCTAAAATCGAGAGACATTTCCTCAAGACCGTCTTGAGACTTCTCCTCGAAACTCTTTTCTGCCGCTTTCCAAATCTGCAAGCGTTCTGATAATACACTGTACATGGCTGTATTTAGTACCAGTTTAGAGAGCACGATTTTTACCGAGTTGTCATTATTTAAAGTAATAAACGACGAATAGAACTGAAATTGACGATCGACCTACTCCATTTCTTCTGTCGCATTTGTTTTGTATACACGCATGAATACGAGAGATACTAAGTGAGATGAGAACTAATAAGAGACAAGCGTTCGAGAACGAGAGCAGTATTAAACAGTTGTAATAAAATTCCGTTACAATATATTCATCCTGGAAAGCATTACTTGAATCGTTGGATTTTCTAACTTATATTTTTTAGGTATCATTTCGTTAAAGGAAAAAAATACATTATAATGATACCATTTCTACAATTGTCTAAATACGAGCTTGTCTGTTGTCATTTCCCCTAACATGATGTACACCACTAACATTAAATAAATGTGTTGTTTTAGACAAGAAACAAAGGAATATGTGTAGCTGTGTCGTTAAATAATGTGTAGATAATAATCGAAAAATGCAAGGTGACCTTGATATTTTAAGCAATAAACCTATCTTTGTTCCTTTTTCCGTACATTATAATTCTTGCCTGGTAACTTGACTCTTTGGATGGAACCTTAACATATGCCTCGTTGACACTTGCACGAATTACAGTCCCGCACTGCCCCGCTCTATGGCGTGCCAAAGAGTGGCACGCATTCGCACGCAGGGTCACGTCGAATTTACGAATAGTTCACGCAGTGCGTTATGCCATGCGCATGTCATGCGAAAACTGCGCGGGAAGTATGCGGAGCCAATGCGCAAATTGTGAGCAAATTAGTCGTTAACTAGTCGTAAACATGCGTGCCACTATAGGCCAACAGACACGCATCGGCGCTCATGGGCGCGCACTGGCACGACTAGGTAGCGCATAGGGTGCACATAGTTCACGAACGTTGCCAAACAAAATTGTCGTGCCAAAATTTTGACAATTTTGAAAATTTTGTCACGCATTTCACGCACGGCCCGCATCCTCCCGCACGCTACTTAGAATACTTCCCGCATTGGCACGCAAGGGTTTGTGTCAATGCGCAAACTATGCGCAAACCAAAAATGCGGGCAAGTGTCAACGGGGCAATAGAGGGCGGTGTCTCCTAAATTACATTAGATCCATCCATACACAGAATGTGATCAACTACAAAAGTCGAAAGAACGATGATAATAACAGACGAACATCCAACTAGATTGAGGATGTCGGTATTAGCCTTCTAACATCTAACAATCTTAAAAGACCGACAGCCAACGAGATCAACATATTTCTATCTTCATTTATGTAGTTTCTGTCGGTCTTCTGGGATGACGTACGTACCCATATCAATGTATCAAGCATACGACTGAAAAGTCCAATATTTTCGACTAAACGCCCTAAAAGGCATTATGGGTTGCATTGCCCATACCCACAACTGGCCCTCTTCCTGGATGCATTAGAGTTAAAGATGCCCTTAATATCCGAAGACATCAACGCAGATCTCTTATGACATATTACCCAGTAAGGATGTGCTTGTAGGTTTTATGTTTCAAGCTTTGCATCGATCCCTTCTAAGTCCCTTTTCCCGATTTTGTTATAATTTTTATGATAGTGCATTGCACCTCCTGACTGTGAAATCTTGCCGTCACCTCTGAAATATTTTTATATTTTTACTTTTTATTTTTACTTTTTATCAATGATATATCACAATCAATCAAATCTGGTGTTCTAACTATATATGCTGATGATGTTATTTTATTTGAAATAGGGAAAGATGTGCAAACAATAACCTCTAGACTTCAATCAAATATTGATTCTATTAATGATTGGTACAAACAAAACCACCTAAGAATTAATGTTGACAAAACAAAGAGTATATTATTGCAAACGCGTTCCCATGACATTCTGAAAATATATATTGATGGAATTGAAATTGAGCAGGTCAAGTCCATACGATACTTAGGCGTTGAAATTCATGAAAATTTAAAATGGGATATTCATGTAAATAACCTATGCAAATCTATAGGATACAAGATCCGTTCTCTTGGGAAACTGAGGAAATTTCTTAGTTCTTCTTTACTGAACACTCTTTATAAATTTACAATACAACCCTGCATCGATTATGGTATTTCTGTCTGGGCCAACAGTGCAGATAAACATAAAACTAAACTACAAAGATTACAAAAACGAGCCGCACGTTATATAACTCGCAACTTTGACCTAAATGTTTCTTTCAAAACACTTTCAAAAAAATTAGCTTGGCAAGACATTAATGAAAGAAAAGACTACTTTCTTGCCACACAAATGTTCAAATGTATACATGGTCTAGCCCCTCCACAGCTTTGTAATGATATCGAAATGTTTTGTGAACGACATAATCATCATACTAGGAACAATGATAGTCTTAATGTAGTCCCACCTGAAGTCCACCTCTCAATTTTTAAACAAGCCTTTAAATTTTCCAGTGCTAAGCGATGGAATGGCATCCCCCACTTTATACAAAATGCCCAAACAATTGAAACTTTTAAATTGATTTATAAGAAGTTTTATTTTTAATTTAATTTTTGTAAATATTTACATCTATTGTGCTTTTTTGTATATATATATATATTTTTTTAATGTATTTTATTAAAATGTATAATACAATAGCATGATATTTCTAATGATGCTTACATTTCTGAGATTTTACTATGTTGTTTTAACTTTATGTCAACATATGCAGTTAAATTATTTGAAACGTTGTTAAATATTTCACATGTGATTTGCTTTTTAATGTTAACAGGACCATGTTGAAAAACAGTATACCTGAACATACTATCCTGTATAAAGATGTTTTAATAAATAAATAAATAAAATAAATAGACCTCGTAAAACATGCAAGAGAATGTGATATGCCTATACATACATGAAAATAGTCTTAAACTCTGGTCAAGAAACTGGGAATCAATCTTACTTGACCTAGAACCTAAGTTAAACCAGGTGAGACTATGTCCAACTTTGTGAAGATACGACCCAGGTAGAATAAACCAGTGTATATAGCGTAAAACAGGATGCCGCATAATGGAACAGGAGATGTAACGTAGATGGCGACCAAACCCGCCGTAACACACACACTGTTGACCATTTATTTTTCATATAAAAACGCGTCTATATTGAAATTTGGACTTTTGAATCTTTCATCGTAGTAAATCTACATACACTATTCAAGCCACAAGCTGATCGATCGAATTACCAATAGACGAACTACCTTTTATTTCCGCTCGCCCAGTCTTAGATTTAGACTCATTCGCGAATATACATGCTGTAGTAAATAACTTTGTGGTTGGGACCGGTGAATATTTGCCGCGTGGATGATTAGGAATACATTTACATTTACATCTACGTTTACATTACAGACTTTACACTTCAATGATTAAATATCGTAAATAATGTTTTAAAAGGGCCAGCTCATGCGAAAACGAAACCATAATCTTATTATTTATGCATATAAAATGACATTGAAAATGACCTACTTAAGTAGGTCCATGGTTGTACAGTTAAGAACATCTTATATAGATCTCTATGCGTGTAACTGCTTACTCATGCACACATTGTGTGTTGTCTGGATCGAGCTGGATGTATACTGTTTCGAGGAAGCATCAACCAGCAATGGCTGCCATCAGTCACTTTCAACGAAACACCTCACAATTGTTAAGGTCGTCTTATTTGGCTCTCCTCATACTGCTGATGGTGACTTCTCAATCATGCAACGGAGCACGGTTTCTCATGCCATCCACGGGGTTGATACGAACAGCAAGCCACCACCTCGCACTAACCACTATCACTCAAGAGCTGGTCCAGCGCGGCCATGAAGTGACTCTACTGATCATTGACAACCAGAATGTGGGTGGCTTTCTGCCAGATTCATACACATCGAAGATAACCTTACCAAATTCGTTGACGGACGAGGAACTTACGGAGGTGGCTTATGCAGTGAACACTATGCCGCAATTGACTAATAAGACATTTCTGGAGATTATACAGGATCCAAGACCTTGGAATATGTTACGTCTGCATTCGTTTGGTTGTTTTGAGCTGTTTAAGAATGCGGATATTATGGAACAGCTTCAGCGGGAACGCTTTGATAAAATGATAACCTTTCCTCTCATGGATGTATGTGATATCGTTCTTGCTGCCTATTTAGACATACCATATATCGTACTAAGTGGTACACGAAGAATTCCAGCTTTTCACGAAGGAATGCTTGGTATTCCAACTCCAGTGTCCTATGTGCCATTTAGTTTCGCAACGCCAGAGCTGGGGGACCGCATGACTTTTAGTCAACGCGTCAAGAATGCAGTAATGTTTTATGGTGCCCACGTTATCATAGAGTACTTCGCAGTCTATCGTGAAATTAGCCAATTGCAACACACCTATGGCATCCGACCGGACCTGACTGCGTGGCAGATGATCAGCAGGGCAGAGCTTTGGTTGTGTCATAACACCTGGGCCTTGGAATACCCGAGACCGATTGGTCCAAACTGGATCCCCATTCCAGGGCTCACTATCAAGAAACCAAAACCACTTCCAGAGGATCTCGAGACATTTGTCCAAGGATCTGGAGAACATGGGTTCATTGTTTTCACGTTGGTAATTAAGCCTTTATTTCATCCTGGTCGTGTCACTGACATGGTCGAGGTGAGGTCGTTATGGGCGGCAAAGAAAGCAGGGGGTATCTGGGGGGGGGGGGAGGGGGTGACGGGGTTCTCCAGCAATGACATGCCACCAGTACCACTTTTTTTTTACTGTCGTGGGTGATAGGAGATAGGATCGGTCAGACTGGTGCAGGAGGTGGGGATGGAAGCTGGGATCACAAACCTTTGTTCCATAGTGGAGAGATAATGTTCTCCGTCAGTAAAGCAAAGATCAGTCTTCCTCCTCGACTTTCGTCAACTTTCAGATTGCCTAATTTTTCTAGACTATTGGGGAGGGGGAGGGGATGGTTTATTTCAGCGATGAATACCCAAGACGAAAATCCAATTGAACCAATTGAACACCAATTGAATTTTCAATTGGTTTCAAGTGGTTCCAATTGGTTTTAACTAGTCCTGATAGGTTTTAACAGGTTTCAATGGGACTTTAATAGGACTTAATTGGTCCAACTGAAACCAATTGAAAACCTTTTAAAGTCTAATGGGACCGATTGATCCAATTGAAATCCCATGCATATTCATTATTACTTTACACATGTCACAGAAAGATACATTTATCATGATTTGTTAAGCAAATTATGACAATGCACATCAATTTTGTGATTTATATTTTCCTTCAGCAATTATTGACCAATAGATTATTTGTCTGATTATGTTACAATTACATTCACGTTTTAGCAACAGATATATTAATTATATGATTACTAACCAAGAAACAATATGTATGTTCATTATATATGTTTGTACGAGCCTATAAATGTTCAAAAGTTAAAGGTAAAGACCAGTTATGGTCATGCGATTGCATTGTGAAAGAAACGTTGTGGAATCGATCAGAAAAGGTTGATCATCTAGCATCTAGCATCTGCGAGGTTCTGGAATCATCAAAATGATAAGAAATTTGGCCCATTCTTCGTAAAGTTACAAGCACTATACTCAGAAAGATGTATATGGGAATACCCTATATCTCCCACAGACCATGAGAGAAACAAATTTACCAAATATATGAATTAGTAGGCGGTTTCCCGGCAAATTTGTTATCATCATGTATTAGTCAAAAAATATTCTTTCACATGATTGGTAATGAGAGCTTCCATTTCATTTTTTGAAATTGGGGCGTTTCCAATACTGGTCTTTACCTTTAATCTTAAATTCACTTCAAATGATCAATGCGATGGAGTTAATGCACTTGAGATTAGAATGTACCTAATTGGTGGACAGTTGCCAATATCGATTATAAAGTATCAGTTTATCACTGGTTCTTCTACCTGGATCGATATACCAATTGAATCCCCATTGGAACCAATTGGCAATTGGTCCCCATTAAAACCAATTGCCAGTTGGTTTCAATTGGCAATTGATTTCAATAGGTATCCATAGTGTCACTTTTCATGTACTCCAAATTGCCGATTGGTATTCAATGGGGACATTCAATGGGGATTCAATTGGATTTTCGTCTTGGGTAAATGCGATGGTTGAGTATCTACATGAATGTTTAATTTTTGTTTAAATGACGTAATTATCACCACTTCAATAACAAAAACAATCCATTGTGATGAGCACGTCGATTACACTTTCTCTCCTTTTCTCTTTTTTTTTTCTCTCTCTCCTTACTCTTATTTCCTCCTATTGTTTTGTTGTTTCCATGAAGGGATCATCATCGAAGGCTCTTGGGAGTGCAGCCCTCAACGACATATTTTCCAAGGTTTTCAGCGAATTGCCACAGAGGATCTTATGGAGATACGTTGGTCCTACACCACGTTACCTTGGCAACAACACATTGATTTCTGATTGGCTTCCACAGAACGATCTTTTAGGTTAGCATTGAATACCATTATTGAAGTTGTTATACCTTCTGTATTTTAAGATGTCCTTAATCGTTGACTTGTTAGGGGGAGGGGCAGTGCTTAAAAAAAAATGTGATTAATCTTTGAGAAACTTTCGTCATTTAAAATATGAATTATGATCCCAAAGTCAATCTTGATTATTGTGAGGCTTCCGCTATCTCTAAGACTAACTCGCAGATACTTGTTCGTAGGTTATCACGAAATTCACTAAATGTATTTTTCAATTAGTTATCATTGTTTCTTGACCATGAGGATTCTGCAGTTGAAACCTTTTTTTCCTACGCAACAATCAACCTCTTCTTTAATATTGTACAGCTCATCCCAAGGTTCGAATGCTGATCTACCACGGCGGCAGTGCAGGGATTCACGAGGCCATCCATCACGGCGTTCCGATGCTCCTCATGCCTATAGCTGGTGATCAGCCAGTAAATGCCCATCTGGTAGCTACGAAGGGAATTGGTCTCGTACTTGACCTAAATAATATGAACGAAGATCAGATCAGGACGAGTATTAGCACCCTTCTCAATGACGAAAAGTAAGTAGAATTCTGTGCAGAATGGCTGCTAAAAGAAATTATCCAAAAATTAAATGTTTTCTCCAAACCCATGGATAAGAAGTTGTTAAATGTTTGTTACCGCAACGGCAGCCATTTTGAATGTTCAAGGTCAAGGTAAGCACTTTTACTTTTGAAAGTTGGATAGTTGAATTTGCCATGTGAGAAAACATTATTAGACACTAAAATCATTAGAATCGGACAATGTTAACTGTGTTGGTGAATTTGACCACCAATCTAAAATGCATTGACCTTTTTGACCATAGCGCCCTCTTTTAAGGTCGGAGGTATAACAAACTATACTGTTTTGGAATCCTCATGACCAGACGAGTAATTTGATATGCAATTTGATAAGGTTAACTGTGTTGGTGAATTTGACCACCAGTCAAAAGTGCGTTGACCGTTCCCGTTTTTGACCATAGCGCCCTCATTTAAGGTCGGAGGTATAAGAAACTATACATTTTTGGAATCCTCATGACCAGACGAGTAATTTGATATGCAATTTGATAAGGTTATCTGTGTTGGTGAATTTGACCACCAGTCAAAAGTGCATTGACCGTTCACCGTTTTTGACCATAGCGCCCTCATATAAGGTCGGAGGTATAGCAAACTATACATTTTTGGAATCCTCATAACCATACGAGTAATTTGATATGCATATTGACACGATTTGAATATATTTGAATTTCGACCCCTGTTTGACCTTTATGAACCCTCACGAAAATGCCCGGGATTTTCAAGGGGGCAGCCCAAGTCAAAATTGTTCGGTATTCATCAGGGAACACAAACACGCTTTCAAACCTTTGTTCCCAGAGATTGTTCACGGGACCTACAGGCTGGTCTCCTACTACCTGAGCTTTCGTTTAAATGAATTAATGGAGGGGCTTTCAACTAGTATTGCTAATAAAAGGAGCTAATGTTCATCTGTTCACAATAGCATTGCATGTTTTTATACAATCAACTCACAAAATTAAATTACATATTAAGCCGTTGCTATGTCAGAAATCCCCGAGCAACACCATGAAAAGATGGGCAAGTTCAATGGGCATTGTACAAAAACATACAATGCTATTGTGAACAATTGGTCAGTTGATGGGAAGGGACATACCAATGTACTGTGTTCATCTAGCTGACTGAAGACTAGCATGATGATGTCACAGATGTCATTTGCTTTTGGAGGTATTTTTTAAGGGGTGGAGCTTAGCAGGTAGAATAAAAGTAATAGACAAAATAATATGAAATATATGACATAAATAACATCAAAAATTTAAAAGGTATGTGATGTATAAATTATTACAAGATCAAACAAAAGTCAATATGACTTTGTATTTTCGTCACCCTTTCTACGGCCTAACGGTCAGATAAAAACTCCGGGAGAATTGGGAGCAGCCAACTCAGCACCACGGTAACCGTACGGCTTAAAAAACTGTCCCGGCGCCCGTCGGAACTTTACGGCAGCCGGCCGGATACCGGCCCAAAATTCCCCAAATGTCTGTTTTTATTCGCCGTACGGGCCCCGGAGTGTATATGTGAAAGCCCCATTATGGGGCTTTCAGTCTTGTAAAGATTGTCTGATATTCAGTGATGCATGCCGAGATTCAAATGAAAATGGTACCTAAATGTACTGGGAGGACAACTCTATCAAGATATATCATGAAACCCATGATTAAATATTCATACTTCAAACAATACAACTTTTAAAAAGTGGGACATTTTTTCTGACTCACTCTGTAGTTCAGTGCACCGCACGGCACCCGGCCGGGCCCGGGCAGGGCACCTTCCGGGAGCCATCGGTACACCTGTAGGTAGAGTCGGTAGAATACTCTGATAATCAGCGAACTAAAGTTTGACTGGCTGTTCATTCAAGATTTTACTTTTTTTTGTATTTCTTTCTGTTTCTTTGATTCTTTCCCACTCACAGCTACAAGGTCAATGCTAAAAGGGGTTCTGGTATCCTTCGAGACCGACTGGCCAGTCCGCTGGACACGGCGGTATTCTGGATAGAGCACGTGGTCAAGTATGGTGGCGATCATCTACGTCTACGATCTACTGAAATGGGATACATCCAGCTCAACTCACTCGACGTAGTCGCATTTCTAGTCGTTTTATTGTTGATAATAATATACATTGATTACCTAGTGATTATATGTTGTTACAGATGTGTATGTAAAAAAACGAGGAAACAAAAAAGTGACTGATTGTTAGACTAAGCTCATTATCCTTTTGATTATCGACTGAAATTTAAAGAAAATTTATTTCTTGACCTTGATTAAAAGAATACTTTCTTTAAAATGTTATACCATTTGCGAAGCTGCATGATATATTCATCCTGATAAGAAATACTTGAATCGTTGGATTTTCTACCTTTTATATTTTTTGTATCGTTTCGTCTAAGGAAAAAATACATTATAATAATACAATTTCTACAATTGTCTAAATGCAAGGTGACCTCGATATTTTAAGCGATAAACCTGTCTTTAAAATGTTGTACCTTTTTCCGTACATTAATTCTTGCCTGATAACTTGATTCGTTGGATGCAACCTTAACATAGAGGGCGTTCTCTCCTAACTCACAATAGAGCCACCCATACACAGAGTTGATCAACTATAAAAGTCAAAAGTATTTGGGTATACCGTGTGAGTAAAAAAATCGCTAATTATTATTTTTAAAAAATCATCTATGAATAGTAGATTATTATACATCATATGAAAGAATGTTTTATCCCAAATCATTTGGTATATTTTCGTGTGGTATGTGCAGTTCACGCTTGGATGAACAAGAGGCATTGTTTGCGAGAGTGCATAAATCGACTTGCGCCAAAGTGATGCCCATGGGTGTCGATCCCGGGGTGATGGGGGATATATCCCCCCCCCCCAATATTTCAGGTGGGGGGATGGCCTGTACAATCATCCCCCCCCCCCCCCAATAATTCACCATACAAAATTTTAAAAAATGAAGAAAAAAATTAATGAAGAGAGCACGATGAGAGTAGTTAATGGTTATTACTCGCAAGATGACCATCAATATACACATTTTGCTATATCATTTTCATAATACATACGTAAATGAGACAACCGTACATGGATATGAGACAAGGATAAATAGAATTCTCGCTCATACGGCTTCATCAGGAATTGATTAATGTATTCAGTTTATTCAATCAACAGCAACATAAAAATGCAGTGCGCCAAATGCAAAGCCGCAGCGTTAGAAAGCAACAAGCTAAATGTATAAAGCGCGAAGCGCAAAAGTGCAAAAAAGAAGTACAGAGTGGGAGAAAGAGATAATAAGAGACAGAGAGGATACAGGTGCGTAGCCAGGGGGCGGTGGGGCGGTCGTCCCCCCCCCCCACAAAAAAAAAACCGCCGGCCAAAAAAGAGATAGAGAGAAAGAAGAAAGGAAGAGGACGTAGGAAGAAAAAGGATTAAGAGTTGGAAACGGTACAACGAATCGTCTTCTTTCTCTAATAATGTAATGAAACCTCAAAGCTTCAGCGCTTCGCGCGGGAAGGGGGGGGGGGACTGAATTAAGACAAGGATTAAGAGTCGAGAACGGTACAACGAATCGTCTTCTTTCTCTAATAATTTAAAGAAACGTCAAAAGAAACTGAATTTAGACAAGGATTAAGAGTCGAGAACGGTACAACGAATCGTCTTCTTTCTCTAATAATTTAATGAAACGCCAAAGCTTCCGCGCTTCGCGCGGGAAGGGGGGGGGGGAAGAGGAAACTGAATTCAGACAAGGATAAAGAGTCGAAAATGGTACAACGAATTGTCTTCTTTCTTTAATAATTTAATGAACGTCAGAGCCTCCGCGCTATGCGCGGAGGAAGGGGAACTTGAGGAAATCGAAGGGGAACTTGATTCAAACAAGGATTAAGAGTCGAGAACGGTACAACAAATTGTCTTCTTTCTCCTATAATTTAATGAAATGTCATGGAATGGAATGGGGGGGGGGGAGTACTGAATTCAGACAAGGATTAAGAGTCGAAAATGGTACAACGAATTGGCTACTTTCTCTAATAATTTAATGAAACGTCAGGGCTTCCGCGCTACGCGCGGAGGAAGGGGAACTTGATTCAAACAAGGATTAAGAGTCGAGAACGGTACAACGAATTGGCTACTTTCTCTAATAATTTAGTGAAACATTAAAGCTTTCGCGCGTGACGGGGGAAAACTCCCTCCCTGCACCCATCCCCCTAGGGAGCGCGCTTTGCGTGCTCACTACCGCCCCCCCCCCCCTAAAATAAAATCCTCGCTACGCGCTTGAGAGGATAATAACCCAGGTAGCAAGCTCATATTCTCTGAAATGTTATCTTTATTGAGGGTGACTTGAAAAAGTTAATAACTTGGAAGGGAGGGGTGCAACCTGCCACACGCTTCTACCTCATGGTTGCTTTGATCCATTGCCGAAAATATTTTGGCACCTATCATCCCCCCAACCACAGATACAAATCGACACCGTTGGTGATGCCTACAGTATGTATTATGTTGGGATTAGCGGAGTGACAGAATGAACTGGATGTATCAAATGAAATGCTTTTTGCAGAAGCAATGTCACACACACACACACACACACGCGCACAAATGTTCGTTGATATTCGATATTTGTTATGTATGGCATGATTTCAATTTTGTTATATGGATCTGCATAGACCGAATTAATACCCATATCTCAATTGTTTTATTCAAACATCACGTAAGCACCTTTGACGCAAGTCGATTTTTGCACTCTCGCAAATAATGCCTCCTGTTCATCCAAGCGTGAACACATACCACACAAAATGGTACTAAATGATTCGGGATGAAACACTCTTTCATATGATGTATAATAATTTACTGCTCATAGATGTTTTTAAAATAATTATCAATTTTCTAGGTGTAAACTTTTTTTTTGACTCACACTGTATCGTTATTTGTTTTGCAATTCGTTACCAAGAATAAAGAAAATGACACGGAACTTCATAATCAATATCAGTTTTCTTTTTACCTGGTCTTATCTATGGTAGTATAGGCTTATCGTTGTTATAGTATGAGTATATTAATATGTTGATGATGTCGGTAACATAGCTAACATATATAACATACATAACATACACATAACAAATGCCTTAGACTTGCCCAAAAGAAAATATATCTATTTAACTCAATTATTTTATTTAATCGGGTTTTGTTCGAGAGGTGTGCCTTGATGGTTGATCATTATGTTGCCAGTCTTTTACATATATACCTCGGGAATTGTCTTCACTGGTTAAAATTTTATTTCCATACGCTTTAAGGTTTTTGCTAGCTTTAATATATACAAAATGTAACTTATGATTAATATTGTTATTTTATGATAACGATGATGATGACGTTGTCGATGATGATGATGATGATGATGATAATAATAGACGAACATCCAACTAGATTAAGGACGTCGATCTCGTGTATTAGCCTTCGAAACATATTTTGAATGTCTCTATTAAAATAGACCGACAGCCAACGAGATCAACAAACTTTTATCTTTCCTTATGTATTTTGTGTCGGTCTTGTGGGCTGTCGGTCTTCTGGGATGACGTACTTATATTAATGTATCAAGCGGGAAAAATATTACACTTTTACATGTGAAAATGGAATCTTTTTGACGATTGTTGTCGGTTGAATTTACCCAATGAACATTTTCTACTGATAGATCAAACATGTATCGACTAAATACTCCAGGTGAAATACTCAAACAAGCATTATGGGGTGCATTGCCCCCCCCCCCACCACCCATCTCGACCCTTTTTCTGGATGCATTATAGTGTTGAAGATAGATAAATGCCCTTGATATCCAAAGAAATCAACGCAGTTCTTTTTGATATTTTAACCAGTAAGAATGTACCTCGTAGGTTTCATGTTTTTTGTTGTTGTGTGTGTTGTTTCAAGCTTTGCATCGATTCCTTGTTAGTCCCACATTTCCTGAAATTTCTTTGTTATTTCGGTGCACCTCCTCCTGCCACCAGGTCCTCTAATTAAAATGGACCTCCTGAAAGATGCAAGAGAATGTAATATGCCTCTACATACATGATAATAGTCTTACAAATCAGGTCAAGAAACTGGGAATCAATCTTACTTGACCTAGAACCTAAGTTTATTAAACCAGGTGAGACTATGTCCATGCATCTTTGTGACGATACGACCCAGGTAGGATAAACCAGTGTAGCGTAAAACAGGATGCCGCACAATGAAACATGTAACGTAGATGGTGACATGTCAGTGGCGTGCCGTGATTTTAATCCACCAGGCACCAATCGAAGGGATGCTGGAACGATTGAAGGAGGAGGAGGGCACTGCACTCGGGAAATAAAATGCGGATTTATACAGTGCGTTTCAGAAAAAACGATGATGTTTTATCATAACTTAATCACAATTAGCATAAAAACAGAGTTGACAAAAGACTTAACTCCGTTTCGTGGACGATCAATCATGCATCAAGTCTTTTGTCTTCTTTGTATCAACTCTGTGTGTTGCTACGGCAGGCAGCCAGTGAAAACGACTTCGTTTAATCAAATTGTTATTCCTGTCTCATTTTTTCTGATTGAGGTATCATATGAAAGGGCAGAAAATGAACTTTCTAGAAATGTGATTTTTCTCTTTGATATTGAGATATCGTCCGCAAAATGACTTGTTGGTGCGTAACCTCTCTTCAAATTGTTTTTAATCACTCATGCGTGAAACATGCATCATATGAGTTGCATCAAATGAAGGAGGAGGATCTAAGCTTTACAAATGTGTCATTTATTGATTATGACTGTGATTGAGTTATGAAAAACATCAATAATTCTCGGTTTCGTTTTTTTCTGGGACGCACTGTATAGGGAGAAGCTGCAGGAGATGGACCAATCATCTTCTCTGTTCGTCCTTTCCCTTTCTCTCTTCTCCATTTCTGAAGTTTTTTCCTTTCAGTATCATTTTTAATTTTTGTTTTTACCCCTATATAGTGGGGGCGCTGCAGATACCCCTGTCGCTACGCCGCGGTCTATTGAGAGACTCAGTTCTTGAAATAAATATTTTTCATAATATTATGGTATGAGTTCCACTATAATAAGAATGGTGGTGGTTATTTTACCTGACTGCTAAGAAAGCATAAATGCTTGTAAGTAAGCAACCAGACGGCCGACGGATTTAGGTCCTCTCCGAGGGACCTGGTAATGAGGATTAATGCCTTACCAAAGGGCAGCGCATCGCCTTGGTTTCGAACCCGGGTCACCGGATTTCGAGACCACTGCTCTTTACCGACTGAGCTATATCGCGTCAACTATGTTGACTAGAGTTCAAGAACTGCTAAAATGCTAAAGTCGTGAAATAGCAAAACGTACGCTGGCTTTATTTGGGGCCTTTGTAAATTAGTACATGTATATTCATTAACCTGATATGA